AAACAGTATAAGTAATTTTTTTTTGTTAACTGTAACCATAATAATTCGCATAATAATAATAAGAATAGAGATATTGATAATAATATTTTACAATATTAATTATTTTGGTATTAGTAATCAAAATAAGTTAATGTGTTAACGCGTTGAATGCCATGGTGGAGAGAAATTGCGAACAACGAAGGCTCCGACGACTATTGCGGCAACGTTCATGCTATATGATGCCCATGAACTGTTTATATATTACTTTTATTAAATAAGCAATATTCTGTTTCTCTGAACCGTTCGGAGAGCAAGAGAAACTCGCTAACTGTCAAAGTCGTATAAAAGTGCGTTTATGTTTATGTTACACGAGGCAACTACTCCGAAATTAAAATTTTAAAGTAATAGAAGTTTATATTAGAATTATTCCAAGTCCCGCGCGCGATTCAGACTTTTTAATGTTTAAATAAATGAACTATTGTTTAAATATTAATCTATTCTATCCAGCGTGCAATAAAAATCGTTTAAATAATTGTAAAATTACCGAAAATATTAATTTATAATCTTTAGCGTTTAGAAAAGAGAATCAAGATGTGCACAGGTCAGAGAGCAAAAGAGAACTAACTCGCGAACTGTCAAAGTGAAGAAAAAGGCGTTGATGTCTTGTTGGCATTATCGATTGACGAAGGTTGAATGGAAACTATTTTATCTAATCCGTCTTACGTGCTATGAAACGCTTAACGAAATGTAAAATTATTTAATTAATGTCTCATCGTACTACAAGTGTATTGTACATTGTTTAAATAATTATAAAATAACCGTATATATAAGACGAGTGAATGTAGTGGTACGGAAAGATTCTATTTCGACGTTTACTCCTTGAAGTACGAAAGAACTAAACCGACGTAGTAACTCGCATGACCATTCCAAAGGATATTTATTTATTAACATTGAACGATCGACGCACTCTGTAAGAAAAAAAATCCCTAAGTCTTCCTTAAGTCTTCTTCTGTTTATGTATGTTCTTTTTCCTCTTAACGCGATTCTGAGAGTTTCCTTGTCACGTGTTTGTAGAAGAAATGATGGTAGGGCCTCAACAAAGGATTCTTATTTCGCTCAAGGCAAACGTCTAACCACATTTTGTTCTTTTCTTTGTATCTTTGATATTGTTTGTATAAAAGAATAATAAAACGTGTATTTCATACCTCGTAACTATTACCAGATCTATGTGATTTTTTTCTCAAATGGAAAATTGCTTAGCAAATCGATATCATTTTTCTGAATATCTTTTAGATGTGATAATGTCTAAATTTGCGAATTTAGGTCACTTAAAGAACACGTGTTTAGCTCTCTATTGTTATATATTTGAGGAGGTTCTATGTTAGAAAAAATCTACACATCACCTGAAATCAACGAGAACGTAACGAAGGCCCGTCGAGTTCATGTTCGCCCCCCCGTCATCACATCAATCCCATCGTAAGGATATGGCTTTGCGCTCACTGCAAAAATATTTTAATATTTCGCTCAACGCATACGCAGAGAATAATCCTTGATAAACTTTGCGACTTTAAATATTTGAGCCAATGTAAAAATTCAATATAACCTGAAATACAATGTATGAAGACAATTAATGAACAGTAATGTTAATTAAAATGTAATAAAAAATCAAACTAAGTATCTCGATTATTGTTACTATCAAATCTATGTAATTATTTCTCAACTGAAAAACTGTTTAGTAAATCATTTAGGATCATCACCGTTTGATCTAATTCGTATTTCAATTTATATCTCTACATTTTTCGCTGGTTTGTAATCCTATGTAAAACGTTGGACCATATATCTTTATATCATCTAGTAATGTCCATTTTATTCTGTTCAATATAATGCGGCACGATATAACCATACATATATCCTCTAAATAAAATTGCAAATATTCATTATAAAAATGGCATAGCTACATTGTGAAGTAGACAAAACCATTTAAAACGAAATTGACTATACAGTATAGTAGACAAAACTATTTGAAAAGTAAACAGAACCGTCTGAAAGTATCTATACTTTTCTAATGAAGTAATCATAACCTTCGGAGAATAATTCTATCATTTAGTAATGCAAATGAAACCGTAGAAAAGCAAAAAAGATTAGTTAGAAAGAAACCCAGTCGCAACACCGAATGGACAGATGCAACCCATCCTCGAACAGGTGTAGAATAGACGAAATATTATAGAAATATGGTAAATATTGAAGCCCACGATACTTACTAGATGTAGATTCATATAAATATTCATTGATATTTTTGAAATAAAAAACGAAAAGGAAAGAATAGGTATATTTCACGTTTAGATCCGATCTCGAAGAGCCACTCTACTAGGGTAATGGACGACGATAATAAAAAGGTGAGACTTCGATAAGTAAATAAGTTTATATTTACAGCGATTATCGTTCACCTTATTTTCGCAACAAGTTACATAATAAAAGTGTCGCTAACTTCTAGTTTCGATATATTTGCGCAGGATGAGTAAAATGTATAGTTCTTCCCATTGATTTAATCAATAAATTTTTTCATTTATATTCGTGATTCCCCTGCGTGAATATTAAATATTACATTTATATATACTATAAATCACGTTTTCTCTCTTCCCATCGGTTCACGTGTTTATGTACTTATATATCGCAAACACAAATCTATAAGACACACGTAGTTATAGTTTTCTTTAAACAACGTTATGCATTTATTATTACACGAGCATGTATGCTCTTGCCTCTTACATTCGTAATTCATTATTTTCACTTTGTTATCATAATATAAAAATCACAGCATACAAGAAGCCTAATACAACTTATCGATTTATCTTCATGGAGTACGGTCACAAATTTTGCACGAACGTTCACTATATTTTTCAGATTTTCAATTTTATATTTTTGTTTTGTGCAAAAGTACTACAATAATCATGAAAAGCGGCTCTCTCTCTCTCTCTCTCTCTCTCTCTCTCTCTCTCTCTCTCTCTCTCTCTCTCTCTCTCTCTCTTTTACGTATATTTACGTATTTTTCTCCCAATCAGATCTCTCGTAATTCACGTAAATGATTCTAGATTGAAATCGTGGAATGTAAGCCACAATCGCGTCAGTAACAGATATATAAATTTCGAATATAAATTTTGGTAGTAAAAATATATATATATATATTTATTTGTTTGTTTATCTATACATAAATTTGTGTGTGTGTGTGTATGTGTGTGTAGGAGGTGTGCGTGCGTGCGTGTGTGTGTGTGTGTGTGTTCGTGCGCGCGTGCGCGCGCGCATCTGTGTATATATAACTCTGGCCCCGAGTTTCCATAAAATTCTTTTTCTAGTTTTTTAATAGAGTTCTTTAATAGAGGTTTTTCCATCATTTTCTCTGTACGATAATAACCTATATACATTTACAATATTCTTAAATATAGTCCACACTATATATAAATTCTATGTAACGGTGCGCGTACACTTTTACTCACCAATTACTATTCGTAATTAGACTATTTCAAATTGTTCATTTAAAACAATCGATGAAATATACATACACAGTCTTATTAACTAGAAAAATCGTCCTTGGCACAAATGACAGCTTAAAAATGAACTAGGCCGCGAAGCATTAACCGTAACGACATTTTCGTTTTAATAACTTGACAATAACGAACGTAGAACGAAAAAAAATGGACGATGATCATTTTTATCTCATACGTTATAATCATCGAAAGAGGTGTAACAGAAAATAAAGTTGTTTTTGTACTAACAACGCTCATTAATTTGAAACGTACAACGGAATAAAATTATCGAGATATATATGTGTGAATGTCGCTAAATCGTTTACGAATAAAGTTTCCATATGGATGCAGACATTGCGCATATCTTTTTTATGTTCGCACTGATAATATGATTTATTAGTAGTATACTATCGCGCGTATGTATATATATATACACACACATACACACACACGCGCACACACACACACACACACACACACACATATATATATACATACATATGCGCGCGCGCGCGTGTGTGTGTGTGTGTTTATATACGTATATGCATATATATATATATATATATATATATACGTATATGAAAAGATGTATATACGTATATATGTACATATACATACATTTAGGCATACGTAAATTAGGTACATATACGTATATAAGTATATTTAGTCTAAATTTGAGGAGAGAAAGTAAAACTAAAACGTTTCGCATTAAAAAGAGGGTTTCATGAAAGAAGATATGGAGAAACATTAGCGGAATATCCGCAAACCTTTAAGCTTCACTGAAGCGTCCACCGATTCGACACGACGATTCACCGCTTAAACTAAAGTATTTTTCCACGACGGTTATAACGAATCATCATGTATTACGAAGCGTACAATAATAGGCAATCCAGATCTTTCGCTTTTTACTAGAGTCGATATGTTGGGAGAATAGCATGGAGATGGTGATATCTTGATTCCGCAAGGGAGTAACTTTAACAAAGATCGTACAGAGATCTCCTGGCAAGTATACCTTCGACCAATTTTCCCATTTTTCAGCTTACGTTGTCTTATTGAATATTATGCATTATATAATATCCGAATTTAATAAAATATTATATTTCGTAAATATCTCCTTAAAAAACCACGACATCCTACGATATCCTACGTATTACACGTAATTTTTGTTAAAATATTTTGCACGCTTATTGAAATCCATCTAAATAAGTTTAACGTCCTTTAATAACTGTGTGTTGCTCGGTAACCGATAGCTATCATCTGATTGCACTTGAGTAAGAGGCATTAATTCATAATGGACAATGATAAATCCCACGATATTTACTCATTCTTATGAGTCCCATATTCCTCAAGAGAAATGGTTCATAATCACAGACCGCTAAAACCTTACCCACCATTATGGCCCGATTATAAAGGCTCTCATTAAATCTTGGCTTTCTGTTAGGATCGTTCTCCCAAAAGTCCTTAGATAAAAGGGAGAGGAATCTTGTACTATTATAATCAGCAATAGATTTTTGACCGATGTATGGACGAAATTCGAGAGGCATCCTTTGGCATATCGCGTTTGCCACCGATAGAAATATCTTGCTACGATCTTCTCGATATCTTATATTCCTTATATTCTTGATTCTAGGCGATTCTAGTCGATTTCAATCGATTCTAGAATTGGTAACCAAATGGCGATATCCACTTCTTCTAAAGACTTTCATCACAGCTACCCTCGGAAATGCGTCCTCAATCATATCCAACGACGTCGGTATAGATACTGGACGGCCTTTCGTTGTCTTTTCGCGTACCGTTCGGAGGCATCCAGTTTTAAAACGAGAGCCCGCAACATATTCGCATTAGCGCCAACGTCCAATGATAGCGTACTATCGTATGTAATCGTGCGCTGTCGCGCGATATCAACGCTAGGACCCTCGTCACTTCCTCTCTTCCGGTTCCTGACTGGCCTTAACGAGATTATACGCGTGACTTCTGTACTTGGTAGGTGGATCGTGTAGCGGTAGAGGCTGCTCGCTCGACGGTTGATTCATAGTGGACATCGAGAGATCCGTCGGCATGTCCGCTTCCGTGTCCAGACCGCTTCCGGTCATGCTTCCCTCCTCCTCGGGTTCCGATTTTATTCGCATTTGTTGTCGCAACAAAGATATATTCTTTATGTTCTTCAACTCGGTTGGATTTCGGAGAAACCTATGAAACATGAGATGGCATGTAATGTATTATGATTCATTTATATTATACGTTTTAATAAATAGATCCCCAAACTTTAAGAGCATCTGCTCACTGTAACAATGAAAAAAGTCATATAAACATGAGTTCGGAGGTACTTCCTTTCCAAGTTATAAATATTTTTTTTATATGAAAAAAGACTTTAAGAATATTTGGCATTGTTACAACATTTCATTATAGAAACTACTGAAAATGATTTCTTTCCGCATTAATGCATGCTTCGAATCGACGTCACATGAATTGTCCATGTGAGGCATGATGTAAATAAACAATGTGTGGTGTGTATATATATATAATGTATACACGAACGCGCACGCACGCAATAAATACGAATATCTATACGTAATAATATATTAAATAAATATATATATATATATATATGTATATATATATATATGTATATATACATATATATACATGCAAATGTGGCCTGCACAAACGTCTTCATTCGTGCCGTGTTGTGCCAATATGCACATGATATACTCACTGATAACAATGCCGCTCTCCCTGGACTTTCCTAAGTATGTTTACGCGGTAATAATAACGTAAAGCTCTGCTCATCTTGTCATAATTCATAGACAAATGATTTTTCTGTATACCCCACAACCGTGCTAAGCCAGGAGGATCAACAATCTTAAAAACTCCAGTCTCTCGACTCTTCCACGCTATATAATGTGTATATCGTTGAGATGGATCGTTGAGTAACTGTTGAAGAAAATCCCATAAAAGCCTCCCATCTGCAATAAAAGGAAGAACGAATAAGATTATATTAAAAGTTGAAGAAGAATCATCATATTCTATATCCTATATTCTATATTCTGTATTCTATATTATTAAAGATATATATATATATATATATATATATATAGATAGATAGATAGATAGATAGATGGATGGATAGATAGATAGATAGATAGATACATATAATACGAACTGGTATTAGGTTCGGACGAGTCGCTAGGAAAGAATTCTCTCGCGGTATTCGCGGCGGCCTGCCTATATGCACCCGAAGTAAGTGGCATCATTTGGGAAGGCAGCGTCGGACTCGGTTGATCCTTAACGCAAACTTCGCTAAGTCTTTGCGCAGCGAGTGCCGTAGGTGTCGCCGGAGGACTGTTACTTCCTCCTACTTGATGATTGTCCTCGTCCGAATCGCTCTTATAAATCTGCGTCTGGTTGCCATCCGCGTGTCCAGGTGAACCAGCCTGACTATCAACAGACGGTGCCGGAGACAGAGTAACGGAATTGGCGGACATCAGTGAGGCCAGATTTGCGGCGTATGGATTTTCAGTCCACGTAGGCGTTGGCGGGTGCGAATGAGGACTGAGCGGATAAGCTGATGGTCTGGTAGGTGTTACAGGACTACTGGGAAGGCACCTCTGTAACTGATTGAAATCGCGCGCAAGCATCGCCAAGACATTGTGCAAGACGTCACCCGCCCCAGGGCACCTTTCGCCAAGATCGGCTTTCGTTAGGAGGCAAAGCGCCTTTCCGTTCATCTGGAACATATCCATGTCGAATTGGGGCAAATCAAATTCCCTTTCGGCCCACCGTAGAAACGCGGCGACGTCCTCTCTTGACCAAAGTCGTGGATCGGAGGCTGTGAAAGAAAAATATCCGGCATCGCTTAATTATCCATATAATATCCATATAAATATGAAATTCGTTATAATAATAATTAGCTGACTAGAACATGGCTTTCTTGCATCTCCTCTCACCTAAGCTTGCAGGCAGGTGCGTCTTGAAATCAAGCAACGGACTCGGTGGTGGATGTGTCGTTGGCGGAAAATTCATACTGGGTCCGTATCGCCAAAGCAAATCCGTAGGGCTAAAGGGCAACGATATACCCGGTGGTAGTCGAGAATCCATCCCGGTTAATCCGCTCGCGGCGGAAACCGGCGGTAATTGTGGCAATTGAATCGTTGGCAACAATTTCATAACACGCCTCAGATTTCTGACTACTGTTTTCCTATAAAGAAAAAAATAAATGCCTACGATATAACAATAATAATAATAATAATAATAATAATAATAATAATAATAATAATAATAATAATAATGATGATGATAATAATAATAATACAAATAATAATGATAATAATAATAAGAAGAGGAAGAAGAAGAGGAAGAAGAAGAATAAGAAGAAGGAAGATGAAGGTATGCGAATGCGACATGTACCATATACGTATACGTGCCATATAAAACATACATGCCAGATAGGAAAAGAGTGGATCGTTCTACGATTCGTTCTTGACGTAAGATACGAGATGATGATTTGTATCGATCACCCACGAGGGACTGCGCTAATTCGACTCGAGCTCTCGTGTCTCTTGAGACTATGCTGTCTCGTACGATAGACATCCGAAAGGTTTGCGATCATTAGCATATAATGTAGAAGCATACAAAATGGAAGACAGCAGGAAAAGGTGTATCCGTTCTCAATGTAGATTTGCATAACTTATTTCCATCGACGTCGAAGTTATTTTCGTTCTTGAGGATCTCTCGCAAAAAAGGTCTACGACAGCAAATAATCGAAACTCCTGCAATCATCTATCTGCCACGTTGTAACATTTCTTACCGATTATATTACTTGTACGAACTATACGAACAGCTATGTACGTCTTTCAATGTCGGTCAAACTGTTGATTAAATAACGATTCACGTAATTTCATGCTAGACATACGAAATAGGTACGTAGGGCATACGAGTAGCGCGCATCGGGAGAGTAACTATCTACGTAGTAAAGTATGAGAGTCAAGCTATATCAGCATAGTCGGTGTCACTTTCTCGAAGAGGAAGTAGGTAACTACACGTTGCTAATATACGTAAGTATATGCACACGAAAAGAAGAAGGTGCCTGTGGAGTACGCGTATTCTCACGCACATCTCCAAGGATTAAGTCGAATGCAACTTGTCTCTCTCTCTCTCTATTAATTATCTACGTATGAAGCAGGAACTCATTTATTTGAGGGTCGCAAAGAATAGTCGTCGATCGATTCGCTGAAAAAAATTATGCAATTTTGATATATGCTTTTATTTTTATCGCCAATAAGTGAGGGCATGTAAGTTTGCACACAGTCGTATGTGTGTGTCTCGTAGTGTTTGAAAGTACCTATATACAACCAGGAAACAGAAGAGCTGCGGAAGGTAACGGAGAAAGGGGGAGATACGGTGAGTCGAAGGAGGAAAATCCTTGCCTTGCTTCGAGAGGAATTTAACATTTATCATATAACGCGTGTTCCAACGCAACGTCTGTTCTCTTCCACAATCACACACGATCCATCGTATCTTTCTCTCCTCGATCCCGTTCTTCCGGGTTCTTTGCCGGAGAAGACATATACCTACATCCCGCTTCTCTTACCCTTACTTGTGCGGTTACATCGATAACAGGTGGTTTCTATTCGGTTTTGTCTCTCAATGATTCAACGATTAAGCTTTAAGCTTTACGTTACAAGCTCGATTACGTTACAAGTTACGTTAAAATCTTTTAGATTTAAAATTTGAGCGTCGATCGTACCCTCTCTCCTAGTCGTCCAAGACATTTTTCCTCCATAATAAGGAAAATCGAACGAACGTTTTCTATGAGAGAACATCCGTATTGTATAAACGCCGAAGAGCGAAAGCATAATAGAGAGAGAGAGAGAGAGAAAGAGAGAGAGAGAGAGAGAGAGAGAGAGAGAAAACGAGCAAGGAAAGGAGGATAAGTAATGACGAGGAGGAAATATGCAAGTTCTTAGAAAATTACGCACTACCAATACTTGAATTAAATGAATTAAAGTGGATGTTCGATGTTGTAAAAGATGTCGTTGAAGAGAGTGAGTAAAGTAAATCTCTCGTATGTGATATCTCTTGTGTAGGAAGGGAGAAGCCTTGATACGCGGGATGAACGTTGATAATCCGAAATAATGTGATAAGAATGTCATTTCAAAGTAAAAGGTCTGCGCGTCGAACATTTATTTCTTACGAGTTGATAAAATCGATAACAGTCGATCAATAGGATAAATCATTCTTCGAAGAGAAGCGCGTGGTAAGCGTTACGCGCTCTTAACGTAATCATTCGTTACGCGTGCGCCTATATAAGCGTTCCTCTCGCGTGGCTCCAAATCGGTCGACCGATAGCAGCCGAGATCAGACGGAGAAAGTCGAGCGCCTACGCTCGAAGCGTAACGGCACATACAGAGCTACCGGATTCTTCTCCCACTCCTTATACATACATATATTCCTTTTACCAGAGATCGAGGAACAAGGAAGCATTCTTTGATCCCATTTATTTCATCTTTCTTCATCGATCTTTACGGATTTTTATCGAACAGCATGATATATACCACGATCGATGAAATCAAAAGCAATCTTTACCAATTCTTCATACCATATTATCCAATTTAACATGTTTTTCTTTCTTAAGCAGTTCAATTTGAATATGCTATATCATTCAACAAAACTCAATATATTTCCAATACTTTTCACAATTAAAACGCAAATACAAAGACGTGTACGTGCCTTATCGTATATCATCCAATGACAATGCCCCAACGGCAACGAACGAACGAAACGTTAATTCTTTCCGTAAATCTATAAACCGTCTTAATCGCACGATTGCGCGTGCGTAAAACATCAATGCGGAAAATAAAGTTCACCGAATGACTGGCGGCGATATTTGTCTTGATGCATACGTATATAACCTTGTAAAACTTTCAACGATTTTGCCGAATAATCTCAATTAAAAAAGATACTCTCTCTACGTACGGTAAGTAATATATCATGAACGTGTACAGCTCCGAGCGATAAAACCGTTTCTAACGTAAGTCCGATCATCCTAACATATAGTACTACGCATACAAGCTCGCATATACATATACTATACCAATATAATAATATAAATGTATAAACATGAGATGCTTCTGTACTCTTTTTGTTTACGAGAGACTTATAGCGGGTTATCGCTCGCGGTGACACACTAAGTCGAAGCCAAAGTGCCGCAAAAATCATTCCTCGTAGGATCCTGCCAATGTTGTTGCTCGTCTTCAATCGTATCGTTGATTATTTATCAACTCGAATATTCGATTATGTGACTTACATTCTCAGTGATTGTAAATAATTATTATTGGATTTGATCGAGTTTTTCGATCGATAATAGCTCATTAGCTACACTCACTTTTCTTCTCTGGAAATTTCTATTAAAACTTATTATCAAATATTCTTTGATTTCGATAGTTATATACGTTACGCGACTACATGCATAGGTGAGACATGATACAATAACAAAAAACCTACAAACAATGATCATCGACCATGAATCGTTAGCGTCGAGACGTAGAGTCTGAGACGTGTGTGTGTATGTGTGTGTGTGTATATATATATGCGATCGACATGTCAATAACTCTTCGTGGAACATGTTTTTTGAATACCGACAACATTCGAGATAGTGGACGATAATGGTGCTCATTGAAATCATTGGACTTTCCGTGTTTCTTTCTTTTTCCTTTCGTACTTCCATCCTGTAGCTTTGTCTTTTTCTCTCTCTCTCTCTCTCTCTCTCTCTCTCTCTCTCTCTCTCTCTCTCTCTCTACCTCATCCCGTCTTCTTCGCGTTTTTCTCTTTCCGCGTGCCGTGCACGCTAGCATACGTCCGTTCACGAACGACAGTCGAATATCTAGGCGCAGTAAAGAGGGGCGGACGGTACGATGTCCACGAGCACGTGTGAACGCAGCCTAACTATGTGGGCTGTGCACTCGACTGATAAAACGCTTCAGCGACGTGTCAGTGACCCTCCTCCCTCCCACTCTCTCTTTCTTCTTTAAATGCGCGTGCGCTCGCTCTCCTCCTCTTTCCTCCCTCTTCTTCTTCCTTCTTCTTCGCTCTTATCCGACATCTTCATGATGTCTGTCCAAGGCTTGGAAATATTACGCTTCGCGTTCGTATCTGCACGATTGAAAAAGAAATTAACTAAAATCGTTATAATTGCAACGATTCTAACGATTCTAACGATTCTAACGAATAAAAATTCTTGAAACATTATCGCTACGAATGTATCGTTAAATAATGGAAATATATAACGATGCATTGCGTTTATCGAAAGGATAGAGGAACGATACCAAACGCGTTAAATGTTTGGGGTTGATTGACTCGAGATCCAGAATCAACCGATTCCAAGAACTCGGACGATACGAATTGACCTCATGTTTGAGAACTACTGCTTGTGTTACAAAGAACAGCGACGAGCCCTCCGATGCACGTGCATGCGAGTAACGTCGACCGGAAGTCGATGGAAAAAAAAAGAAAAAAAAAAAACCTAGTTCACCCTCGTCACTCGGCACCAGCTTCTCTTCATGGGAACCAACCTCCTCTTCTTTCTCTCACACATCAGCGCGCGCGCACGCACGCACTGCGCCACACGTACGACTCGTTTCATCTCGATCTTCCTCATCTCTTACGCTACGCTAGAAGAGGTCTGTTCAATTTCTAACTTATCGTATAAGTAATTCTCTACTTGCCAACATATGGACTAGGCTCCCTTTGTGTGTCGACGTTTGCTCTTTCGAGAAAGGAAAATTTCTATTGCTGGCCTATAGATTTCAAGATAGAAAAGAAAAAGAGAACGTAAAAGAAAATGAAAAATGCAAGCACGAGAGACGAACCAAATTCTCGACAGTATCACTCTCTCTCTCTCTCTCTCTCTCTCTCTCTCTCGCGCGCGCGCGCGCGCAACCGCACGCGCGCGCACGTTTCTGAGTAGTGTTATTTACATTTTTGTCCAACAATCAAACGGTATCCGCATTCAAACGACCTTCGTATTATTCGTATCCATTGCGATTTTATTCAAGGATAACTGTTGCTTCTAACCGAAGGCATAGGCGGAAGTTCCGAGTTTGAGAAGGCTAAAACAGAAACGGGATTGGAAATTTCTAAGAAGTTCCTCCTACCAAAAGGCTCATCGTGAAAAGGTGAAGGCCTTTTCTTTAAGAAACAAGAAAGAGAAAAATGAAGAAACGATACACGTTGGCAGGTAAGGCCGACTGGTTGATCCCTTTAATTCTGTGGCCTCTATAACCATTAAGAACGAATGGTGGGAGGAGCCGGTCGCAGGTAGTCCGTAAATCTTCGCCGTCACCTGCATTTTACCTGCCACCGAAGTACCACCATAAGACGAGGGTAAACTCGTGCGCTGTATCGCACTCTTGCGCGCATACCTCCTTCGACATTTAAATTAGTAATCAAATAGGTGATTACGTCGTTAATAAATAAACGATACCAGCATAGATCCTACACCTTTCGTAACATGCACTACATAAAAAAGATAAATATCATTTAAATACCATTTTATCCTACATGTTTATCAAATCATTTTATAGGATAACAATGTAATAAAATGTATATAATCGATAGAATCAAGTTTTCTAAAAGTATCAAGAATTTTTACCGTACAAGAGTTAAACGTGCCAAGAAGGAAGTATACAATAATAGAACGCAAGCGCGCGCGTACGCGATCGAGTCCGCTATGCATCCTACCAAATAACAAAGTATCAAACTATAAAATGACAACATTGTCGACAAAAAATAATATTGTCAACAAGATTGTTAGACAGACAAATTTGTAATAATCCTCGTGACCTAACGTAAGGACGTGCTTTTTTACGATTTGAAAACTATCCTATACGAATAATTGAGATGAATATGACCAATTACGATGAATTATAAGAAAATCTAATACAATTTAACGCTTAAAGTACAAAGTGTTTTCCGATTGATGAATGAAATCTAGATACTCCGATAGTACAAATATCGAAACATTGAAAGAAAAAATTTCAACTCTCGTGGTCTGAAAATTACAGGCAATACGATCGACGAGAATACTTGGATGCGTTGAGATAAAACGTAGATAGGTAGGTCGCACTGGCAAAATTACTGGATGCTTAAATTCGGACCCCATCGTGAGGTCCAAGTACAGAAAATGTGAGGAGAGGGTTACTAGCGGTGGAACGAGAGGAACGAAGGAGGGGCATGAGAGAGAGAGAGAGAGAGAGAGAGAGAGAGAGAGAGAGAGAGAGAACGGGAGGAGAGGAGAACTATCGTCGTGTCTCTTGTCCCGGATCCGCCGACTCGTAATAATAGTTATCCCGACGGCAAGGAATGCCAGAGTTGTTGCCCTGTGAGAGAGCGTCGTACGTGTGAAATACGAGAAGGAACTCCGCGTTCCACATAAAACGAACGGAAGCAAATCGATTTCGATCGGTTTATTTTTCGCAGCTAGCATCTCATCCTGTTTTATCCTTTTATCAAAAACATATTAAATTAATACGATGTAGAATAAGAAACCAATTATTCCATTCGTTCTAGAATAGAATCGATCAAAATCAAAGGTATTATAGGCTAAACAACAAATGGAGATTCTTTTTATCAACTTTGTTATCATTTTGAAATAAAGATATTGATATTGATAAACTTTGTGACTGGACGAACATAAGCTTTGCTCGTTATGAGAAGACCTACCACTGCTACTTCCCTTTCCTCTGTCTTTTTCTTTCTCGCAACTCCGACCGAACGGATTCTTTCAAACGGCAGCAAGAGGAGCCGGATGCCATCCATCGTGTCCGCCAGTTTCCTTTTGCTTAGTTTTTCGTGCTTGGTCGGTCGAAAGATACGGTAAAAGGCGGGAATACGAAAGGCAGAGTTCCTCTTTCTCTCTCTCTCACACACACACGCGCGCGCGCGCGCGCGCTCTTCGTATTTGGTGGCTATAGGAACAATGAGGAAAGAAGAAGAAGAAAAAGAAGAGAGCAAAGTGACGGAAAGACGGAGAGAAGAAGACTAAGAAAGAAAGGAAGAGAGAGAGAGAGAGAAAAAGAGAGAGAGAGGCTCTTCGGAAGGGAAAAGATAAAAGATCTGACAAGACGCCAATGAGGCTCCATTCCTCGCCTCTTTTACAAGCGATAAAGAAGAAAAAGAGGACCAAGGTCCGTGCTTCCGGTCCGGATACCGACCGGTTCTTCTCTCTCGCTAAAGCAAAAAGGAAAAAACGATGAAATGAGAAAAGATGCAGACGATATTTCTTCTTCCTTCGTTCGATGAATATATTGCGTTTCATTGAATTTGTCAATAAAAGTATTCAATAAAATGAAATAGGATGGAATATAAAGAAGATTCGATGACAACGCTCCTGAACATTTTAAACGAACGATATTAATCGAATGATACACGTAGCATTATGCCGATATGCGATATAAGGATGTACGTAAAAATAAAAGAAAAGAAGAGAAGAAAAAAAAGAAAAAGAAAAGGAAAAAAAATTGAAATAATCGGAGATTCCCAAAGCATAGATCATCGATAGGATGAGATCATATTTTGATTCGTTAAATTTTCCAAGCACACCTATAAGAAGACTACGCCGGAGAAACATGTCGTAGACACAATGCGAATATGGCGTTCCTTACCACGCCTTAACTGTCGGAGACACGTCTCGTCTGACGTGTTCAGCCGTTCCTCGAGTCGAGTACCGCGGCGTCGTCAGGCATACGCTTGGTTATTTCTTATAATTATAATAATATCACGCGAACTAGAGATTCGATTCAAATGAGGATAAATGATCGGATTTGGATCAAGGAGGAAATGAAAAAATCGAGTCAAAAAAGAGTCTATGTCTTCAGGCATATCTATCTATAGCCGTTCCTAACGATATCGCTTTGTTATCTCGAGTCTTTCACATTCCTTAACAGTTAGTCCAGACATCCTCCGTACCGTGATCGCCGAGGTACTATCTAAGCGGCGAAACCATAGAATATAAATAGAATTAAATCGAAAGAATCGAATCTTTTGACTTTGTACGAAGGTCGTTTCAAAGTCGGCGGTGCGTTGTCACAATCCTCACAAAGATCGATCGAGCCCTTCCCTTCTGGGTCCTACAGAAATTTCCATTTCTCTTTCCAAGCCACAGTATATACTGCTTCCTCTCTCTTACTTCCGGGTTCGGGGCTCTTCCGGTGAGCTCGACGCAATAGCGTTGAAAGGGCTCCCCCCTCCTCTCGTCCCACTTCCTTTCTCCGCCGCCTTTCCTCCCGCTCTCCTCGCCGTCGTCAACTACGAACCGCTTTCTTACCGCGCCGCCTTCTCAGCCAAGCTCACCCTTCGTGCACTTCCCCTTTTGCCACTCCTCTATCCATCTCTTTACATGTACTATCCTCGCACACGCTCGCTCGTTCGCGCGCGCACACCTACTCTACTATACCTTCTCTCCCCACATTCTAACCATTCTCTCTTTGCTATCCAAGTAGCGCTTTTATCTTACTCGCAATCGATCACGATTGCCGTGCACCAAGATTTTCTTCCAGAAATAGAGAGAAAAAGATTTTCTAATCCTAAGGCAGGCAGGGCTTTCATGATATTGTACGAAGGACGATCATGACATGAACGTGGCCGCATAAATTTAGCACCTCGAGAGGGAGGTAAGAGAGGAGATAGCAGCCGAGGAATCGAAAAAGCGTATACGTATTGTTACTCGGAGAAGAAAAGAAATAATAAAATAATATAGCGACCTAGTCGAAACGATGACGCGATACGTAAGGCACTAAGATGTACCTTTTAACGAGCGTAATCCAGAGACAATTATTATTAGCGATTGCGTTATGACTTATGGGTCGAAGCATTACCTACTTACAATTAATAACACGATAATGAAATACGAAAAAGAAGGAAAGAAGAAGACAGGTAAGAAAAAGTCGAATAATAGTGCGAACAAGGTATTACATATATACACACCTATACCAAAGGTGGGAGTAGACAGTAGAGAAGAGCGAGAAAGAAGAGAGTGGGAAAAGAAACGGCGCGACAAGAAGACGGAAGGGAGCGAAGTAAGAAGGAGAAGACGGAAGAGAGAAAAGAGGGGCCGAGGTGCAGGACGGGCGGGAGGGAGTAGTAATCCGATGGTAGTAGGAGAGACTGGAAACGGAAGGAGGACGTCGGAGCGAGAGGAACGGTAGAGGCAATCGAAGAGACGTGGAAAGGGAAGAGAGAAGAGTGGGACGGAGAGGAAAGGGAAGGGGAAGAAAGGGAAGGAATGGGGAGCGAGGAAAGGAGAGAAGAGAAGAGACGACCTTTTCAATGTAATCACATCGAGCTTGTCTCAGAAGCGTCGGCAACCAGGAAGCAAAACAGAAATAGGTGACCGCAGCGTGCAGTATGGTGACGGAGACGAATTCCTACAGAAAATGGAGCTATTATTTTCTTCTACTCTGTAATCTTATGTATCTTGTTCAAATATAAACATTGCACTTGCGCATCTATATACATATACATACACATATATGTATATATATATATATATATATATACACGCACACATGCGTATGCATATATATATACATGCATATGTACATGTACGATCTATCTAATCCCAAATCTACCAAGTTGAAAGAATCACTGCAACATGTAACGAATCCCGCGAGACCGATTCGGAAAGTTTTAAAATATCACTTTGCTTACCAGATTTGTCACGTGTCGAAAAGAAACGTCGGGAGCGAAAAAGAGTAATCATGTGAATAATTTTTTCTTCCGACTTTTTATACGAGAACTCGCGGATAAGCGTTTAATATAATAGCGCTTATTTCACAACGCGGCTCGTTGCTCGCGCAGAGAGAGAAAGAGAGAGAAAGAGAGAGAGAGAGAGAGAGAGAGAGAGAGAGAGAGAGAGAGAGACGAATACGATCTCCTTTATTCTTCTACTATCATCGCTTCACATTTCATTTACTAATCCGTTCCCCCGTTTTATCGCACTTTCTACTCGATAATAATAATATCTACCAACGGGCTAGGAAAGAAAATCTAAATAAGAAAATGAAGAAGCAAACGATTAGTTCCATACATATGCGACGCGTTTACAAATCGCGTGACATCGGAACGCGTTAAATCCATTGAACTATATATCTAGCGATAACGATAACGATAACGATAAAGACGTTAGGAAGTCGGTTGAAAAAAATCGAAACGAATCTCACAGTTCTCTTCTGTCTCGTTATTCCATTGTGACGTGAGAATGAAAAAGATGAGGGGGCCTTTACGAATTATATTCGATATAAAACATTCTCATACCTACGAATATTTATTAACTGCAAAGAAAAAGAAAGATGCGACCCAAATAGCTTATCGAATTAATAACATAGATCGGAGATATTTCGATTTTTGCGTTTGATCTTTTCTCTTTTCAATTATTCCAATAAGAAGCATACAAATCGCAATGGAGAAACGCTCCATCGTTCGTGCTAATCGTTTATCGAAACGAAAAAGGTCTATATTTGATATTCCACTTTGAACGTTGCCCCGCGTCGCGTTGCGTTGCGTCGCGTCGCATCGCGTCGCGTCGCTCCAACGCGGAAAGTTTAAAAGAAGTAAACTGAACGCGTCGGAGATGCGTCTTTACGATAAAAGTCATAGAAACATTTGCTTCGAAAATACAAGGAGAAAAAGGATAAAATCGCTGTGTACCTCGATTAAACTATTTTTTCGCAGGTTTATCAAATCCCTCAGCGATACGATGCAGGTTTTGTTGTTAGAGCATCCCCGATCGTCCCGAAGAGCGATCTGCTTCTCTTTTTCCTCTTCCTCCTCTTCTTCCTCCTCCTCCTTCTCGCCACCTCCTTCTTCCGCTTCTCCTCCTTGTGCCGTGGCTGTCGTGTGATGTGACGTACCGTCTCACGATATCATCAATGTGACCCAACGTCGTTCGGTCCCTTAACTAACGTACGTTCCAATGACTTTTTATCGGCATTCACTCGATAAAGATTCTTTTTTTCGAATTCATCGTTCAGTGTTGTACGTCGAAAGACGTAACCGTGGTTCAAATATTTATCTTACGGAGGGAAAAAGCCTCCTCTCCCGTTCTCTCACTCTCTCGCTCTCGCTCTCGCTCTCGCTCTCGCTCTCTCTCTCTCTCTCTCTCTCTCTCTCTCTTTTTATTACGTACGTATGTATGTACACACACACGCACGCACGCACACACATACAAGCATACGCACACGCACGCACGTACGTACAGGCACACGCATACACACGTAAACCCGCCGTCACAATTCTGGATTAACGAAACGTCACTGCTCGCGCACGTGAGTACACGTCGAGGTTAGATGAACGTCAGCGAGGGCTCAACAACGGTTCAGCGATACTGCGCAATGTACTCGACAAAAAATAATAACGACGAGGACGTTGAATATCCACACGAACTGCGTACACTTGAGACTCATTTATCTCTAACAAGTCACAATTTCGTATTAACCATCTGGCCGCAAACAGGTCCTTCCTCCTCAATAAGTTTCCTTCCTTTAGCGGTAGGAAAAATAGGATGAGATTAGAAGGAGGGATGGGAGAGTGATCGAGAAGATCAGAGTGGATATCGGAGAGGGGACGAGAAAGAAAGAGAAAAAGCAAGAGAAAGAGTGGGTTGGTTGACTGGCGCGCGCGCCAGAGAAATACAGATAGATAGATAGATAGATAGATAGATAGATAGATAGATAGATAGATAGATAGATAGATAGATGGATAGAGAGAAAGATAGATAGATAGAGAGAGAGAGAGAGAGAGAGAGAAAGAGAGAGAGAGGGAGAGAGAGGGGGGAGAGAGAGAAAGAGAGAGAGAGAGAGAGAGAAAGATATGCCGGCTTAAGCTCCTCGAAGAGACATTTACTGCTCTTCGAGAGCGGTGGCGGTAGTTTCGCGTAAGCTCTCTTCCTACTCGTTTTTCTTTCCCCTTACGCTGCACACACTCTGTATAGTGCCTGGTCGAGCAAAGTGCAAACGGAGCAACGGATGTAGTAGCGAACGAGAAGGAGAGACACGCGTCTCGTAGCTGGCGAGTGACTAAGCTCGTCCAAGTCGCGCGAGTCATGCAGTAGGAAGTATCGCCTGCTAGCTTGCCGCCAGATTCTATCCCCACTTTGGCATCGTCGATATCGGCAACGCTACTCGGAGAGATGGAAAGAGAGCGCCCTGATCCGCCAGTGGTGTACGCCGCCGATGCGCGCGGCCGATGCGCGCCACCAAACCCCTTGTCCCAGTGGTGTCCAATTCTCGAATAATACTGACCACTTGTTTGGATCGACGAGTTCTCGAGAACAGCCGCCCTTTTCGTTCTTGTCGGACTTGCATCCCACACATCGACACGTTACATCTATTTTCATTCTTCGATCCAATTGAAATGACAGCGAAGAATATTTGATCGTATACGAACGACTCGTATACGAAAAAAGTAATTAGCAAAAGAGAGTAAACTATCGAACAGTCTTCAATAATCCTAACCTTCCTTTATCCGAAAAGTTTTCTACGGGTTTCGATCTACCGCGAGATGGCACCACCGCGTTAACGGATATACTCGTACATATGCATTGTCTATCTTAAATTATCCTCTTTATCGGACAGATTCTTCGTTCCGTCTTATTAAAATATCATCGTACAGCGAATACGATTTTGCGAATATAATATTTAAATTTCTTTAGTTCGGTATGCAATGCGCCTCCACCGTCTAAAGTCGAACGCGAAGAAATTCACGCGGCATCCATTGGCGAGATTCATTCTCCAATGAGACGCCGGCGTTAAACGTACTCCGTCGCTAACGGAAATAATCAAAGTGTAGCTACGACACGATAAACGGGTAGGGAACTCCGACGGGATATTATGGAAGGGGATTCGCTGACTTCCTCGTAGCTTCCTCGTAATCGTTATCGTGATTGTCGCCGAGTTAACCCCAACCGATCGTTGACACTCGACGAGAATAAAACCGCTGGCAAACCGCTTTCCGAAGCAAACCGACGGAACAAAAATTATCGATCGTGCTACGCACACGGTTAAAATACTAGATGTACACTCGTATTTGCTTGTCGCCTTTACATTGACCGCTAGCAACCTCGAGTATCGCAGCAAGTGCATTCGATAGGTACGAAAATGTTTATTGCATTACGAATATTGAAATATTCTCATTACGTTCGTAGACGATTTTCTAGATATCGTCTCTTTAAATCTACTCCCTCCGACTAACCATTACATACGCCTTCATTACTTTCGACATCGATAACATTACATTATATATCGTTCAAGCTGTTCGTCCGGATTGCGTAATCACTACTTTCTTCCCCTTCCTTCTTACCTTTAACTATTCCCGTCATATTCGACCATATTTGTTGCAAAATCTCTTTCTATAAGCGCAAAATAATCCATCCTAAATTTTGACAAGTTCTCCTTTCCTCATGAAATATCGGAGCTCGGACTCAGCCCTGACGCAGCCCTGACGCAGCCCTGACGCAGACCTGACGCAGCCCTGACGCAACCCTGACACGTGCGGCACTTTTAATTCGGACCGTCCTACTTAAATGATGGACCCATTAAAAGTCAATCGATCGATTTTTACGATATTGAAAAAATAACCAATTGTATTTAAAAGCGATACTGTTTCCTGGAAGAAAAAAGAAAAAGGAAAAAAAGAAAAAAAAAAGAAAAAAGAAAAAAAAGCGCACCAAACACCATGACCAGCACCGTCGGTCACAAGCACCACAGGAATCGGTGGTACTCATAAGCCAGGCAGGGCAGAACATAACAGGTAAAACAGGTTTGTGGGCGTCCTGAGAGAGCTACCTGTACCGCTTCTTCTGGGCCCTTCCGATTCTCTGAGCCTCTCTTCTCCTCAACTTCGGCCTCTCCTTTTGATAGAGGAACCCTCGCTCCTACGGAAGGGTCTTCGAAAAAGATCAGAAAAAAAGGTCATGCGGTGGGAGAAGGGAGAGAAGCAGGAAAGGGAAACGGACCACGTCTACCGTGAGCGCTCTTATGCATACACGTTCACCTGCGCGAGAGCGCGCGTAACATAATACGATGAGGATCCCATCGTGCAAATGCCAAAAGAATTTCGTTACTCGAGAGTATGCGCGCTGCTGTCCAGGGACGCCTTGGGATTTGAACCTTCTCCCGCTATAGAAGCGGTTCGACACACTTCCTTCCCTTCCGATAAAGACAATTTAAATGTTTTCAACGATTCGAACCGATGGAGCTTCGCCTTTTTCTAATCGTTCTCACCTTTAATCGGACATAATTAGGTACATGTTATGATTTTGCTTACGAGCAAATCAAATCCTTTCTACGTAATAATAATAAATGTAATATGCTGTGTTTTTACAACGGCGTATCGCTGATATCGCTATATCATACGTACTTGTATATATCGAATTAAAGCTCTTCCTTTTATTTCTCACGAGTATCGATGGAACACATTCGATTATACATATCCTTAGATATACGCACACCTATATATATATATATATATATAGCAATATGTAGAGGCACGCACATATATAGAGATATCTATAATATGAAGGTGACTGTGAAAGTGCACGCATACGTATGTATATATAAATGTAGACCTTAAAGAGCAGGTAGCGCGCTTTCAATTCGCCTTTGAGATAGCGCGGAAGATCGAAGAAGCTTGGAACTTTTGAGAAGTTAGTAGAGAGGGTCCTCCTTTCTTTGACTGATCGCACGTAAATTTTGAAAGAATCCACGGGTCCATTGTGGATCATCGGTCGTGCGAGAAAAGAAATTTTCCTTCGGCGAGCCGACCATAAGATCTTCCCACATACCTGCGTCGTGATTAATGTCACGCCTGTACGAGACATTTTTCAAGTTATATCTTTTTATACGAAAATACATATTTAATGTATTACGTCGGTTAACATTATCGTTCGTCGTAAGCTACGCAGTGTTAAAGTCTAGACGAAACAGCCGGATGGATCAAAGTGACCTATGGCCGTCATGTTGTGTGTACATATGTAGCTGAATCGAGTGATCGATTGAAATCCCGTTGGCGTATCTTATTCTTTCATTACTCGATGGCACTGTGTAATCGACGCATATCGCATTTACGATAGAGCATCGAACGCTGTAAGCGAAGTGGTTTAGTAATCCGGCAGCGGCACTTGCGCAATCCAGGAATTTCTCATGCGAGGCGAAGGAAGGAAATTGCGTTGCCCAATTAGAAATCGCGGGAGACCGCAGAAGGTGGAAAGGAACGAGATAAAGGAAAGAAAAGGAGATAAAAATAGGGAGAGGGAGACGAAAGGATGATCGTAAGAAAGAAGAAAGGTATACACCGGCTGAGAAGGGAACAATATATATATATATATATATATATATATATATGTGTGTGTGTGTGTGTGTGTGTATATATGTGTATCTATATATATATATATATGTGTGTGTGTGTGTGTGTGTATTTAAATGTGATTAAATGTCATCGTTTCACTTTTCACGTAATTCTCACCAAAAGCGGTCAAAGTTATCGATCTAACTAAAATAACTTAGTAGTAGTCACGGATTGGTCTTTTTTCATCGCGATTCGCGAGAATATCACATCTCGAAGGCAGACATTCTATGGCAACGAGCGATGACGAGGCCTTTGCAAGAATCCGGTCTCTTCCTCCTCCCCTCCTTTCTCCTTTTGCTTTTCTCGAACGATTACGACACTGCTCCTCTCACCTCCGCCTAATCCCAAATGCCGTGTTGCAGAAGCACTGGAATGAAGGAGGACGAGCGGTCGAAGAAGAAAGAAAAGGGTAGGAGGGCAAATGACAGAGAGGAGAAGAGAGCTCCACTCGTCATCCCGGATGTGCAACATCTTTACATGCTATTCTTCGATGCAGTTACCTACCAACACGATTGTTCTCTTTTTCGCCTATTAACGAGTCTTCAGGTATACTTGTCTACTGCATAGATGTATGTACACTCGTATGTAATAAATACGACATATATCCAACGCGTCTATGGCACGCACGCACGCACGTACGCACGCACGTACGCACGCACGCACGCAATGAATAATAATAATCATGAAATAATAATAATCATGAAATAATAAAATATTAGAAGAAATATTCGACCGATTGAATTTGGACGCGAGTATGATTTCGTTATTACATTATTATTAAACGAATAATAGCAATCGTTGGCCTATTCGACTGAGAATCCGACCGAGCGAGTATTCGTTGCTTTGGAGAAAGTGTCTCTTGTACGATGCCTTAAGGCGCATTTCACATGCGCTTTAAGAGCCCCGGCAAAGAGCGAGTTCCGACTCGCGGGCCGTGTGTTAACGCACGCTCGGCTTATGTAATCGGTTACGGTAATAGCGTAGTTATAGCAATCCGGGAGCAACCAACGGGTAACACAATTCCTTGTTAATACGCTAACGAATATACTAACTCCAACAATATACACTGCTATCGTCAATTTTCATATGAGATTCGTCTTTATAAAATACAAAAACTAGAAAATACGAGTTATAAAGCATCTGTCCGCGAGGACTTTACCTCGACGACTTCATTTATCCCCCAAACGATATAAACTTTCCATTTCTTTATGAAGCACGAGTATTTATTTATCTATTATTTAACAATAAGTCGAAAGTAATTGATTCTTTTTCATTCCCAAGATAATCATTCCTTAAGCATAAACCTACCAATTATATCTGTTACATTAAAAATATGTCATTTCGATGGAATAACGATCGACCCTGCGTGCGATATGAGTTACTTGTAATTTAATACATGTGTTAACGCTCGAACGAAGGAAACGAAAGCGATCAAATGAACGATAAGGAAGAAACTCTTGAAGTGAGCGGCAGACGCTTACAGCTATGGCGACTTCATGATTTGACCCGTCGAGCCGACGAACCGGTTATCAATGCTCGGAAGCGTGTCGTTCGGCTCGATTACGATACGTCCTCGATGTAGGTGAGTACAGGAGCGTATATCGTCGTGCACCTACCCTATGATGTATGATGTATTATCGTTTATATGTTTATATCAGCATTGGAAACAGCATCAATCTTTTGCCCGCTAATAGAACCAACGTTTTACACCAAAATAATATCCTTTCTTCCTTCCTTTTTTCCGAACTTTCACGGTCTATTCCTTTTACCTTCGATTACTTGTTCATTTTCGAATCGGCTTTATTATTATTATCGAATCAAATCTCTCATGACAATCGAAGAATCAAAGTTTTCGCATTCATTTTTGAAACGTATAGGTATGTATTGCATAAGTTATATAGATATGTGCGCGAGTATTCGCGGAGGCAAAGAGAATCGGATAGGAAGACGAACGAGCGGAACTGAGGTCCGTGGAGCTTCCTTTCCTTTCGACATGCCTGGCTGCCTTCTCATCCTCTCCCACAGATTACGACCAACTTTTCTCTCTCTCTCCTTCTGCCCCTCTCTCTCTCTCTCTCTCTCTCTCTCTCGCGCGCGCGCGTCCATTACCTTCACTCGCTTGCTTATGCGCGCACAAACACACAGGTTCGAACGCACACGATCGAACGTACACGTTCACCTTCTTACTCTCCCTCTCTTGCTTACCGATGTGTAAGCACCACCACGTTAACGACAAGCAACGAGCCGCTGCTAATACTACTAAGAACAACAGTAATGGTCGTAAGACTATTCGAATCGGAGCAGGTCTGGAAAGAAGGAACTACGTTGGACGCACCTACTTCCGGGATGCGTCTCAGCTCGGCGCACCTTCATCAACGAATGATACGTTCTCAACGATCTACATCAAATCTTCTAATACAATTTGCTATCATCGAATTCCCCTTTTCTTTCGGATTATTAAAACTAAATCCTAACTATACTATCGATACGATCGATTATTTGATTTTAAAATAAATTATTTTCGACGAGAGATTTGACTCGTCAAATGATTATTCGAAGGAATTAACTTGCGAACAAAACTGTTAACACACGTACGTATATAATGGAGGAAACCATTACCTCATTCCGCATCCTTAAGTTCCTATCGAACGGCTTTACCGACTCGACCGACGATCGAATCACTTTACTTTCTACGTACAAGGAGCTTTTGCAAGTTTACAAATGTAAAACGTACTGTGATGGTGCGCTAACTCGTTTACCCATGGCAAAGATTTTGTATAAATTCTTTGTATATCGAACAACTAATCGAACAATATCGAATATCTTTGCAACCTCGAGAAAATACTCGTGGCACGATAACCACCAACGCCACTGAGCTCGAGTAACATTAAAATGATTGTGACCTTATCTCGATGCATGCGTACTTTCACCTACTTGAAGCACACAGGCTGTATGTTAAAACATGCAATACTTCGCGCGCTATACATACGATACCTTTGGAGCAATTTGAAATTGATGCATTATGCGTATAAATTTTACGCAAATTAATAACATAGTTGAATCATCCTCTCTCTCTCTCGCACGCGCGCACCTAGAATTTATCAAAATGATGTAATCGCTTTCTAGCGAGATTACAACTAGTACAACTAGCAACCTCCTTGCGTTATTGGTCCTTTTAGTAAAACCTTTAAAGTTTTACGAAGAGCATGAAATTTACCAAAAAATTCCAGGCGATCTGCAAAGGTATGAAATTCCATCCGTTCACCGATTTTCTCTTGTCACGACAACATAAGGTGCGCATAAGGTGAAGGTATCGATTGCGCAACATCTATATTATGCAACGAAGGCGGCTTCCTGCTGTTATCCAATCGTCCGGAGCACAGGAACTCGATATAGTTGCACAGTCGCTATTTTCAAAACGCTATTTTTCTTTCTCTTAGCTTCGTCAAAGTGCTCCGATAAATGAAATTATCTACGTAATCACAAACGAGTTTTTCGTCTATTGAAATATAGTTTTGAAACGCCCTGTTATACAATTACATTGCTAATGCAATACCTTGGGTAAAGTGATCGATCTTACGACGATACGACTTGTTTGATCCTTCTTCAAACATTTATACTTCCATTTCTACATTCCTTTTACGTAGACATCTACATACCTATTTTACTAACAATAAATCGGAAGGCTTCGTATGCTCATGCAGAAGAATGTAACGAACTTTTATAGGAAGCCGTAGCGCGCATCTGACATTTGGAAGCGTTGCGAAAGCGACTGTGGGAAGTTCTACGCGAAGCTGATATTTACGCGCGAAGAAAGTAAAGGCACCAGCCATGATGTTTCGAGCTCGATCGATTCTCGCTTGCTACGATGAAGTAGGTAGAATATAATTCTTTCTCCATGACAATTTGGTATTGGGCGGATTAAATGTCACAATCAATACCAGTTCATACGTCTAATTGAAAATTAATGCATCGTATAAAAGGATATCGCATTGAAAATGATTTAGATCTATGATTTAGATATTCGTTCTTAAAGGTATTCGGTCTTAAACCGTTGAAAAATAAAGGTCCGGACAAAATTGACGGGCGATTGTACGAGGGACACATCCGTAGACGATTGGAAATAATTCCTGTGTGAAATCCGTATGATGATGATCGTAACGCTCGCTCAACGATCGTCCATATTAATGTTCGTAAGCGTCGCTGATGCAATCCTGGTATTCGTAGCAAGTAGAGATAGACGATAAATCATGTATTTAACGCCCTGCTCTCCCTTACCTAGCCTTGAGTCTACGTTGCACGGAGCATATATCGTATTTAAGGATAGTAATCCGAACGAACGCATATCGTAGACGCTAGACGCTAGACGCTAGACGGTAGACGCTTACCGTGCTCTTGATTCTATTTTCCTTTTTTCTAACGCCTCGCCAATTCGCTAAGATACGCAACATAAATGTTGGAAAACTAAGGCATTCTCGCTATACTCGAACGACCGTATCGAGAGACGCGTGTATGCTTATATGCCTGATAGACATGAGTTGGTTTCATTAGGTTCTCAACTCTATCAATCGTTCCATGTTACGTTTTACCAGTATTAAAATATTTCAAATGTTCTTTATTAGAAAGGGTATGATCATAGCTGTTTGTTTTCTCTTTTTTTATGCAATTATACTTAGTAAAATCTCTACAACAATACTATACATTCATACATACATACATACATACATACATATATATATATATATATATGTATGTGTGTGTGTGTGTGTGTGTGTGTGTGTGTGTGTGTGTGTGTGTGTGTGTGTGTGTGTGTGTGCGTGCGTGCGTGTGTATAGACATTCATATTGTATACACATATACATATATATATATATATATATATATATATACATATACACACACACACGCACAGACACACACACAGATACGTAAATAGATATGTTAATAGATAAGATAGAATAGTAATTGCGAGAGAGAATAAATCGTAATCTTCCTTCGCGTTGAGAAACGCGTTCAGTTGGATGGCAACTCGGTGGATGCTATCCACTCGCACGTTCTCTAGACAGAAAAGAGAACTGCGAGAAATTCTGGCGCGGAGCGCTACTTCCTGTTCAGTCGTCGCAGAAACTCCCGAGGGTTGGCTGGCTGGGAGGCATTTCATTTCCTTGGCGACTTCCGGCAAACGCGACGCTTCCGCCGTATCGGGACCGGGGCCGCCGTCGGCGTCGTAGTCGGCGTCGGCGTCGGCGTCGGCGTCGACGTCGTGTTCCTGCCCCACCCTTGTTCCGGTTCCCGTTTCATCCGCTTCCATCCCAACCACCCACCTAGGCATCCAAGCAGCCAGTCAGCCAGCCAGCCAGCCAGCCAACCAACCAACCAGTCAGCCAGCCAGCCAGCCAGCCAACCAACCAGCCAACCGACCGACCGACCGACCGACCAACCGACCGACCGACCACCCTCTATACTACGTCGCTTCTCTCACCCCTATCCTTTCCGCGCTTTCCTCTATCTGCCGCCCTTCCGCTCTACCCTCTTTCCCGTTCCTCTCCTTCCGCTCCACTCCTACCCACGTTGATGGTGCACAGAGCACTTCCGCCCACCCACCATCCCTTTCTCTGACATTTTCCTTTAACTTCCGTTCGTTCCTCTCCTTCGATCGTGCTTTTGCTTTTCTTTTAGAACCTTTCCAGTATCTAGACAATTAATAGATGTTCTATTTTTAGAAAATACACATTAGTGCTTCTTTTTACACTTTTTTCATTAATTCAATTCACATCTTCAAAAGCTAAAGCGACTTTTCTGCATTAACGATTGTAATCCGAAATAATAATCCTATTGGAGACGAAAATCTTCATGGCCTCCAATAAATATATCTATATGTGTATGTGTGTATTTCATAAGGTACTATTAAATTCGGTAGATATACTTAACCGGAATCAAACGAAATCAAAATTCATCTTCGATTCCATACTTGATCGTTGAAATCGTCGAAAAAAGTTCGTTGGTATGCCGTTGATCATTTGATCATTCCGAAATCTACTTAAACGCAACAATCGAGAATACACCTCCTTCTCTTTTTGAATAAAAGCCTATGGTCTGTCGAGTTGGTATTTCGTGTAACGGGAGGAATTGGTATGCTCCTTCGTGTCACGAGATTACGTATTCTCGATGAGAAACCGAGCGGTTCGTGTACTTACCCCGGATGTACGTGTGCCAGCAACTTGGTGAGAAGTGTGCTTTACGCACCTGTCGCGAGTTTCGATGTATCTTTTACACTGCGGTGCCAACGAACTCTAGCGATCCATTCGAAATACATTCCAAACATCGTGGACATTTTTTTTTACAAGGAATAAACCATTACTTTGTATACCTTGGCTTGTCTATTGGCGTTGCTTTTGTACGAGTAGCAACAAAATTTGCTTATAAAAGAGAGAAATCTTATAATTTATCGATTGTTTTAACATGTATTATATCGAAAGATATAATAGATAATATTTTTTGACGTAATACATTTTAAAACTTTTTCCGCGCTAAAATCTCCAATGTCCGAAAAGTTACTATGCACCCGCACACGCACATTAATACTCTTGCTTGCAGCGCTCATGTGTGACTGTAAAGACGCGCCGGGATGATGATTATCGAGGGAGGCGACCGAAGAAGGTTGCCGCACATGTGTTATATCTATCCTAACAACGTAGAACGTAGAACATAGTAACCTTTCACACGACCCCAGAATTTGGATTTTCTCAAGGTTCACTCGTGTGTCCCATCGCGTCGGGCTACCTATGTATATAACGCTACGTATACTTATATACATACGTAAGATTTTCTTTTCCTCTCTCTCTCTCTCTCTCTCTCTCTCTCTCTCTCTCTCTCTCTCTCTCTCGTTCGAAATTTTGAAATAACATGAAATTTCTGGTTTATTTTCGCAGTTATTTTTGCCACAAGAGTAACGAAAAAGAATGTCGAGTTCATAAGTATACATTATGAGTATACATTATGAATATAACGCTCGAGTAAATTTCGATAATAGGCTAAGGTGACGCGATGCGGTACTCTTCTCTGTGGACATCTTTCAACGATCGATACCGATCGGGGCAGCAGAAAAAGAGAAGAGAAACGAGAGAATAGCGAAAGAGAAGGAGAAAAGAAGGATCTAGCTGGAGTTATACGACACCCCCTCCCTTTTCTGAACTGAGTTTTACTATCATCCCTACATATGGGGATGGTAGTGCGGCACATTCTAAACCACGCGGGACGTACCATCTGTGCACGTTCTGTCGCACACCCTCCCGCTATTTCGTCGAAAGTGACTACGTCGCGCTATCGAGAAGAATGTCAGCGTCCTTTCAAAAGACAAAGAAGATAAAAGTGAATCTCAGAGATGTATCGTTTTTATTCGTTATCCCTTTTGCCTTTCCCTTTTTAGAAATTAATCAACCAAAGTAGAACGATGTAATATCTAGATTCTCAAAGTTGAAAAACGATTTATAATTCGACGCAATTAACTCGTGAACCTCGCTAATGAATTTTTTTATTCAAACGCAATTCAAACGCAAGACCCAAGTTAGATTCAAGTGTTAAGCTAGATCGATCGATCGATCGTAATACTAAATCGATGGAGAATAAAAATGGAAAAAAATCAATATATCGTGGTAATGCTTACGTAGCGAAGCGGAGCGCGCAAAGTGATCTCACTCGAGACAATTGCTGCTGGCCCCATCAAGCTTCATCAGGGTGATTAGCGAACGACATACCCCGTGGGTCGCTCCTTTAGATTAGCCGGTGCCCCCGACTCGCGGATCTCCCCCACCCCTTTTCTCTTTCCTACGTCCTACGTCACCACCGGGACCGTCCTGCATACGTCGCCTTCTTTCCTTCTCATCGCCTTCTTTGTTCCTCTTCTTCTCCTCGCGATCATTCCGAGCGTTCGAGCCACCAATGAACGTGACACATCGGTCAATGACACGCGTGTGCACATGCGGGTAAAGTAGCCCGGCCACGCTCGAGAGGCTTCTTCCTCCTCTGATGTCTCCTCTCCTCCTTCTTATCATTATTATTATAACCACTACTGCTATAGTATAATCGTCAGTATCATGCACGATGTATTAATCCCTCTTTCTCTTTAAATCGTACAAATTTTAGTAATTCGCCTTTAAACGGAGAGCAAACGATAGCTGCTCGGTGAACATTAGATGAAGGCTCGATAAAGACTCGATAAAGACTCGATGAAGACTCGATAAACATTCCTTAACAGATTCTCAGTTACGAAATCGGAGATATATCTACCTGCATCTCATATATCTAATCTACGTATTAATGCTGAATGCTTCTCGCGGCAGGACGCTTCTACGTACGTATGATATGTATGATACACACACACACACCTACATATAGATATACTGTAAAAGTAGAGGAACCCTCGCCTCGTACTCACCCCTTGAGCTTGCTTGTCTAGAACTCCCCTTCCTACATCGGCCCGAAATCTGGCCACACCTCGAGAATACTCTTCCGAGTATTAGTCACTCCTAGCGCAGCTGGGTTGCGTCCCTGGAGTTGTTGCTGGTTCTTCCCTTCTCCATTTCCAAGGCCGAATCAATCTCGGTTTATCCTAGAGGCGGGTTGGGATTTGATCGGTGCTCCCAAGTAGCGGCAAATATCCTTCTGATTTTTTACTACCATCTCCCTCTTAGCAACTGCACTTTAGTGAATTTTCTTAAACTTGCCTGGAATTTCTTCTATCGTCAATAAGCTTTATTTCGTTGATAAATTGATAGGTGCACGTATCATATGTACCTATACGTATGTAAATGTAGATAACGATCTACATTATTGATACATATAAATATCTAAATTTACAATAATTCAATCTACTTTTATCTCACTTGTAAACTAAGAGAATTCTAATTTCAAATATATAAAGACATATAAAAATATAGCGTATTCGTTTGCTATCCTTACCCTCGTTTTCTAATCGATAACGTGTGCAATGCATATCTAGCTGCCCTTGTGAAAACGGAAATATGGCGAAGGGAGCGAAGGCCGCTGATTTAGGAGAGGGCTGAATTTGTTTGTCGAACCGGGCTTCCCTGCTAATGCCCTAGTTAGTACTTTGGTTTCTTTTGTGCCACCCTCCAACTACTAGCCGCGCTCTCTTTCTCTCTCTCTCTCTCTCTCTCTCTCTCTCTCTCTCTCTCTCACTACCACGTCCCCCAAATCCGTGGATTTTAACCCTCGCAGGAATGGGAAATGCACCCTTCCGCTATCCTACTATGGTTATTCTACTTTGTAGAATGCAATTTTCATCTCGCACACCATTCAAAAGCATCATCGAGCGTCCACGTTTTCGTTCCTGTTCAATAAATGTAGCTATTATATACTAATAGGAAAAAGTAAGAAGGAATACGAAACTTCATGAATCTTCTTCGTTTCTCTTTATTAAGTGAGTTGTTTAGTTCTTTTACCTGTCGAATAGGAATACGTAGACCTTGTATCATACTCGTCAACGAATATAAGGGAAACCCTTCTCGCTGATGCTTCGTATTTTGAAAGCAAGCCACTCTAAATGATGAGATTTTCGATGCCATCCGTCGCGCGGAGGAAGGGTCGCGTTTGTTGAAAGAAACCGGAGCGCATTAAAGTATTGCCGGAGCGCTTTCGCTTTTGGCTTTTGCTTTTGCTTTTGCTTTTGCCTTTATAGCCGCCTGGAACAATGACGAATCCCCGACGTCATTGTGGTTGCCCCTGCAGCTCCGATGAAAATGCAGGAGGAAAGGGAAAAATGTAAAAGAAAGCGCGGCGAATGTGGGAAGAAAGAAAATAGAAAACAAAAAGAGAAAAAGAGAGGAAGGTGTGCATCAGGCAACAGTCACTCGCTCCTGATTACACGGACCATTGTGCAATGACAACGAAATCGGTATATGAGAGGACGAATGTAAAAAGGCGCCCATGACTGAGGAAAGATAGGCTATAGCATCATAGAAATTCGTAAGTGAAATTTTTCCAATTAAAGAAACAATCCAAGATAAGAGATTTCCATAGAAATCAAAACCGAACCAATATCTCCAATGATCCTTGAGATATTCTCACGATTAAATAAAAGTATATTACTTACTTAGTACATACGATATGTAAACGTCGATTCGAAGTGGCATTTTTCAGACTCATTTACTGCAACTATAACACCTTGACGGATTATAATGAACGAAAGTAAAATCTTATTTTGCTCGTTATTCACGATGAACGAATATTCCTACATCATTCTGAGTTGAGAGCTTGCAATTATGTAGATACTGCGCATGTACATGCGTGCGTTAATATGCGCAATCATCTCTAGATGGTAGGTATCTCTAAATTTCCCAGTAAAATTGTCATTTTCTCTTTCTCTCACAATGGACTAATGCTGTTTGAGCTTTTCTTACAGTAAATATGTATCCGGACGTAATATTTCGTTAGAAATATTCATAAAACTACATTAATGAATTTGACATGTACTACACAGAGACAGAGACAGAGACAGAGAGAGAGAGAGAGAGAGAGAGAGAGAGAGAGAGAGAGAGAGATTCCAGTTTTTACATATACCACGTAAGCCACTGCACTGCAACGAATGCACGTGCATTGGATTAAAGACTCGTCGTTGATACTTCGCTAACCTGTCGCGGAGAAACCGGAAACGAGTTGAATTCTTACGTGGAAACGCCTCGATCCCGCAGGCCAAGCAGGTAGGACTGGTAAAACGGGTGGGGCTTCCGCTTTCAGATCGTCGATCAGGATTGATACATCGATCATTCCTCGTACGTATAAAAGAACCGTACAAGTGGTTGAGCAGTCCTTATCATGAGTAATCTCATTAATCGCCGTAAAAATCGCTTTTATTTTTTTCAAACATAACGCTCGTACGACTGATGTAGATGATATAGATCGCATGTATGTATATATATATATATATATATATATATATATATATATATACACATATACATATGTATATATCGCTCTTTTCTTTTGTCACTGAGCAACTTTAAAACGTTCCTTCAACAAAGATTTCGCTACTTTTGTAATCTTTTGCGCATAATACATAGATACGACATGAGATCACCAAAGAACTTTAACATAAACCGCAACACAGGAGGATGAGGCAATGTTACGAAGTATCGACGTTTCGGTGTAACGATATCTTCTTTGAAGGTTTTACGTGTCTACGACCTTCTAAGGGTGCGGTTGGGATCACGATTGATTCGAAAATAATAGTATTCGAATGAAGAAAGATGAATTTTTGTCTCTGCAAAAAAAAATCGATATCATCACCCACGCAACGTTATCTATGACTTATACGGAAGTCATTTAGTTGTAAAAGTTGGAAGATAATTTCACTATATGTATATTATATTTGGATTGTATGAGTCATCAAAAGTTGATATTTATAAGTCGACGCGAGTCCTAACAACTATTTCCCACGATCCATGATACACGTCAAAATATTCATCATCGAGTAGGGATAACGGTGCCGGGATACTTTTCGTTCGAACAGCGACTTTAAGTCCCGAAGCAAGGTAGTATCGGTATTTCTTGCGGTTCTTTGTCCCGCAGGCCGTATACCAACCTCACCTCACCTGTGCCAGGCCAGTTCGTCCAAGTAACTCGATCACGCGTGGCATACTGTGGTGGGGTACTCCTCCCTCCTCCAACTATGGTAACATCCTTCGGAGCGTCTCCATCTTCGCACTCGCTTCATCTATTCTCGCAGTGCAAAGCTATCGTTTTGCTTCCATTTCTGTTTTTATTCCTTCTACGAATCAGCATCGACTACCTCTCTCTCTTTCTCTCTCTCTCTCTCTCTCTCTCTCTCTCTCTCTCTCTCTCTCTGTCTCTCTCCTTTCAACTACATCTCTACTACTCTGCGTAGCTATCTATCGCTCTCACACTTCCAGTGCTCTCTTCGTCATTGCAAAACGTTATACGCTTCATTGTAACAATCTGAAAGAATATCGAGTTTCAAGGCGTTCCGCTGACTGTTCGACCACTCTTACAAATAAATAATTACATATTGATATGGCTTTATACGTAAGAAATAAATTTTCAAACTAAAATAAAGTGCCGATCGTTACAATAAACAAACGAATATGATTAGATGAAGAAAATAAGTTTGAGAAAAGCGCTCTAACGTATCTTGCGTCGATCGTCGAGATCGCAGAGACTCGTATCGCAGAGAAGAAGGGGGGCGATAGGGGGCGATAGAAGCCAAGAGAGATGGCCGCACAGCCAGGTCGGTCATAGACTGCTTTTTCTAAAGAGTATGAGAAGCTGGAATAACCGACCCGATGAACCGAGGTTCCGGAGGACAGAACGGTACACGATGCCTTCCTCCTCCTTCTCTTCCAACCTTCACCGTGAGGCCACCGAAGATGAGGGCCAGCAGGACCTCGGAGTTCCCACTCTTGAAATTCCTACGTACGCTTCTGATGGACACAGGCATACGTATAGGTATACGGTACTCGCGCGCTGTTACCTCGCCAAGATACACCTATGCTTTTAGGAAAATAGTTTTCGTTATTGCACTATTCCTCAAATTCGCCTAATTCGCCTAATTCGCCGTATCGTCGATCATTTGTATAATGGACACATACTAGGACACGTACTCGCATTACATATCGTACTATTAAATATTATTTTCTTTAAAACATTTGTCATCGTTTACTCGTCGTTTACCCGTCGTTTACATGCCGTTTACGTATTGAATATTTCGAACGAACGCGTTGAAGTCATTCTGGAGGCAGCGCTCTACGTTGTAAGTTAAATCTCTAATTGAAATCATTTCAACTTGCTTCGCAATCTAGACGCGTTGAGAAAGTTTTGACTCTCGAGCGCAACCATCCGGACGAAAATTACTTGCTTGCGATATGCGAAAAGTGTCTATCTTTTGCAATGATTGTTTATTCTAAATTTCCAATTATTATGGTATTCTTGCCATGAGAGCACTTTAATAGACGACTAAAGGTTAACGACAATTCCAAGAACGCTCGACAATTTTCATCTCGATCCTCTAAAATGACCCCAATGCTGCCTTAATTTAGACAATTTGTCGTGTGGTCCTATCTCGACGATTGTGCCATTATATACGCTTCTTCATCCACCTTCACGGACATATCCACCTAACTATCCTAGTTTTTATTTTTATCCCTTATCCCGTAAAGGTCATAAACGATCCTTATGATTTCGTTGATTAGTTTAGTTGATTATATCGATAAAATTTAGAAATTATTCAACGAACAATCTCGTATATGCGTAACCAAACGGAAAAAACTTACTCGACGTTAAAAGATCCGAGGAACGCGATAATACGCGAGTGTCCTCCTCTATTTCCGTTTACGCTTATGTACCTCGCAATCAGCCGTCGGGCTCTTCCAAGACGAGCGATTCGAGATGGAGCAGGAGAGAAACGATGAAACGAATGGAAGAGGGCACTCCGTTATCGTTCACCTCTCATAACGGTTTCTTCGACGGAGGGCGCGATCCCACATCGCTTCGTGTCGTCGCTGGGTAAGAATGGCTCGCCGTTTATATCTATCCATCTCTATGTATCTATGTAAGTATGTATATCCATGTATTTATATACCATATTGTAATCGATCGATACGTATCCACGTATCCTTATTACGTGATACTTATTACATCAGCGTATGATCGTAGCCCATCGATCAAACGATCGTTGCATCGTCAATAATTTTCAATAAAGTACAAGCACAAATTTTAAAAGCTGAATATTACAAAATCAAGATGTCTTTCCAGTGATTCTTTGGACGATTCATTCTAAATATTAGCTTACGTAGAAATTATGGGAGAGGGAGAGAGAGAATAAAGTGAAGCTATGAAGTATAGAGGAATACGAATGTATCATCTAGTACTTCGTAATAACACCTTTGTTTCCGGTAATGGAACAAAACGCCAACTCCTTAAATGCTTTTATGCCCTCGATGTAACGGCTCCTCGTGACTTCTTTGGCTTCCGGTACAAGCGAGGGTCACTGAAGACCCGGAAGTTCGTTCGACTCAGCGCATTAACTTTCCTCGGAGCCCCTTAGTATTATATACCTTTCAAGCCATCGGATACTTTGCGAATTGTAGCACGCGGAAGAGTAAGTGGAAAGGCAATCTATGACACTACAGTCATTTCATCGTTTCTTTTTCCTTACAATCGGCATTCTAACCACGGAAAGGTTACAACGCTGCTCTATAATAATTACTCTGATATTTAATATATAATATTTCATAGATTGAATATGATAATTGAAAAAGGGTTACATCGCCTCGACTTTCGTAACATGAGTAAAATAAATCTTTAACGTATATATCTAAGCGTCAGTCTATTAACAGCGTATTGTAAACTGATGTGAAATACCAATTTTATATATATATATATATATATATATATATATATATATATATATAAAATAAAAATATAGTATAAAAATATAGTATAAAAACGCACATTTGACGAGACATTTATTACGTTATTATTAAACGAATCTAATTCATATCTTATAGCCTTTGTTCAAATCACTTGAAATAATATCAACAATATTCTTTTATATATTAGCAAAGCAGCTAAGAATACTAAAATTCTTTAAAAGTTCGTATAGCTGCAAGAATGTACGTACGTGTATAGCGTTTAGAATTCATACTACCTATGGTGTGCGTTACACTTCACCTACGTACATTTATATAACGCGACCGATGCAAGAAATACACACGCGATACCTATCCTCACGAATGTAACATTCAGCTAGGCGAATATGAAGCGCCACATGTTGGGAAGATGTGGGAAGATTCTACGACAGTATTACATTACCGCATTTACCCCAACAATTGGACCTAACGCGCTCGACGCCGAGTCAATTAAGAAGACTCTTTCTTCTCCCTCCGCCCCTCCCCCTCTCTCTCTTTCTCTGCCATTACGAGCCAACGGACGTACACATGAAATAAAAATAAAGAAGTAGCTTGATCAAGCTACTGTGACAGATTTGTAAACAGGTATAATATATTCTAATCAAACTTCGATATTATACATTTTTAAAGGAATGTAATTACTATTGATAATTCTACAATCTATATCGCACAGTAAAATTTCCTTTTTACATTCATTGTTTTCGTACATAATTCTTACTTATATGTAAATAAAAACAATCATGTACGATTCAACTTTAACGTGTTATAGAAAGAGATGTTCTTCGATGTATAAAAAATGTCGAATTATACGAACATCATATAAATATTATTTACTAATTTGATTTGACAAATTTAAAAATTACTTAATACTATGTACAAGTTTTACTATCTACTGTTGCATCTATTCTTGCAAGTCCAACATGATTAATTAATCGAAAGACTCGTGCGTGCTTGTGTGTGTGTGTGTGTATGATACTAAAGACTGCTCGTATTCTTTACCAACCATACGATATAATTGACATTAGATTTTTATATAAAAATTCCCAATTTTGTGACGAGAGGGGGGGAAGAGAGAGAGAGAGAGAGAGAGAGAGAGAGAGAGAGAGAGAGAGAGAGAGAGAGAGAGAGAGAGAGAGAGAGAGAGAGAGAGAATTGGAGAAACTCTTCCAATGACATATATTCTTTTCATAAGCTTCTGCCGCTCTATTAGTATCTACCTGTGTCTTCTTAATGAATTAGAAGAATAAATCATAGAGAGAAAATATGACTTATAGAAACCAATATATACATATATCTTACATATATAAATAACAATGAAATCTTTTTCTAATACTTGTTACTATATATTTTTACAAACAATTACGATTTAGATAATCCGGTGATAGCTATCTTTTTAATCGACTTTTTCTTTATTTTCAGAGTCTGTCTTAAGCGTTGATGTCGTCACCTGCAACACAGCAACCTTATGCAATAAATCAGATAATCGATTACATAAAAAGCAAGTTTATGTACGTAGTACGATTAAACGATGTTATGGTATATTTTTAATTAAAAATATATATCTAAAAATTAATGTTTATATATGTATATATATATATATATGATATATGAATACGATATACCTCCTTCTTATCGGTTACCAGTTCCCATGTTCTTTCGCTTAAAGAACCAACTACATTGACAATGGCCCGCCCCGTATCAGCGGTCAATTCTACGAGTTCCGAAAAAGTACTAGGCATTTTAAATGTCGACATATCTGACAATGTAATATCTGGCAGTACTCGCTCGTTATCTCCTGGCTTCACTGAAATAAGTAATGTAATCTTAAAATCTAAGACTCAATAAATGATTCATAAAATATAATAAAATTAAAGATAAACATAAGAAAGGAATAAACCTCTCTTATGTATGGATATTTTTTATAAATAAATCTAAACTAATAGAAATATGTAAAATGCCATTTCAAAAGATACATTAAACATTATCTTCTTGTAAAGTACAATGATAAGAAAAATGTTTTATCGATAGGAGGGGTAGGTATTAATGTTAACTTTAACTTTAATTCTACGATTTGTTTTATGAAATGTACATTAAAAAATATTGTTACTCACCGCCATAAATAAAGTTATAACTAACATTAGCATAATGTTTGGCATATTCTAAACTTTCCTCAGCTTTCTTAGGATAACAAATGGCTGCGATACTAAGAGCACCTGTACTGGTATATATCAATTTTTTCAAGAAGCCTCCTCGAAGTCCAAATATTATACCTGTCAGTCCACCGATTCCAATAGCACCGAAACGTGGCATAGTATTATCTTCTTCTTGAAGATACTCTACTAAATCTGAAATAAAAAGATGAAACACGCAGAGACAGGTAGTTTACTTACAATATGGCATTTAAAAATATTATTTGTACTTGTCTCAAGCATGATATACCAAAATACAAACATTGACTAATAATTAACATTAATAATATTATTTCAAAACATAGGAAAAGCTTTAATCGTACTAAAGTTTAATTTTTGTTAAATAAAGGATGTCGTTTCAATAAATTAATATATTTCTTTACATTGACTATGCTCCAATCCGGTGTTTATCTTTGACGTAACTGTGTCAGATATGACTTGCCATTGTAACATGACACCTTCGAGGGATCTTCTAATCGACCCAAATTGTTGCTCCAAGGCAGAAGATGGATAAACGTTTGAACTGCAAGTAATATCTCTAAGAATCAATTTGTACTATATCATAACCTAAAAAACATTGAACTCTATTTTGTTTTCCATTCGTTAATTTTTAGTTCATTTAATATAACATATGCGTACAAATTATTATTATTATTATTATTATTATTATTATTATTATTATTATTATTATTATTATTATTATTATTATTATTATTATTATTATTATTATTATATCAAGACGTCTAAAAATATAAAATTAGAAACTCTTCTAAAATTAGGAAACATATTACCGATGGTTTACCATGGAATATCTTTGGAGTAAACATCTTCTAACGGATAAATAGGAAGTTCAGAAGGTCGAATCATCTTGCTTTCTTTCTTATTGTTGCAAGGATCAGGAGAATCTTGAGGAGATTGAGATCGAAGTACTGGCACCGCTGCGCAAAGTCCGCATGGCATTAAGAACTTTTTCAGAAACTATATAAACATAAACGAATCGAGTTTCAATTTTAAAAGACGGTACACTCTTCGATGATTGAATAATATAAAAATTAACCGAACAGTCAGATATTAATTCTTGAACTATATTACAGGTAATATATAGTTGAACAAAATTCAATGAAAATATTAATGAAAAAGATATGACTCTTTATGTATCTCATTGTCGGACAAGCGAATTCACAAATAAAAGTCGAAAATACACTAGACAAGACCATTTATCCAACATAGTCATAACCTTTAAAACGCAATTACCTTTAATCTGTTCATTATAAATTTCGTGTATATACAATTGCTCCAAGTTTTGACTATTATATCAAAGACGATATGGCCGTTTAACTGTAGTAAAAGAACTGGAAATCATTAAATAGTAGATACGCGCCGTATACGTAACCGTTAATACGTAATTCGGTAAAGAAGGTGAATGATATACCGATCGAGAAACTTTTGGGTTAACTTTAGAGAGCAGAGTGACACTCTTTATAATACAATATGAAATGACTGTTGCGAACTTCTATAAAAGAAAGACTGAAAAATATTTTCCTAAAAATGGCAAATTGTGGGTGTATATATATATATATATATATATATATATATATATATATTGTATATATACGCACATAAGTATCCGTACACACATACTTTTATACCGACTCTTCCAAATTCCGTTAGAATACCGGGTTGATAATTATCGCAACGATGAACCGGTTCCCGACACGTTATATCTTTTCCAAAAATATTTCCAATTGTGTAATCCAAAAATTTGTGTACAAAATCATTCATTTCCCATTGAATTATATCAAAATGCTTTATCAATGATATTATCTCAATTTTAACAGCCAAAAATGTAATCTGATATTTATTTGAACTTTACCATACATCAAAACAATACTCCCAGATTGTAAAACGTTTCTATGGTAACGTCTCTATATGTATACGTCTATTTACTTTAGGAAATGAATGTAAAACTTCACAGTTAATGCCAAACATATATACATATGTATGTAATAAATCATATAAATCTCGAAAAGCATATTTTTCAAATATTTTTTAATCGGAAATAGTTCGATGTAAATAAAACTTTATAGAAAACTATCTCATGTAAAGCTTACTTTGTACGTATGTATGTAGCCAACCAGCAAGAGACACATTATATAATCCTTAAGATAAGTTATTAAAGATAGAAATAAAAAGATATTTATAAATATTAAATGAAAATTAACAAACGTGCACGTCATAATAATGAATAAAATGATGATTTATTAAGAAAAGAGTTATACTAATGAAAAAAGAATTTCTCTTTTATTAAAAATTGATCATATAACCTTTCGAGGCGCACATTATCAATAGATTATTTCTTTAAAGATATCAGATATCAGATGGCTTTAAGATACATATAAAAATATAAATATATGTATATACATATATGCATACGCATATATATATGTTACGTGCCGTAGGAGTTTGCGTAAACGCGTGTATTCTACGTGTCAAATTAAGAAATTGAAAATTCTTTTATTTAAAGCATATTTCGCAAAGTGCTTTCTCGTTATATTATAATTACAAAAGGTTGTATATAAATAAATAAGTATTGTTTCATATATCTTTTAATGTATATATATATATATATATATAAAATTTTTAATTTTAATGTCGGTGAACTGTTCATGTAAGCTATTAATAGTTACTATTTAATTACATAATTACATAGCAATAGATTTTTATCTATTTATTTGTCAATAGTTTATAGATATAAGAAAAACAACATAAGAAATCGTTAAATTAATAAATTAAACGGAGAGAGAGAGAGAGAGAGAGAGAGAGAGAGAGAGAAAACTATTGCGAATCCCTCTGAAATAATAACATATAATTTGTGTAAAGGAGAAGTCAATATGTTGTTAAATTTTCACTTGATATATTATAAAAGAATAATTATTAAAATGTAATAAATTATAGAGACGAGGAAGGTTAACGGTGGGTTGATAAAATGTGTGGAATTTGGGCTCTCTTTGGTCTAGATGGAAAGCCTATAAATTGTATCTGTGAAAATTTTGAAAAAATATCTCATCGCGGTCCTGAAGCATTCCGAATTGAATTTGATAATAGAGTTAAGGTATAAAATTCTTTCCAAACGATAAAATAAAATATAATACTCTATTAAAGATTTATGTTTTTAACTTGTAAAATGTTATCCCGCAGAATGGATATTTTGCATTTCATAGATTAGCAATTGTCGATTGTCTCAATGGGATGCAACCAATGAGGCTTAAGAAATATCCATATCTTTTTTTATTGTGCAATGGTGAGGTATATAACTGCAAGAAGGTAAATCTGTATAAATTTCAAAAACTACGTAAATTGAATATAAATTGTATTACATCTAAGACATGAACTTTTTTCTTTTTATGTTGCAGCTAGCGGAGCAATATAATTTTCAGTATACAACAAAGTGCGACGTAGAAGTAATTTTGCATTTATACGCCCAAGGTGGATCCGATAATGTCACACGATCTCTAGATGGTGTATTTGCATTTTGCTTACTCGATATTAAACAAAGGAAAATACTTATCGGAAGGGATCCATACGGCGTTAGACCCTTATTCAAATTATATTCAAATAGTGGACATTTAGCGATAAGTTCCGAAAGCAAAGTAATTTTAGCTTTTCTGAATGTCTGTGTATTAATAAATTTTATAATACATAATGCACATCATATTTATACAGGGTCTCATTAATATATGTAAACATATGCAAGATGAGTACATATTGCAACCATTTCTACCAGGTAATTACGAGGAATATGAAGTTTTGATCGACGGCCGAACAAAACTATTAAAAACCATCAACTATCATAAGCCCGGGGACAAACCTAACTTTCAAGTTTATACACCTTGGAATAGTACGTTAAGGATGAAAACGTAAACTAAGATCTTCTCTTATATTCATCTAATGTTAATAATAATGCGATAAAATATATTTTTCAGTGCTAAGTAATAGCGACGTACATGAGAACATAAGAAGATTGTTTTCGGCAGCTGTTGAGAAACGCTTATTGGCAGATAGACGAATAGGTTGTTTGTTATCTGGTGGTTTAGATTCCAGCTTAGTTGCAGCTACGCTTGTGCAACATGCAAAAAAACATAAGTTACCATACAAAATACAAAGTTTTGCGATAGGTATGGGAGATAGTCCAGACATTATTGCAGCAAGACAGGTAAGGACTACTTGTGTCTTTTTTCTATTGTTATTATCCTATTGATTCTTGTGCATATAACGAAAAAGAAATGTACATTTTTATATACTAGGTTGCAAGCTATATAGGAACGGAACATCATGAAATTATTTTCTCTTCCAAAGATGTAGCTGAAATTTTGGATAAAGTTATTTACCATTTAGAAACATTTGACATTACAACGATACGAGCTTCTATCGCGTAAGATTTTTCATATATTTTCATGTATATGTATATATACGTATGATATATATGTGTCTGTCCATCTTGTGTGCTTGTATATATATATATATATATATATATATATATATCTCATTTATTAAAAAAGAATTTTTCCGTTTACATGTATAATATTTGGTAGAAAATTACTTAATTATTTAAAAGAGCTTGGCGGAAAAAACTTATCTCAACTGTTTTAATCATCAAATTAAAAATAAGGAAGAATAAGTTATTAATGATTATATATCTTATTTATATTTTAGGATGTATATTATATCAAGATACATTTCCCAAAATACAGAAACAACTGTGATATTTAGCGGTGAAGGCGCAGATGAATTAGCACAAGGATATATTTATTTCAGGGATGCTCCCACAGCTATGGATGCGCACAATGAATCAATTAGATTATTAAAAGACATTTATCTTTATGACGGTTTAAGAGCTGATAGGACAACCAGTGCATTTAGTTTAGAACTTAGAGTTCCATTCCTTGATATACAATTTACAAATTATTATTTGTCACTTGATGCTGCCATTAGACAACCGCAAGGTAATTAAAATACGTATTTCAAATTTATCACTCGTTAAATTAACGAATAATACATTTTTAAGGTAGCTTAGATTTCTAGAATGAACATCTTTTCATTCAGTTTCTCATTAATACAGGTGGAATTGAAAAATATTTATTAAGATCTGCATTTGATGGTACTGACATATTACCATCTAAAATACTTTGGCGACATAAAGAAGCGTTTAGCGATGGTGTTACTTCCATTAAAAAATCTCTTTTTCAAATCATTCAAGATATTGTGGAAGATAAAGTACAAGATGAAGATTTAGCAAAAGCACGCATTAAATATCCCCACTGTACGCCAAAGACTAAAGAAGCCCTTTATTACAGGTGATGGGATCTCTCTCTCTCTCTCTCTCTCTCTCTCTCTCTTTTAAACCTTTAAATTAGTTTAAAATTCACGTAAGTCAAGGATAAAATGAACTTAATGTTTGTCGTTTTTAACAGAAATGTATTCGAATCATATTACGGTGGTCAAGCTGAAATTTTCACTCCTTACTTTTGGATGCCACGTTGGGTGGAAGACATCGTGGATCCATCTGCACGATTTATTAATCACTATTCTGCCGATGTAGATATTAATAACGATTATCAGATCAAAAATTGATAATAGAATTATATGAAAAGATGTACCTATCCTATAAACCAAATTTTTAACATCTTTTTATCATATTTGTTAATATGATAAGAATTAAATATATATTCGGAAATTCATGTACTAATAATATAAAAATATTAATATAAAAATAGTAATATAAAAATATTCTGTGGTATACATATTATTTTGTAAAAGAAAAAGTGCAACCTTTGAACTTTTTACTACAATAATTAAAAGTGATCTTTTAATATTTTCTCTAAAAAGAGAAAGATGTACCAAATTGTTAATAATATTAATAATTTTCATCTGATTCCAGTTATTACGGGATTGTAAAATATTATATTCTGCATGTTATTTCAAAGCTAATTTTTTCGATTGATGTTTCAAAATAATGAATGGATTAATAAAGAAAAAAAAACTTGCGCTACCCCTGGTGGGACTCGAACCCACAATCCCCGGTTTAGGAGACCGATGCCTTATCCATTAGGCCACAGGGGCTTACATTTCGTTATTTTCTCTTTATGTAACTATGGTGGAAAGAAAATCTTAACAAAGTAATTCTAACATTTATAAATGTATTGGCTCATTATCCATTTAACATATCGTGACAGTTCGAAATAAATCACATTTTAACTCGATCAAATTAGAGGAATTGCGTAATCCAATAAAAAACAGACTCGGTGATAATTGTCAACATCACTCATGTGTCTGTTATTTAAATCATAGCTGATCAGTTATTCCTATGAAATATATATATATATATATATATATATATATATATATATAACACATACATACATATGTACCTATAGATATAAAAATTTTCGAAAATTGTGTGTATTGTAATGTTCGCAATTTGAGCGTGCGAGATGCGCGATTTATGCGACATCTAGTGGGCTAAAAACAAACCGATTGATTTCGTTTACCCTCCTCTACAGGAGAGAAACAGATGATCTTCTATTACTGATCCGTGTTTCGTACAGAAAGAATTTTTATATTTCATAAACTCTAATTATTGTTTATTCGCATAGTGTAGTTACTGATGATAAAAATTTAACATTTAAAAAAATAATTTATAATTCAACGTAATATAATATAATAATAATAGTAATAATAAAACAATAATAAAGAAAATGCAATACAGAAACCTATATGCTCTGAGAATGCCAACGAAACATTTTAATTTTTGCATTTTAAAATATAGAAAATCATACAAAAGTCACATAAGAAATTTACAAGATGCAGCTAAAGATAAAGTTAATAAAAAATACACCGAAACTGTTATATTACCACAAACAGACTTTCAATTACGACTTAATGGGAAAAAACGAATTGACATGGATAAGTATTTACTAGAAGTAAGGATTATTTTGATTGCATTTTTATAACGAATAATGTTTATATAAAAGTGTACAATTTGAATTGAAGAAAAACCGTTACTTTAATAGAAATGTGGATTCTTAGATTTGTATCGTTGGCAAAGGAAAAATTTGGTAGGACCGGATTTTGTCTTGCACGATGGACCACCGTATGCCAATGGAGATCCTCACATGGGACATGCTGTCAATAAGGTTAAATATTAGATTTGATAAAAATTTATATACGATATATTAATTGAATATATCTGTCTAGAGGGTGTGCCATATTTAAAACAATCCGCTAAGGATACAAAGCGTTTCAAATAAAATTTAAAGAGTATTAATTGAGGATTGCTTTCCATTGCATAATCTATTTGTCCCTTCTATCTTCAGAGAGAATATAAGATTCTATTTAAAAAGGATTACGAATATGAACCTCTGTTATTTAAATATTTTCGCATATTGTGTCAAGGCATAAAAAGAAAAATGAAAATTCTTTTTCATATTTTTAATATAATTTTTCGATCGTATTAAATGGGACATCTTTTTTGCTTGAAAACGTCATATTATTAATTGGCAAATTTTTATGTATTCATAGATTTTAAAGGACATTACATTACGAAGTAAAATTATGAAAGGTCAACGAGTACATTATGTACCAGGTTGGGATTGCCATGGTTTACCGATTGAACTGAAAGCGATTAAAAACTTTGATACCGGATATCAGAAATTGGATGCCTTAGAAATTCGACATAGAGGTAAATAATTATATCAGTTTGCTTTAAGGATATTATATATGAAATAAAAGTTCTTTTTAACCTCGTGATATATTCCTAGCATGTAAATTTGCTAAAAGTGCCATTGTAAAGCAAAGAGAAGTTTTCTCTTCCTGGGGTATAATGGCTGATTGGAAAGAAACTGGATGCTATTTTACAAATCAAGTTTCATATGTCAAAAATCAGTTACAGCAATTTATGAATTTATATGAGAAAAGGCTAGTCTTTAGAGATTTTAAGCCAGTCTATTGGTCACCTTCCTCTAGGTAAAGTAAAATTTATTTTTTTTTTAAACAAAGTTCTATATCTGCTTGCTAATTGAAATTTAAAATTCAAAAAAATTGTAATTCTTTATAGAACAGCCTTGGCCGAAGCAGAATTAGTATATAACGAACAGCATGAAAGTAAATGTGCCATTATTCGTTTACAAATGTCTGATGTACCGTACAAGTTCAAAACATTTACCAATGGCAGTATATATGCCCTCGCATGGACAACTACACCTTGGACTTTAGTAGCTAATCAAGCTTTAGCATTTTCTATTAATTCTAAATATTGCTTGACCGAGGATGCTTGTGGCAATTTTTACATTATCGCCGAACCACTGGTAAAAGATATTGAATTAAAAATTGGTCATTTGAAGTCAATAATAACCATTAATGGTTAGTATATTATTACTATATACATTGAATAGATTACAAGAATTTCAAAAGGAATAAGGTATTTTATTGATATGTGCAATTTATTATAGGAAACGAATTAAATGATGCCAAATATTTACATCCAATCACTAAAGAAACTCTACCATTTTTACCAGGAGAACACGTTACAATGAATCTCGGTACTGGATTGGTACATACAGCTCCTGCACATGGTCCAGAAGATTTTCTTCTTGCGCTTGAATATAACATACCAGTTGTAAGAGTGGCATGCATTTTAAAAACAAGCAGACGTTACACTACGTGAAAAAGACTTATTCTTAATTTTTATCATTAGCTATCTTTAGTAGACCACAATGGTCGATATACGGAAGCAGCTGGTCCTGAATTTGCAGGCTTGAAAGTTTTATCCGAAGGCACTGAAAAAGTCCTAGAATGCATAAACAAAGATATTTTACTTGTTGAATCTATTAAACACAGTTATCCGTATGATTGGAGAACCAAGGAACCAGTTATAATTCGAGCAAGTCATCAATGGTTCATTGATATTAATTCCATTAAAACAAAAGCTCTCGTAAGTCGCTGATGAAAAAGAAAAAGAAAAAAAGAAAAAAAAAAGAAAAATAATCCAACGTTAGAAATATTTTACTTTTAAGTTTTTATTGTTATTAGGAAACTTTAGATAGCATACAACTATTTCCAGAAAATAATCGATCGTCTTTTCTCAATGGTCTGCTTGTACAAATAACGAAGCGACCGTTTTGGTGCATTTCACGGCAACGATCTTGGGGTACACCTATACCTGTTTTGTATTTAAAAGATACGGGAGAAGTATTTACGAATAGGTAATATACACGTGTGTATATATATCACCCTTAAACATATTGATTTATTAATTTATGCCTTACTTATAGAGAATGGGTAAATAGAATATGTGATCTTATAGAAAAAAATGGTGTGGATTGTTGGTGGAAATTTACAATAGAAGAATTGGCAGGAGAAGAGATTCTTAAAAAATTTAATCTCGACAAAGACAATCTAAGAAAGGGTGATGTACGGAAAAATTTTTATTATTTTTAAAACTAAATAATTATTGAACGCTCCTCTATAATATTTTTCTTCTTTATCGTATATTGTCGTTAAATGTGGGCACTAACCTTTATAGGATATTATGGATATTTGGTTTGACAGTGGTATTTCATGGTCCGCAATTTTACCAGAAAAAAAGGCCAATTTATATTTGGAAGGACAAGATCAACTTACAGGCTGGTTTCAATCGTCTTTGTTAACTTCTGTTGCACTTCAGGGCTCTTCTCCTTACAAGTATGTTATAAAACTTTGTAATAAAACAAATAGTATCATAAAAAGGTATCATAATGATTACAGCTAATTGTAATAATATTTCCATGCAAGAGTTGTTTCCTTTTATATAGCATGTATATATATTTGAACTATATTATGAAAATATATTCTCCTCGTCATATATAATATTTCTTTTTAAGTGAATTATTTGTACATGGATTCGTGGTAGATGAGAATGCTTCTAAAATGTCTAAGTCAGAAGGCAATGTTATACATCCGGACGATATTACAAAGGGTGGTAATAATTTTGGAAAAAATGTATATGGAGTTGATGCACTAAGGTAAAAATGGAAAGAATACAATTTTATTACGTTCCAAATTTATTTCGATATAAGGATAATGTAAAGAGCTTGGTTTCTGAAATATTAAAGTAATTTTGTCATACTTTTGTCAGATGGTGGGTTGGCAGTCATGGTTGTCAACACATTCAAATACGTGTTACGCAAGAAATATTGCAAGAAAGTAAAGAATCAATACAAAAGCTTAGATTAATATTGCGTTTTTTGTTGGGTATTCTACATCCTAATACGGAATTCAATTTAGATCCAAAATTTTTGCATCTTGATCGAAACATGCTACATCGCTTATATCATTACAATAAACAGGTAAATAATCTTCGTAAATATAGTATATGAGTATAATTATATAATATCTAAGAGCAGGGACGAAGAGAAAAATAGTTAACTTTTATTTAAAAAATATTCTTATAGATTCAAAACTTCTACGACAGTTATCAATATCACAACGTATGCAAACTGGTAAAAAATTTTATTGCGAACGATGTATCATCGATATATTGTCATTTAAATAAAGATAAGCTTTACTGCGACGCAATAACATCGCCATACCGTGCTGCTACTATAAAAGTAATAGATGCAATACTCATTGTTATTTTGAGAAGTATCGCTCCAATTGTACCCCACTTGGCAGAAGAAGTTTGGTTACATCGTAATAAAACTACTGATGATACTGGTAAATGAATCTATATGATAAACTCTCCTGATAAAGATTCCTGTTACAAAATAGGGCGTATCATAAGTCTTTGTTCTATTAGAATACATACCACTGCATTATACCAGATATAATGTACCAGAGACTTGGAATCAACCAGAAACCATTGAATGTATAGAAGCTGCATTATGTTTAAGAAATAAAGTTAACAAACTTGCCACTAGAAATACATGGGAGTTAGCAGCTACAATAATGACTACTAAACAAGATTATGAAGTATTATCAGTAAGTGCTCCTTCGATGTTAATTATCAATTGGCATTACTACAAAATTATTTTATTAGTTATTTTAATACGTACTAATTATCCCATTATAGATTCTTCAGAAAGAAAAGCAATCTTCTTTGTCCGAATTATGTAATATTTTACAAGTTTCAAAAGTAACTCTCATAGAAAATGATGCGCTTAATGAAACGCAAGTGCTTTTAAATCCTATAGAAAAACAACTATGTAAACGTTGTCGAAGACATCCTGAAATGTACGAAGCTGAAATATGTGAACGTTGTACTAATATACTCGATAGAAATATTTCAGCAACGGCATTTACTTAAATAATCATTATTATCCGATAAAATACAATAGTCTAATGACAAGAAAATATATTGATAAGATATCTTAAGGGAAATAAAGTAAATAAATTATTCGCTCGTAACAGGCACCACTTACGGTTGGTATTATTTACTTTGTACAAAAAAATACTTGTCTATATACACGGGTTAATGATATATAATATAAGAGGAAAAAGTGAAATATAATATTTATGTGCTAATATGTGATAATCTGCATTAATAAAAATTTCTCAACTGCGACTATTATATTCTTCTATTTCAAGGAGCATCTAAAGATAATTGTATTTATTTAATTAAAAATTTGTCCTTTACAAAATATAATAAAGCTAAGCTGTTTTCTCTGTTAAATCATACATATGATTTATATTCAAAGTATTAAGAAAATGTATCAAGTGTGGCTGGTAACCGCTGGTAGTTAACTTATGAGCTATACGAGATAGATATATGCGTAATTCACAGAATACCTCATACATTTGTTCTAATTTTTTAAAATTAGGGTGGACATGACCTTCTGAATTAGTAATCCAGCTTTGAGATCTTAATCGGTTATGAAATTTCAATATAACTTTAAAAATATTCCCCAAGCATGTTCGCATTTTTTCACCACGGGTGTTAAGTATACACCTGAAATTAATTTATTAAGATTTGTATTTGCTAACGTCTGCTACAGTATATATTTGATATCGTATAATCATATTAATGGTAAAAAATTTACCTCGATAAAATTCTTTTGATATAATTTACATGTGAAAATCGAATTTGATCTAGAGTCAAAGAATTACACAAATCTTTCTCGAATTCAATCCAGCTTGCATGCAATACACTGCAAGTTATATAATTATGAAGTGCACTGATAAATTGTGTCATTGAATGCCTGTACAGTTGAAGCTAGAAAATCAGAAAGTACAATTAAAAATAAACAGAATTATATATAGAAACACACATACGTGCGTTTATTTATCTTAATTTTAAAATGTTAACTTTGTGAGAAACACAATGTAATAAGAAAATATGGAAGAAAAAAAAAAAAGAAAAAAAAAAAAAAGAATAAGAAGAAATACCTTGTGATATTGTTCCGATATGGCTGCTTCGTGTTCAATCTTCATCATACGAAAATCTTCTTGTAATACCCAAAGTACTCTACCAATCATCAACAAAAATTTAAACACCTTGCTATATTGTACCATTACTGCGTCATCTAAGATGATATTTAAAGGCCATGAAATTTTGTAACTAAGGCACAGACAATCCAAAGCATGGGGATCGGATATCTGCAATGATAAGGATAAAAATTACGTTCATTGGCATGCGGAAAAATTGAAGAATTTTTCCAGAAAAGTATTTTGACGAACTTGACAATATTCGAACTTACATGTAACTGGATGGGTGTATCGATGGCCGAAAGGCTAAGCAATTCCGAATTCATGTAATTGCTGCTGAAAGAGCTAATAAGTGCACGCTCCAATAAATTCGTTAGAGTGGCTGAATTAAAAAGTTCTATTGGTACGGATATCTCATACAGACGAGCGTATAAAGAATTCGTTAGGCATTTGGCAAATTCTCCATTTAATAAGAAAAAATAACTTCTTAAGCTTTGCAAATGTAAAAGCATATTATGCTCATTTAATAAATATTTAATAAGAGCATCATTAACAATACGACTTTGTATTTGCAATGGTATAATAATTGATTTTTCCAAATAAACCTGTAGAGATGTATTATCTATTAATTCGACGTCAGCTATGGTCAATGATGTAAAATCTGTGGTATTAATATCATCATTTGAAGTCGAAGGCGTGAAAATATTGACATTGTGATGTTCTGGGAATACGGAAGGAACGGCACCATTTAATTTAATATTTGACGATGAGGATAAACTATTTATATCCAAAGGAGAAATGTCTTCGCAAGTTGGTAAATTGGACGTAATACTATTTATGGACGATGCGAAATTATCCGTCGCAGAGGAAATTTGTCCAATTTCGTTGATTTCGTTATTGACTTTGTCGAAAAATTCCAAATTTCCTTCGACGCTCATTTCCCCAACCACTTTGGAATTTTTTGTAATACCTCCTCCTATCGCGTCGATGGGTGATTTAATTGTATCACTTGTAACATCATAATTTCGATTATTATCCTCAGGGAGGTTATCGGCATTAATAATAATATCATCCGAAATTGATCTTCTTTCGACAATAAATAAATTTGATTGATTGTTATTTGGCGTTATGCCAAACTCATGTCTCAACATTCTCATTTTATTACGCTTCGCTTCTGTCATGTTATCAAGTCTCTCTATTTCGAGAACTTTAGGTCTATTCAAAATTCTATTATCCTTATTATGTATCTCTAAATTGGCTTGTGCATGATTCATTAACGCATTCGTGACAACATCATTAATCGTCGATTGTACTTTAAATGGATTTTTAATCGCTTCCGATTGTAATTCTTTTACTAGTACTTCGCTTCGTAAAAATTCTTGCAAACTACTTCTCTCATTATTGCATTTATAAATATTATTCATATTTGCGGGCGTTTCTAACGTTTTCGTAGACCGCGTAACTCCAAATTGTTTATTTGTATTCCTATTATCAGAAATATTTTCTAACGTAGCTTGTTCCTCGTCAGACCGTATAACAATGTTGACATTATCAGGGCGGATAATCTCGCAAGGCTTTAACGCTCGTATTTCGACTTCTTCGAAATTACTATTTTCATCTTCTTGCGCAATATTGTCAGATAATAATGTATTTGACTCAATATTATTCAAAACATGTTGAAGATTATATATATTTCTTGCAGGTATTATAACACGCTCAGTTTTATTGTTTTCAAAATTCTTCAATATTTGCGTATCCGATTTCCATATATCTTCCTCCATTTTAGATAACGCAGCTACCCTTTTATCGAAATATTTCATTCTTTTATTACACCATTCTATACGTGCGCGTTGCTTCTGAATGTTACCATCAAGATCGGTGTAATAATTTTTTAAATAAGCGCTAAGATATAAATCAAATTCACATTAGTAATATGAAAGTGAAAATTATAATAGATAATAAATAAATAATATTTGTTCTACCTTTCGGAACACTTCCAGTTATACAATTCTTCTTCTCTTTGGTTATTTTTTTCCATAAGTAATCTATCGGTTAACATTTCAGCTTCCCTTTCTTTTGCTTTGTATAAATTAGCTTCAATAGCTTGTTCCTTTAATACTTTTAAAAGTTCTCTTTTGTTTTCAATTGCATTCTTTAAGAATTCTTCTTGCTCTCCTATAAAAATTAATTGCTGCATAATGAAGTAGAATCTTTTATTATAAATTTTGGTCTTTTACTTTTATATAAATAAATGATAAATACTTAATTGATAGCATACTTTTTTGTATTTAAATACTATATTCAATAATATTTTATATCGAATAGTCGTTAATGAATATAATACTGACTCTTTATTCTCGATAATGTATCCTGTTGCGCATTAATGACCAGATTGGCCTTTTCTCTTTCAGCATCTTTTTGATCCTGAATAGCCACTGAAAGTGATATCGGACGGCCTAGAGCTTCTTCTCCTTTGCATTTATATTCTTTACATTTTATTAACTGTTCACGTAACATTGTAACGCTCAAGCATACTTTTAATTCTGGTTGCGAAGAATTAAAAACATTACACACGGGATTCTATGTTAAGAATTATTAGAGAGTTCAATATTAGAATAATAGTTCACATATATGTACATAGGCACGCACGCATACATAAATACATACATACATACATACATACATACATACATACATACATACATACATACATACATACATACATACATACATACATACATACATACATACATACATACGCACACACATACATACACACACACACACACACACACACACACACAGACGTACACACACAAAATTGGTAATGCATTTTTTTACCTTAGGATCACATATTTTCAAAAGTCGTACTGCTTTCCCACATTGTAATATAGATTCTGTTAACCGATTTAGAAAACTTGGAACTGACTCGTGATGGAGAGTAAAACTTTTGGTCCAAAATTTTGGACCTTTGCTACGTAGAAATTGTGAATGTTCTTTAATCATGAATTCTCCATAAATGTCGTGACATATACCTTCGAACAGCCATTTCTGCAAAAATCTAAATATTTATTTAGTAGAATTAATGCAATAAATTAATAAAAAGTCTTACAAGAACGAAATAAATATAAATATTTATGTGTGTGTGCGTGTGCGTTTATCACATACGTACCGAAAATAAACTTCGCAACATGATTTTAGAATAGTATACAAAGCAAATGCAATTTGGGGAAGAGTGATCTTTGTAATCATTTTGTTAACTATCGCAAAAATGTTGCAATTTTCACCCATTTTTCCGTTTTCTCCATTGTACCGACAAAGCTTAGTTACTTCGGACAATAAGAGAGCCACTGGTTGGACTTTATTTAACACATTCAATAATCCTGTATATTCATTAATATGCTCAAAAATTCGCAAAATAGCAGCTTTGTAATGGAGAAGTATTTCTTTGATACTCATACACATTGCCTGAAAATATAAATAATAAAATTCATGAATATATCTTGTAAACAGTACGAGTTAACATAACAACTGTAACCTAATTATTATTAAAATGTAAAATGTCACTTCTCTGTAATATATGAAAATAGACTATTCAATATATAAATACATTACCTTGAATATAAGGCCTTCTTGTGGGAGCTTTCCGCTGTTTGAATTTGGTGTAATCAAGTTTGTTAAATGTTTGAAACAATTACCCCAGTAGATAAATCTTTGGCACATATTGATTAATGTTTCATTACAAATATCACGAACAGCAATATTCTGAGGCATGTAAAAACCAATCTAGATGATAAAATATAAAAATATTATAAAGTGTTTAACTGTGCCATTAATCGTTGATCGCATATGTTCTACCTCATTATTATATTTAAAAGATCTCGTTTCGGTACCCAATAACAGTAATTTTATATTCATTGCAAATTCTTTGGTTGAAATTTCTTCTGGAAATTCTATATTACTGATAACCTGCTGGTTAGAAAAATCCACATTACATTTATACATATTAAGTGCTATGATGTCCAAATAAAAGTAGATGCACATTACCCTTTCTGGAAGTAACAATAAAGTACAAATCTGTTTTATTCTTGTCAAATGCAACATAGCATTTGGGGTATCCGTTAAAAAATTATACTGCTTTGCAGATTCAAATTCTCCCAAAGTTTCCCATGTACGACGATTGAGCATTAAAGTGTTTGTTATATCCACGTTATCCCATATCTCTTCGTAGATGTCTTTAACATTTACAATTTCATTATAAAGGCTTTCGCTAGATGATCTCCTTATTTCCGAAACGCTTTCAATACACCTATTTAGAAATTTTCCATTCAACCAAGGCTTATTTCGTTCCACTTCTATTTCTTGTCTAGATTTATCCATAGAATTTGCATTATAATCGATATCTGTCTGATTATAAAAAAAACTTGTTTATTTTACATATATGTGTAAATGTATATACACAACATATGTATACACATAAATGGTGTCCTTACCATAGTCTGTGGTAAGAAATATGAAACAGTATCTCTAAAGCAGAAATCAGTTATACACTTTGGTATGGGAAACCAACCGACGTCAATTTTACGTCTAAAATTTCATTAAATCGTTATTTCTATTTTTTTTTTTTTTTTTTTTTTTTTTTTTAAATTGATCAAAATGCTTAAATGTAATAAATGTTGGGATAAATCTATGGGAATATTTATATTTAAACTATTATTACAATCAAAGAGTTTAAAACGACATATGCACTTTGTCTTACCTAATAGGGTCTAATTTATTTGAAAATGCCAATATATTCTGATTATATAAACATGATCTATTTATGGAGTTTGCAGTTGTCTGTTGTATAATATAACATTTCTGAATATCTAACAATGCATCCAATTTGTTCGACAGTATAAATGTTTCTATAGGATATATTGGAAATTGTGATGCATTCTCTAATGTCCGAAGAGGTTCCAATAATGCAGGATTGACGCTTGAGTAGTAAAAGATATTCTATAAATACAATTAAATTTTATATCGCAATTCATGATATAAAAATATAAAACTTAAACACAATTTTAATAATGAACTTACTAAATCAGGTTCTTGATTATTATGATAATTTTTTAATTCGGTAAGCAATTGCAAAACTAAATATATTACGCTTCCTGTTTGTAAATCATCTCCATTAAATTCATCCACAAGGCTTTCTAATAATATACCTTCTGACACATGTCTCATATGAAGTTTTAATACAAACGCATACTTGTATATCTCTATTACAGGATCCTTTCTTTCCTTCATTATCTCATCTGTAAATATTCCAATAATAATGTATGCTGTTTACAATATTACAAAATAAGATATGCATGAAAATATCAATAAATTATATATTATCACATATGTATCGTACCATGATTATTTTGTCTTTTCAGACTTTTATTTAATAGTATCTCAAAAGCTTTACTTCTTAATTTCTTTATTTTGGTTATATCATTCCTGCTTTCTAGATACGTATGTTCTAACGAAAGACATTCTTTTTGACATATTTCCTTACTTAGTTCAGTTATGAGATGGTAAACATCTGAATTTTCTTTTTTAAAATTCATAATTCACTTTATACTCTGACTATAGCAAAATAGGTTATAACATCTATAATTTGTGAGTTAACATTTTTTTCTTTTTTTTTTTTTTTTTTTTACAGCTGTTTATCAACTTATTATACCTGTTAGTTTTTGCTAGTTTGGTAATGTTGCAACTTAAATTGCAACATACATTGACAAATTATACATGTTACTCGATCAATTGTTTATTATCCTTTGACAATTGCAAAAGTGTGACGTCCTAAGAACGAGGAACTCTTCTAATTGCGCGCCATATATAGAGCATGACGTTTGAAAGCGCAACTAAGACTGTTCGTGAGATCTTTGCGCGTGGGTGGACAAAATATGAACTACAAACGCAAGCGCGGGTAACGCTCTTTTAATCATGCGCCTATCGTATCAATGTATAAGCTTGTTTGTTACAATACCAATCCCCGTGTAACAATCGACTTTGTGTCGATAAATAAGTATTAGTAAGTATTATTAGTAAACTCACACATTTTATTCTTTCATATGGTTTTTTTTTCTTTACGATAGTGTCAGGTACTTGCAATGATCCGTGCTAAATAATAAAAATAATAAGTATGCATTTGTTTCACGCGACAAATGCATGATAATAAATATAATTGACGCATGTAATAATTAGTATGTAAATTTACTAATTTAAAGAACTATATCTTATCTACTTACCTGTAGAAATATTATCGGCAATGTAAAAGAATAACGTTAAGTCTAATAATCAGAATTAGATTAAAAGGAATTACAAAAATACGCAGTCATTCGTACAACCGTACAACTAGTACTTGCGTTGCGTGATTTACAATTAGATTTATATGTCGCAAGTATTATGAAAAATGAGACACCTTGTTCATCAAACCTTTAGTATTATCTGGCATATGATCTTTTTTTCTAGCTTTTGTCGGACGTAATAATATTTTTGCCGCGTATAAAAATTTCTTTCACGCGGCAATTCAATTTTTATATGACGCGCGCGTGAGGGATAACCTAGCCAATAAGAAAGTCTCATGAATGGACTTAACAAGTGGCTTCCTGAAGAATTTATTATTTTGTCCAGTCTGCCTACGTTACGCCTTAAGGCTGGATCATATTCAGTTCCTACAGCTAGGTCAATGTTTGTAACAGGCCAGTTTCCAATCTTCTTTAGATTCTAATTTGGGTCTTCCGTCGTCGTCGTCGTCGTCGTCGCCGTCAATTACGTTTTTAAGGTTAAAAAGTCGCGTGTGTTAAAATATTCATTAACTCCTCGACATTATGTACGAAGATTATAACGAGGTAGACATATTAAAGATGTCCCTTTTGTATCCTTTCGTCTCGTCTCGTCTCTTCTCTCCTATCTAACTTACATTATTACTATTTATGTTATTTTTAGTACGAAACTTACGACGAATATGGACCACCGGATGTACACTCAGAACAATATGACAGATTAAGTTATCGTCAAGTGCCCGAAGTGGTGCGAAATTTTCTTGTGTATTTACGAAATTGCATAAATGAAGGAATGATCTTTGAAATTCAAAATTTATATGAAACATCATTTCCAAAGATTTCTGAACAATTGTTCGATAAATCATCCTGGCCGGATGCATCAAGCGTTGCCCACATAGTTGACAATGATGTAGTATTTCTAATTCTTTACAAGGAACTTTATTATCGTCATATATATGCCAGAATGCAAGGACCAACATTGGAGCAACGTTTTGCATCCTTCTATAATTATTGCGATTTATTCAATTACATAGTACATCCAGATACGCCCGTTCAATTGGAACTGCCCGATCAATGGTTATGGGAGCTTATAGACGAATTTGTTTACCAATTTCAATCATTTACGCAATACCGTGCAAATTTGTCTAACAAAACGCCCGATGAGATAGAGAATTTAAATGCCCACATTAAAATATGGGACGTCCTCTGTGTTTTAAATGTTCTTCATTATTTAGTCGATAAGTCTAATATCAAGAGACAATTGGAGGTTTATGCGAGCGGAGGAGATCCCGATTCTGTCGCTGGAATCTTTGGCAGGCACTCCTTGTATAAGATGTTGGGTTATTTCTCGCTCGTTGGTCTTTTAAGATTACATTCATTATTGGGCGATTATTATCAGGCAATTAAAGTTTTAGAAAACGTTGAATTATATAAAAAAAGTGCTTATTCTCATGTACCCGGCTGTCAAATATCAACCGCCTATTACGTCGGATTTGCATACATGATGATGCGTAGATACACGGATGCAATTAGAACCTTCTCCGGTATTTTATTATATATTCAACGCACAAAACAATTATTTGCAACTCGTAGCTATCAGAATGATCAAATCAATAAGCAAACTGAACAAATGTATCATCTCTTGGCAATTTGTCTTGTTCTTCATCCACAGTGCATAGATGAAGGTTTACAACAGGCATTAAGGGATAAGAATTATCACGAAAAAATGTATAAAATGCAGTACGGAGATCTTGGAGAATTTGAATCATGTTTCTTATTTGCCTGTCCTAGATTTTTATCTTTGACCCAACCCAATCCTGATAATTTACACGAGGACTATGTTAGAGAAGCTATTAGACATCAAACTCAAGTGTTCATGGATGAGGTTGTACAACAAAAAATGTTACCTACGATACGTTCTTATTTGAAATTATATACAACTTTACCATTGACCAAATTGGCTACCTTCATGGGCAGTGCCACTAGACAAGATGAAAGCTGGGATTTGAATAAAGAAGTTAATGTACTAACTATTCATTTATTGTGTTTCAAGCATAAGATGAAAAATATTGTATGGACAAAAGGTGCATCAGGATTGGATGGTAAATTTCAATCTGGCTCTGAGGTATGTAAATTCTTATACATGTATATTTAATATATGAGGGGGACACATCGAGTGAAATAAAAATTTAATAATCATATAAATGATATTTTTACAGTTGGATTTCTACATAGATCATGATATGATTCACATTGCGGACACAAAAGTAGCACACAGATATGGAGATTTTTTTATACGTAAAATTTTGAAGTTTGAAGAGTTGAACCGCAAATTACATCACATAAAGATTTAATTCAAACTATTTTTATTCTATGTAAAAGTGAAAAAAATAATAAAATTCCATAACGAAAGGAATATGTATTTCTCTACTTCATCACTTTTCCTAAGGCACTCATATTCGTAACGTGTTCTATCTATTGTTTTACAATTTCTAAGCCTTTTCATTCATTCATTCGGCTTAATATATTTGGAAACAAAATACCACGATTCCACGATTATGATGAATGTAGAAATTTGGAGAAAATTTCTTTCTCTCATATTAATTACTACATCCTTCGCATTAATTTCGTGTTACATTAATATATTTATATCTAATATAATGAGAAGAGTAGGTTTTATCAGTAAAATTCAAGGATCATTATGCATTTTCAAAGGATATATCCGTTAGAAGACACGAACGTGCTATTAAAAATACTAGTACTTATAGCAAGTACACGAATTATACATTTTATACGATTATAATCGAGTGTAATATAACTTTAACTTTTTTCATGATACAATCAAGAAATATAATGCTTTCGATTGAAACATTAATAAATGTTACAAAAACTCGCGAATTATGTGCGCAATTTTAATTAACTATAATACTATCCCTAAGGGGTACGCATACTTTCTTTAGAATAGGGCACATTCACATCCGCGCATACATACATACATACATACATACATGCATACACACACACACACACACACACACACACACACATGTATATGTATATGTATATATCTGGGTATTCTGATAGACGAAATATCGTATCATGATTTCTCTTGTAGCATTTTACATGCCGCTGTTAATATATTAGGTTTTACCGACGAGGCGGGTAATTTTAATCCACTAAGATAATGAAAAAATCGATTACCTCTTTTAATACTTGATACCGTTCGACATTCTTCTGTTCTACATATTGTTCTAACACAAGGTAAGTAATCCAAGGATACAGATCGATTGTCCAAAGTATAGGATGTAATTGGTGACAAAGCACTATCGACCCCTTTGTTTAATTGCTTTCTTAAGCTCAATGTGTCTTTATATTGGATTCCATGGTTTTTACCAATTAAATGATTCTTCTGAATTATCTCTTGATCAATCCATTCCCCTATTTCTGTACTCACATGTTGCAAAACAGAATATGACGCCGTGTCTTCTGTCAGAGATAAACTGGGCTGAAGTTTGTTACATACTATATCAAGCGCAGGGTCATTGATCTCAATTAAAGATGGTAATAATGATAAGTTATCTAAATGATCAGCCAAATTAATTAATATATTCGTATTCTTATTCGTTAAGCGACCTTTCGCCTTTTGTTTTTTATTTTCCTTTATAGCTGGCTGATATATATAATACCTCATATCTTGCCACAGTATCCTTCTTGAATTAAAAGAATATTTAGTAGCATGGGTGAAACCTGAGACTAATAGATATTGCAATTGTAATAAAGCTTTTCTTAAATCCCCATTCTGCAAAAGTTCCTATAAACAAACGTAAATTATCTTATTAATCATATCTGTTAACATTAGAAATACAATTTATAAAGAAAATTATATTCACAATATAAAATTGATCTCTGAGGATCAACCACTTACTGTTAAACATTCGCACGAAATTCTAGAACCTGTTTCTGCTAATGATATCAATTCTAACAAAGTTGATGCCCTATTACCATCTACTTTTTGAAAATAAATCCGATTTTGTTCGGGTGCCATTTTATTTAAATGAGGGCAAACGTCTTTGCATGTCATTACAATAGGACGTTTTGTGTTAGATACCAATTGGGATGTAGCAGAAATGAATCCTTCATCTTCTTCAAATATTAAATCAATATCTTCCAAAAGAATTAATGAATTTTGTGGTAAATTATTTGCTTCTTTCAATATTGGTGCTACCAATGACTTGCTTTCGTTCTTTTTAATTCTGTGCGATTTGGTCGCTTCGTCGAGTTCCTTTAAAATTTTTTTCCCCGTTCTTCTAGATGAAGCATTGACTTCCAATATACTGAGGAGGGGAGAAGAAGAAGAAAGAAAAAAAAAAGAAAAAAAAAAAAAAAAAGAAAAAAAAAAAAAAAAGAAAAACGAAAAAAATAAAAGTAACTTTCAATGCGTGCGTATAATATTTTTTATAATATTACAAAGCGCAAAGAACGCTTGAAAATGTATAGATTATAAAGAATATCCTTTGAATCGATCGTACCTGTAACCAAGCTCTTCTGCAACAGCATAAACGCTAGCAGTTTTGCCGGTCCCGTGTGGTCCCAATAATACTGCTACTTGATTGTTTTCATGTTTACTTGTAAAACTACAATCGGACGAATAAAATTCGTCACCGCTGCTACCATGTTCTTTATGCAGAGACGATCTCCAATGACTTAACCAATCTCTTAGCTTTTTTGCACCCTCTTCATTGCCAACTATTTGACGGCTATTCATTGGTTTATATTTCTGTGTCCAAATACTGTTTGCAATCAGCAACCTTTTGTCAGAATCTTTCGTTAGACCTTTCTTCTCTATTGATTTTGCTTTCTTACTTTTTCCTTTTTTCGATTGTATCGCGCCAAAATGATCCTTTGCCACGGATATAACAGTTTCCCAGATACTTCTGGTATCCGCACAATGCTTTTCCATTTCTGTCAATATTTCCTCTGTTGTTTTCTCAACGGATGCGTTTATAGTTATCAAAGACTTATTTGACAATTTAGAAGATTGAGATATATATTTGTAATCATTATAATTCATTGTCGGTAGATATATCATATCCGATTTGAGTCGAATTTTATGATTAATCGCTTCGTCATTAGTTTGAATTTCATCATTCAATTGTCTGATATGGCTAATCTTTGGAAAAGGAAAACAAATCAAATTATAATTGGGTACCTTTTTTTCTACTACACTTTTACCGTCGTTATTAATAGTAGCATCAGATTGCAAAAATGAACGCCTTGCTGCCACGGTCGTGGCATTTGGTTTAGAGTGTTTAATAAAAAGAGGTGCAAGCTTTTTATGCGGTTTCTTTTCTGAAACGTGACCATCTATAATTTCTAATTCCTTGGAAACCTCCGCCGTATTAATATCAATTTCATTGTTATTACAATTTCTATATCTTTCTACATTTTTTATACGCCTTAATTGTTTCCTTTCCCTTTCAATTACAACACCATCGTTAAGATCTTCCTGTGTCGTATCGTTAAAAGAAGCGGCCACTTTATCAGATTTATTTCTTTTAACATTCCTTTCCGAATTTAATCTTGCAGATTCATTTGTATTATACCTCTTTACGGCGAAAGTATTATCGTGTAATGCTTTGGACTGTTTCCTTCCTTCCGCGTTAGATTTCATTCTACTTCTTGGTGAATACATCTCTTCTTCGCCGCTGTCTAGATTTTTAAAGGAAAATGATATGTATTAATAATGCTAGAAGTATATAATGGCATGGATATTCATAGAAATCGATTATTAATGAAAGAGAAATCAATAGTCAGAGATCAAAGTGTCATAAATCATTGCCATCGACCAAAAATATTACTTGGGAGACTCTAATTTAATTATTCATCATCTACTATAAGGAAATATAATAATTATAATTTAATGAATCCTCGGATATAACATGAGGTTTGTATACATTATATAAAATTAATAGTTCTTACCGGATAAAGATTCTTTATCTTTTGGAGACTGCATTTTAATTCTTAAAGACCATTTAGGCTTATCTCGTTGGACCAATCGTTGATTGTGTTCTACGCTTGGATTTAGTTTTCTTTCGTTCAATGTTATTAAATCTATTTTATTTACAGTTGAACATTCCGTTTGCGATTTATTGTCCCTTAACTTATGTTGAAAATCTGATTTAATTTCTGATTTAAAATCAGCTGGCGAATGTACTACCGTAGGTATTTCCGACATGTGCACATCAGCTTTTACCACTATGGTCGTAGACACATTAACTTCTATCTTATCTTCTTCCTCTAGTCCTATTGACGATTTGCTTTACAAGTAATAAAATCGAAGAGGAAGAAAAAAAGATTTAAAATAAAATATAATATAAGTACTTGTCTCTTGTATGTAATTATCTTATATAAATTTATTCAACTTAATACATATTATTTAAGGCTTATATTTATTAAGAGAATTACCTGAAAAAATGTAACAAGTTATTTGAGGTATGCTTCTCCCTATTGATCGTAGAATTATTATCTTTCTTTGTATTTTCTTTTATAAGTCTCATACGTTTTCCTGATACTTCTTCTATTTTGTCAATATCTTTCTTGTCGTCGCGCTTCCTCTTTGAATTACCTTTTATGTCTTCGTTACCTAATAATTTGTCCTGGCAACATTTTGATTTTTCTTTACTTTTATTCTTTTTCGAGTCGATAGAAATATCACTTTCCGAGAAAGACCGTAGAGATGAGATATCATCTATCGACTTATTTTGATTCATAAGAACTTTAAATGCATTTGATTCTTTATGCTCATTAATATCCTCATAAATTGTATCAGCTTCTTTATTGTTTTCTCTATTACTTCTATGCGCAGTATTAAATTTTAACTCGTTATAATCTTTTAAATTACATTCCATTTGATCCTCATTTGACATTTGTTTATCGAAAGATTTCTTTAAAGAAAGTTTATTATTTACCTTAGTTCCTAACATTTCGGGCTCGCTATCCGATTCAATTAATATACAATTTAAATTAACTTTCCTAAATATTTGTTCTTTCGTTTTTCCAATATTCTCTTCTTGGTCTATCCCATTGGGCTCCATGCTAGATGATATCTCGTAAGTATTTTTAGGAGTTCCATCCAGGTGTGGACCTCTTTTCTCTTGTTCGAACGATTTAGTAAATGGGCTCGGAGTTTTATCAATTAAATCACTTTTATTTTCAACGATATTACATACCCTACTTTTAGAATTTGTACGAGATATCTTGATTTTAACACGAGTACGTTTTTTTCTAGAGGTGTATTCAGAATCATCCTTTAGCCTAACATTCAATTTAGAAGTCGTCGGGGATTTTACATTATCTGAAAAATAATGGGTAAGGTCCTTCATCTTTCGTCACTAAAACCTATAATATAGTTATAAATCGTTAAAATTATTATAAATAATATTAATCACAACTTCGCGCGCGCGCGCGCGCGAGAACGTCTACGATTTTTTGGCGCCACGGACACGTTTGGTCATCATGTAATTCTTTCTATATAGAATTCTATATAGAATTCTTTCTATATCGCAAATTTGCAGGGCCTTCGCCCAAGACCGTTTACAACAACGTTTTTCCCCTATGCCCATAATCGATAACGATAAGAATATTTTATAACTATTGCTTTTAATATAAACTATTAGATTAATATCCTAATATTATTTCTATTGTTACTTTTATAATAGTAATAATTAAAACTGCGTTAGTTCTGACGCAACTTGTTATTGGTCAGATAGGCCAGGTTATCTTGAAAAAAATTGCGCCAATGTGCTAATGCAGCTTCGGACTGTGTTGAAACGGACCAATCGGAATACCGTTCACGATTTTATCTTTCGAACCAAACAATACAATTATTTTAATCTGGTTACCGATTTCTTCCTGGACTCATAGGTTTATGCTTCAACGAGCAAAGCGTATATAAATAACGCAGATACGTCTAATATAGAAGGATGTAACAAGATAGAAATGTAGCATAAGCTGAAACAAATTTTAATCTTTTTCGTCTCTCTCTGTACTGTGTCATTTGTACTGCTGTCATTGCCCATCCACCTGTTCCTTCTTATTATTATTATCATATTATTATTGCAACTTAATATCTCAGTCGAACCCTCTACGATCACAATTTATGCACTCCACTATTTTACCTTCTGAGATATACAATAAAATTCGTATCAAAATTAGTATCATTAATTTGTATATATTGGAAACAACATAACAATCTTTCCATACAAATTCATTTTGCTATAAGATTTTTCTCCGTTGTGTCTTCGTTCAAGACAATAGTCGTACAATTTTGACAATAATAAAACAAAACGAAAATTTCCGAATAACGATCGAAATCGAAGAAAAAAACAGTTATCACTATATCAGTTATCAATATAGATTTTAGCCTATAAAATAAATCACATGCATATGTATCTATCTTGTCCTTTGATGGTGAATTCTAAAAGCGAAGATAAGCATGAACAACGATTCTTTTTCGTGTTAATTCCCAACCATTGGGTAAAAATCGTTTACTTTTCCTTACCTTCGACGTCTGCTTTACAACAGGGTTTTCTTTTACGTACAAACTATTCTTCTTCTTCTTCTTCTTCTTCTTCTTAATATCATGCAACGAGAACCCCCAAAATAATGTAAAACATACGAAAAGAAGTGATGATGTCTTTAACATATGCCATTTCTATTTTCACCCTTAAAGATGTAAATTTTGTCCAACACGCCGATAGGTAATTACAAAGCTCTTTTATTGCCTATGTACGTATAAATATTTTATCAATAATATTTATATGCGTGCTTGAAAATAATCATTATCTTTTCTTATTTTATTATCACGTATTCAGTGATACGTGTCCATTGGTAAATGTTATGGAAAAATTTTTCATTTAATCCGTCAAACGCAAAATGGCGTGAAGGAAAAAATCGTATATTCTCGACGAGTCTCATTATCGGTTATTATTAAAAAAAAATCCTAATGTATAGCCATTTTATTATAGTGTTCTTTTTTTAACAAAAGTATCTATGATGTTTCGATCGTACACATTAGATTAATTTCTTGAAGATGATGATGAAAAGAAAAGCCACGGAGAGTATATTTCACAAAAGATACGAAAGATGAAAAAAATATAAATTGATGAGAATTTTTGATCAGATGGAATGAGAAATTTATTGGCGTTTATAATAATTTGCTTTTCCGTTCTTTTTGTTTTTCTTTTTTCTTTCTTTCTTTCTTGTTTTTTTTTTTCTCTTTTTTTTTTCCCCTTTCTTTTAATAGTATACTAATTTAAATTTACTTTTTAACAATTTGTATAACATCTTCGTCGTGCATAATATGCTGCAATCCTACCCTTTGCGGTGAATACTTAGTACTTGTACCCTGTTCAAGAAAATATATTTTAGTCAAGTATATGTATGTACACTTATATATAAGATATTTTTTACATCAAACCGCACACGTACCCAAACGAGAGCATATTTGAATTGTTGAGCGAGCGTACGATGAATAGAATGACAAACGTGTTCTACCGTGACACCTTTTCTCAGAATCAGTCCATCATCAAAATCAGGCGGTTGGCCTGGTTTCTTTGTGTATACTCTTATAAGAGATAAATATTCCCAGAGGGTTTCCAGTAAGAAATCAAGATTTAACTTCATATTACAACTGAAGAAAATAACGTGTACGTGTTAATTACGTAGAAAAATAGAAAACGATTAACAAGTTTTTATAATAATTTTACCTTACTACAACGCTGTTCGGTTGTCTTGCAATCCTATCTACCTCTTCTATTGATATTTGATCTATTTTATTATATACATAAAGACACGGTAGATATACTCTATTTGCATTGATAACATCGATCAATTCATCTGCGCTGCAATCCTCTCGAAATAATACTTCCGCATTAAAAATTTTATATTCGTGTAATATCATTTGAACTAATTTTTCATCAACTTTAGTTAATGGACATGTAGAATTAAAAGCCAATCCACCTCCTTTTTTAATCTTGAAATATATATTAGGCTTTTTCTTATTAAGTCGTATACCAACAGATTCCAATTCTTTTTCTAGAAGTTGTCGTTGTACATCTTGTTTTGTAGCATCTAGCATCATTAATACTAAATCCGCCGTTCTGGCAACTGCTATAACTTGTCTACCTCTTCCTTTACCCTGAAATCATTGTGTGTGTGTGTGTGTGTGTGTGTGTGTGTGTATACATATCATATGCACATGCATATACATACATATATATATATATATATATATACACACACATATTCTACACAAAGTTGATTGAAATAATAATTGATTTTTACCTGTGCAGCTCCCTCAATTATACCTGGTAGATCGAGCAATTGAATATTTGCACCCTTATACTCTATAACTCCAGGAATACAAGTTAAAGTGGTAAATTCGTATGATGCAGCTTCTGACTCTGTATGAGTTAATGTACTTAATAACGTAGATTTTCCAACAGATGGAAACCCAATTAATGCTACTCTTGCATCGCCCGACTTTAATACATCAAAACCTTCTCCTTTCTCCGACTTTTTTGCAGGCTCCAGTAATTGTGATCTATATTTCGCTAATTTTGCTTTTAAAAGCCCTAAATGGTATTCCGTAGCTACAAGTATAATTCGTCATTCTTATTAATTATAACTTTGATACTTGAGAAAATACATGGATTTAAAAAATGCGGTTAGAAGGGGAACGTCGAAATTTTATTTGACAAGTAAAATACAAACCTTTATTTTTTTGCGTTCTTGCGATTTCCTTTTCAATCTCAGATATTTTTTCCAATATACCCATTGTTAAATAAAATATTATTATCCGCGTTAAGAAATCAACATTTGCCAAGTTACTAATCCGGTCAATTTTACGCACACGCGCGTATTTATTGGTTCCCTGTGAGCTTGTATGAATTCGGATGACGACTCTATTAGAGAGATATGCAAGTCCGTGCACACACACACACACACACAAGAATACGCTGTGCGTGTAAACACGCGCGTGCGCACGCATATGCGTAGGGTAGTTCACATATGACTGCACATGAAACTATAGAGAAATAAAGGATAATTCGCATTTAACGACATCTCGAACGTGTGAATATATAGAAACGAGACGAATCGAGGCACATCGACCAATCGTTATCGTAGACGTTACATGTACTTCACAAGTATCATCTATTTCTCGAAAGTTACAAAGACAGAAAAGTTACGATAGAGAATGGCTTATTTACGAACATATTAGGAAAATTTAGAAAAATTCTCTAATAGCATGGCATCAGACAAGTAAAGCAGACTAAAGCAGGGGTGTAAAAGGGTAATAAAAGGCTATGTACAATGTGGATTTCCCTGTCTTGTTTTGTTATGATTTCGTTTGGAAATTCGAAACAGTCAACGGCGGGATAGATGTAATAAACTCGAACTTGAACGGCGTGTTGGAAAAAAAACAAACAAAAACACGAGATGTCAATATTGTAAGAGTATAAAAACGAAATCATTAATCTAGCGTCTTATTTTTCGCAATATAAGTACGGGAAACGTAAAACGGGGGCGAGCATTGCTCAGAGGGCCTTCTGCAGTATGCTCAGGGTTTATAATACAAAGATATTATGGCTGCAGGTGAGGCCAGCACTGCTAAGCCTCGTCAAGAAAAGCAGTACGATTACTTGTTAAAGTTCTTGTTGGTCGGTGACAGCGATGTTGGCAAACAAGAAATATTAAGTGGTCTAGAGGACGGTGCCGCCGAATCACCGTTTTGCAGTGGCAGTGGTATTTATTTGATCATTTTAGCACTGATTCCTAACACTCCACTTCATTTCCTTTAGCCTAACCTCTTATCGCATCTATATGTCTAATGTTATTTCATATCGGTAATCGTTGCTTTTAGCATACAAAACTACTACTATCCTGCTGGATGGGAAAAGAGTAAAATTACAATTATGGGATACATCCGGACAAGGTAGATTTTGTACAATTATCAGGTCTTATTCGCGTGGAGCGCAAGGCATACTTTTGGTTTATGATATTACCAATAGATGGTCCTTCGATGGTATCGATAGATGGTTAAAAGAAGTCGAAGAGGTATACGTATAATATTAAAAGATCATTAAATAAGATTAACGTTATGGATTAATATTTTACACCGGGCCAACGTCGGTGCTCTTAAATTTCATTTATATATTTATGTATATATATATATATATATATATATATATATATTCATATAGTTCAATTATTATAGCATGCACCAGGTATACCAAAAATATTGGTTGGCAATCGGCTTCATTTGGCATTTAAAAGGAAAGTAGGAGAACGTGACGCGGAAGCATATGCAGCTAAAAATCGAATGGCATTTTTTGAAGTGTCACCCCTATGCGATTTCAATATACGAGAAAGTTTCTCAGAACTTTCTCGCATGGCCCTACATCGTAATGGCATGGAGAGGCTTTGGAGATCAAACAAAGGTATTACACCTTTTTTTTTATTCCTCATAACGTGTCCAAAGGGTGTATTGCTCTTTCAGTAATTTCACCCTTAAAATAATATATTTCCTTTGCCGCAGTTCCCAGTCTTCAAGAACTCGCATGCCGTGCAATAGTTGCAAGAACAACGGTATATGGAATCGATCAACTTCCATTGCCTAAATCTATTAAATCACATTTGAAGTCGTATGCAATGACTACAACCTCCCAACATCGGTATAATGGCACTCGTACGCGTAGCACTAGTAAAAGCTTAAGTTCTCATCAAAGGAAATTGCGTTTCGTTGGAGTGGGCCATAATGGACTATCCACACCAGGCAACTCTCCTGGTAGTATGACAGATTCTAGGACAAGTTGTGTAGGCCGTAATTCCTGTACAATATCTTGAGATTAAAAGCTCAGGTTGCAGTTATGTTTAAACGTGCAACGTGATATCAAAGTTCTTCCATTCCTGTTACATTATATACCCTGTTCCGATTAAGAATATGGCAATGTAACGTTGTGCAGAATGAGATATAAGTACATCATCGATGGTATATCTCTTGGGTAAAAACACAATTTAAGAGATCAAAGACCTCATTTTAATGTTATTACTATTGTTATTCGTACAAAAAAGAAAAAAAAGAAAGAAAAAAAAAGAGAAAAAAGAAAAAGAAAAAAAATGGTTTTGGTGCCCTATACGCCATGTTTCTTCAAGTTTGTGGTTTACCAAAATATCTATAATGACAACATCGAGCTTAAATAACGGCAGTTATTATATGCAAGGTAATTATTATATCGGTGCCATTTGTTAGACAAACCTGAGACGAATTTTATGACACCTGCTAAAAAATAATTGATTGATATAGTCGAATATGTCTTTTTACGATGCCGATCATTAAGCAAAAGTGGTTTTTGATAATGAAATGAGATAGGCGCGAGACAGACAGAACAGTATGTATAACAGATGCACACACTTCAAGTATATCTATATTTTATTAATGTCTATTTTATTGCATTTTTGGCTGTTGATATGAAATTTACTTTTTCAGAAAGACATCTCTGCATAGAACTTTTGTTAAGACAACATAATGTCATTATAAAGGATACCTAATATATAGAAATATATTGTTAAAAAGAAAATTTTTTTAATAATAATTTTAAATATATTCTCTCTATGTATAACTGCAACGTACTTTTGATAAATAGTATTGATGTAAACTATACGTATTTTAACAAAAAAAATTGCAATATTTGTGCATAATCATATTGTATCTCTATTATTTATGCATGATTTTTCATTCTAGTAACTGATTTTGATTATAAATATTTAGTAATCTATTTCATCATTATGTCAATCGATCAATCAATCAACGGAGTAATAGTTTTGCCGTTAGGGGATGTTGAAATATTGAAAGAAGATCATTGTCTTAGCAGCAATGTGTACATCGTATTTTTTCTTTTTTTTTTTTTTTTTTTCTTTTTTCTTCCTTGAAAATTTCTTTACTCTAGGATACAGTGTGAAATATATTTATACTATATAGGATTTAACTAAATTATCTATGTATATAAAATGACTATATGATTTAACATTATTTTATATATAAATAAACATTTTTTGTGTTTCATTGTCTGGGAGATTGTAATAAAACTAGTGATATATAAATTTATACAACAGACATACCTAAAACATGAACTGCTTAAAGAATATATTATTTTCCCAATCTCAAAGAAAGCTATTGCATCAACTGTAAAAACGTATTTGTAAAAGAATTATATTGTTGTAAATCAACAAAATAGAGTTGACTGTATTATTATTGTATATATTTGGTTCTAGGATAATAAATCATTGGTAGTGCTAAAAACATTTAATGAGAGGGGCCATGTTAAGGGGCCACGAAGAAAGAAAAAACAAAAAAAAAAAAAAGTGCGATCATGAATAAAATCCTATTCTTTGTTTATGTTTAAAAGGAATCCCCTCATTGAATATCATGGTGTATAAAACAAATATATCTTCAAACTTGATTGATAATTGTATTTTCCCTCTTTTATATCTTTATTTTTAAATAAAAATGTATAAATAAATAAGATGCATAACTATTAAAACAATGTTAATAGTTTAATAAAACTGTGCTTAATTGAGCATTTCATGAAAAATGTTTAAACGTTTTTCTTTCCCTCGTTAAAAATATTTTAATAAAATAGGAGACGACCCAGAGCGATAATAATTAAATATTGGTGCACTACTCATCTAAAAATGAACTTGTTTTTTCTTTCTTTTTTTTTCCCTCCCTAACATTATTTGACAAATCTTATTATTTCCCTTACTCTCTTGCATGATGTACATATGTATACACATACACCATATAAATATATATATATATATATATATACACACATACCTATATATGTATGTAATACTATATGATTATATAATAGTAACTTTAGTATTGCACGTAAAAGCTTGTGCATTCATTGTTATATTATATTTTGCATTATAACTTTAGAATTGTAAATGATGTTCCTTTTATTTTCAGAGACTTGCTGAACGAATCTTTTTTAATACGATTAGTTGGGTACAATATGTAATAACAATTGCTTTCCATAACAACTACTTCATTTGTTTAACGTACAGAATTATGATTCATAACAAACATTTTATCTGCAATAGATTCTAATTTTTATGTGTATTTCACTTCATAAATGTATAACGTATAAAGTAGCAATGCTGTGGATTTAAATTGTTTCAGCATTAGTAAATCAACTTAATACTCTTACTTAATATTTAATAAGAATTCATGCAGCCATTAAAGTAATATTTAATCATGTCTATGCTCGAAGAAGGACGCGTCGATGAAGAGAGTATTTCACGCTTGTCTACTCAAGAATACGATCCCGTACCACCACAATTGAAAAAAGTAAATGAATTATTAAAATCCATAAGTACACAGTTGGAAGACTGTGCTTTAGAATGTCAAGCCAAAGTTTCGCATCAACAATGGAAAATATTTAGCTCCAAGACGGTCATACACGAACCTTGGGAGGAATCCGTATTAGCCAGAACATTTTTTTCTGAAAAAGTTTTGGATGAAACCTTTCAAAACTTACTTTCATGCAATAAATCTTTCTTGGAGCAACTTAACGATTTCATTGGCAAGCAAACAGAAGACGTTATATCGAGAGCTACAATTATTTTCAAATATATTTAATTATACAAATTAATATAAATTTTTACAGTGCTCCTACAAAATAAGCAACCTAATTTATCGATCTCGGAGAAACAAGATGTACCAATGTACTGTCCAGATATAACTGCGAGTCAAATATCAATGTGCAAGCCAATTGCAGAAACGCTCGATCTTTCGTTGCTAAACTATGCAAACTCAAATGTTTTAAGAAAAGAAGGGAACCACTTTCATACTCATTTCCTTGGAATTAATAATTCGTTTGCCGATGTTATCAAGGCCAAAATCAATTTTGATACTAAGTTTTTAGGATTTGAAGCAGTGTTACATAAAACATCAACTACATCACCAAGTGATGTTTCTTGTCTTTGCAAAATTTGTTCAAACGTAATGATATGCGATGAAAATAATTACTTACACTTTGTGCCTTATGCGACATACATGCATATATATGCATGTGTGTGTGTGTGTGTGCGCACGCACGCACGCACGCACGCACGCACGCACACACACACAGAGGCTCATATTATACTGAATTGTAAATTATTTTATAATAGGATAGTGTAAGGCAGAAGAGGAAAATAGAAAAATTGACATTGGATAAGAAACAAAAGAAGATGAACGATCGGATAATAAGACAAACGAAAACATCGAAGTGGAAACGAAGTACTAGATCTAAAAAAAGTTTTATTCGAAGACAAGGAAAAAAGCAGTCAGCATCTCTTGGCGATGGTGATCGATCAAATGCAATATGCAAAAGAAAGAAATGATGCCACTATGATTTTTATTTACATATATATATATATATGTATATATATATATATATATATACATTTGATATGATGTATGGAATAATGTGAAATAAAAGAAACTTTACAAAATTATGATTACTCATAAAATTAAAAAATTCGATAGAAACGTCTGTGTGTAGAGTATTTACTTAATAAAATAATATGATATAAGCGATTATAAATAATAAAATAGTTTTTAAGATATATTTTTATTAAATTTTTGTGAAAATTATGGGCAATTTTACATCGGGATAATCCACATAACACTCTGTTATACATTTAAAAAATTATAATCTTCTACTATTATGCTAGAAACTAATTTTTGTTTATATAATAGTATTAGTTGGAATTATTTTGTTTAACAATGAAATTGTAGCACTACGTCTACGTATACAGATTTTTATCGGTCCAATTATTTTTCATTTTTGATTATTTCATTTAACATTGCAATTCACACACAAGGAATACTAAAATAATTATAATACAAAAAAATATTTTCTGTGTGTTTAAACATAAATGGCTTAAATTAAATTAAAAGCATTGAAACAAATTACACATCAATTTTATAAAATACAAATATTTAAATAAATCATTTTTTTATCATATTAATCTTACTGACACGTGATATTAATCTATTCAATTCGCATTTTATGAGTGATTTACGATGTTACCTTTTAAAAGCGTATGCAATAATCACTTAGATACAAGGAGTATCCATATATCTATTGTATGTAAAACTAGAAAATAAGTGATAAAATGTTAATCTAATAACGGAGAAATTGAAGGATTTTCTACGTATTTTTATTGACATATATTATCCCATGTGAAAATTTTGATTTTGAAAAGAAGAAAAAGAAAAAGGATGTGTGTATCTGTGTGTGTATGCGTGTGTCCATATATATATATATATATATATATACACACACACGCACATACACATACGTATACATATCTATATATGTAAGTGTGTGTGTGTGTATATATATATATATATTTAAAATAAATATATAAAAAATAATAAAAATAATTGCGTCAAATAAGATCAATGAGGGTCTAATGTTTTTAGGATATTTTCAACAGTATACACTCTAAAAAACAAAAAAAAAGAAAAAAAATTAAAGAAAAAAATGAAAAGAAAAAAAAAGAGAAAAAAATAGTAACAATAATAAAGTATTTAGAAATAATAACACAAAATGTTTTAAGGTATACATTTTTTGCGACTTATGGATTTTGTAATTACCTATTGGTTTTAATATAGAAGATGTTTTTTAAAAACAAATATCGTATGCCATATTATGTACACATAATACAACTTGTTATTGTTACTTTTGAAAAATGCACCTTCTAAATACAATTGTAAAGAATAAAACACTCCCTGCAATCGTGCATAAAATGGGAATTTTTATATCAGAAAATGATCTTTCAAAAGAACTTTAAAAAGTGGAAGAATATAAAATAAAAGAGGCATTTTCCAATTAAAAGGCACATGTAATGACATATCGACGATGATAAAATAATTCCAGATTTTTAACAAGTATGATTATATAGTGTTTTTGTAATTGGAAAATGCCTCAAGTTGATACCATTTTTTAAAAATATTTTTATAAAGAGTAACAAGTAATTAGAAATTTTGTTATATGCATGTAATTCCAAATGTAACAAAAGAGAAATATTTTACAAAAAACATTACTAATCGTTTATGCAAACTATAAAGGAAAAAAAAACATTAATAGCATTGGTTAATATTTCATTTTGATAATAAAAGAAATGTTCTATTAGTGTCTGCATTATGATTGAAATATTTAATCAACATTGTAATACAGATGCATACACCCTTTTTTCACTGATACATTTAAAGATTTTAACGATATATATATACATATACATATCCATACATAGGTACGCACATGTGTATGTATACGTATGTGAGTACGTGTACGTGTACGTGTTTGCTATACATATATATATATATATATATATATATATATATATATATATATACATATACATATGCATATACATATACATATACATATGCATATACATATGCATATACATATGCATATAGATATGCATATGTCTTTCTGTTTTGTTTTCCTTTTCCTTCTTGCCATACCATTCTTATACCAATGAAGCACGGATCGACAAAAATTCTAATAATCATACGCATGGATTTTTTGAATTACTGAAATTAAACTCCTTATGTAATAGCTTTCCTTGGCTTCTTCACACATTAGATGTTATTCATCCAAATACAATTGAAATATAACATTTTCACTGCAATATGATCATAAGTGACATATTTAAGCAAGCAGATCTCATAAATACCCCTAAAATAATGAATAAAAGATATTTATTTGTTAAAAAAAGGAGGAAATAATAATATAGAATCTATTAAAAAACAAGATATCTCAATACAGACATATAATATAGTGATATAATTATCATATTGTACAAATGACATTATGTGCTTCCACATTAATGACATAATTAGCACTCATTTATGAAATTACGAAGTTTTAACGTTTAAAAGAGATAAGACCACTTACAATAAAAACGAAATTGCACAATAGGCATTCTATGTATATTCTAAATATTAGTAATAATATAATATATATTATATCATTATTATCTTACAATTTAATTCTGTTTTTAAAAGTTTCAAAAGGATAGATTAAATAACAATAAACGTACCAGAATCTTATAAGATCGTTTCATGCAACAATGACAAAGAAGTTAATCTTCGTTGTAGAATATATGAATATCAAATAATCAACAACAACGGTTTTAATTGACAAAAAGTATCAATTAATTTATTTTAATAATGTGCCTTACACAATGAATATCTATATAAATAATTGTTTTAATTAAATATCTCTCACTGAGGCACTCTACTCATCATATTTATAATTATGATCAAAAATGTTGGATATACCGAACAATATGGTACATACCGTATATTATATGTCAGAATTAAAAAGTATCGTGTGTATGTATCGCGCGCGCGCGATAGTGTGTACACGTGTGTGTGTGTGTGTGTGTGTGTGTGTGTGAGCACGCGCGCGCAGTAGCAGTAGAGATATATAGTCGACGTAACTCAAATTTAACCAGATTTTCATCCTTAAATATAAAATGAATAGATATCTTATACAAATATGAAGAAAATTTTAAGACCAAGGGGACTTTTATGAGATCTGTATGCTGGGACAGAGAAAATATGAATTTAGAGAGGTAATATAGGAAAAGCATGGATTTCACCTGAATTCATAGATTTGTATACTGTGTTCTGGAACATGCCTTAAATTCAATGATTGATACCTAAAATGATAATAAATAATCTAATAATAAATATATTCATTAAATCAATAATGTATGTATAAACACACAACAATGCTTTTCTTTGTATTGTATTATAATAGCAGTGAAAATCTGAAAGATCTTGATCGATCTTACGATCTAACAATCTTTTCTTAAAGTCTCACATTTTATAGTTTCATTATAGCAAGACATTAAAAGAACTAAAATGTATTAAAGTATTCATAAATAAATATAATATCAATTTACCATTCAGAACTTCGATGATAATAAAAACCTTCAATCGTTGCAGCAGACTTTTGGAAGCAAATATAATAAAAGCCTGCAAATGAAGCTCCGTTAATATCTTTAATAGTATGGTCAGGAACTAAAAAATGTTCCTTCCATCTCATAAATACAAAATCTGTCCCTTTTAGTGCTTCGTAATCAAATGTGTCGGAGTTAAAAGTTTTGGCATATTGACAGAAAGATTCAAATTTACTCTGAAAAATAAGAAATAGATTAAATTTATAATTATACTTAGTAAACTTGTCTTAAGATCATGTGATAAAAAGGATATGGAAAGTGTGTGTGTGCGGGCGGGCGCGCGCGCGCGCGTGTGTGTGTGTGTAAAGAAAAACAAACCCAATGTTTCTTGTCAACATCTTCATCCGCGTCCCATTTACGAGTTAAAAATGGATATTTTTTGGAAATAATTTCACCATCAAAGAACGTAGTTAATGTGGGAAATTCTTCTGTAAGACCCTTTATTTTAAGATAACCGCATAAGTAGCTGTTTTCCTCATCCACATGCTAAAACATCAATACGATTCAAGCTTATATAAAATCATAAAATTTCAAACGAATCATTGACTGGATTTCTGATAAACTTCATTATTTGTAATAATATTATTAGTGCGCGAATGTACTTGTAAAAGTAAATATTTGAAATATAACATTATATTATAGGATTGTCAATATTGATATCCTTGGGTAATGAAAAAAATTGACATCACAAAAGTAATGGATATATCTTAAGGATATATTAGAGTAACAATGTATTAAAACAATATACCAAAAACAGAATATATTTAAGGCATTAATATGAGGTTGCCTCAAAGAATTCATGTATTACTAATTGCTGACAATGTTCTCGTTCGATTTGCCATTTAGAAACGAGGTGCTAAATTAACGATGAGAGAAAGGATGGAATAACAAGGTCACGCATAAAATAAATTTTTAAAGGCACATAATAAAGCTTCGATAAATTTGTCGTGTAATTTCCAAAAAAGAAAAAAAAAAAAAAAAAAGGAAAAGAGAAAAAAAAGAAAAAACGAACAACTAACCTGTAAAACAACTTCAACGTCGTAACTATTGCCCTTCGACTTTTGCGATCCCTGAAAGCGCGAACCGTTGTAGAGCAACGATTTTGTAACACCCGGCTGCTTCGAATTAGCAGGCGGCGGTGGAATTACATCAACTTTCACCGGCATTCTCGGCCAAAGTGAATGCTTTCTCAATTCTTTTTCTTGTTGATCGAAGAACTCTACATCACAAGATTCTCGCAATGACTGCCGGTAATTTGAAGAATATGGCTGTATTTATATGAAGCCTCGAACCCAGTCGTATTTCCACGGATTTGTCGCTTCGTTCTTCGCTCACTCTTACCAAAATATTTCAATCGTATGAATCATTTTATTTGCCCTATCGCTTTTTAAACTCGGAGATCATCGTTTCAAATTTTCCCAATAATATCTTTTTATTTTATTTCACCCATCTGTCCGGTTATATGATAGAAGAAAAGACTAAGTAAAAATGGCGGGATTTTGAAAAATGATTTCAATTAATTATGATATACCATACAAGGTATTATGACAAAATTTTTCATTTATCTAATAATAATGGTATAAATGCACATGGATTATTAATATTATTTCAAATTAATACGTCACGTTTATTAATATGAATAGATCAGGGTATAATCTTTTCCGATATAAAATATATACAGGCTATTTTATTGTATGTGATAAGATTCGTATTTTACAAAAATAATTATTATATATATATCTATATATATATACATACTTAGAATCACATTTTATTTATCTTTATTGACATATTTCTCGCTTTAAAATTGTTCAAATCTTATGTGGATTATTTTTAAAGGATTCATTAAGGGATTTAACAGCACCCTAATAATAATCTTAAATACATTAAAGACGATGAATACGAGTAAAATCGTAGTTGTTTCTTGCGTTACAGTATCTTGAATGCAAGTACATACGAATAAGTTTGTCAATGAAATAAAAGAGTTTCAATAATTAAATGCATAAGCAAAAATAATAAATTGTATGAGTGTATTATAATATTTGAACTGTTCAATGTGCAAAAGTATATGTGTTATATATAAATTAAAAAGTAATAGATACGAATGGATACAAATAATACTTTGACTATTAACTCCACCACTCATTGCTCCATTATTAAAGACTACATTTTGTTTTACAATTCTAAGATGCAACACAAATGTATTAGAAAAAAAGTGGCCTGAAATATATATAAATTGAGACAAGAGTGATACTTTAATTAAGTTTATCGTTTACTTTTTGCTATATGTATATATAAACACGCACGCATGCACACAGAATATTATAACATAGATTTTATAAATATATATACATATACATGTGTCTGTGTGTATATATATATATATATATATATGTATATATATGTATATCCTTATCCATTATTTGCAATAATTACAGAGATAAACAAATATATGTTTGTGAAAATAAAAATTCCCTTTTATACCTTAGATAAGTTAATTCTGCAGGAAGCTTCAGAATTATTAATGGCCGAACAAACCCTCAAAACTTTACACAAAGATGTAGAGTCACAGATGTTAAGCTTCTTTCAAGGATAGGCTGTGATGTAAATTTGCATATTAGTAGAGAAAAAATAATAAGAGAAAGTTGTAGCTAAGATATAGTTCTGATAGACTTTTATCATAATGGTAATATAAAAGATAAAAGGTATTTAAATAGTATAAAAATGATTATAACGCTGAAAGATCATTTTAAGGAAGAAAAAGAGAGGAAAAGAAAAAAGAAAATCACGAAACAGTACGGAAAGTAATAATAAAATATAAAAACAGCTCATTTAATTGTCATGACCTTGGATGTCATTAGCAAATTAATAAGTTCATAAATAACTATATTGTGAAAGTGTGTTTAATATCGTGTGAAAGTTATCTTACCTAATTTCACATTTTCCCTTAAATCCATTGTGCGATATCATCTTTAAAAATTGTATATAACTATCAGGAAGTTGGCTCTCTTGAGCACCTTTAATAATTGTTTCTCTAAAATAATATAAGAATATATAGAAATAAGTTATGAATATAAGTGATAAAATCAAAGTGAATTGTTATAAAATAATACGTACAAATAAAGAGGCGATGGTCGCCTCTCGATTGGTAGGAACATTGGTTTTATATAGTTCGCTGGAATATTACATTGTTGATATACTCTACATTCTAAAACAGTACCACTGGGAGTTTCAACGTTGACCATTAATGGAAAGTATATATTATCCATAACACCCTCTTGACAATCCAACGTAGAAAGATTACATGTATCCAATTCCCAAATTGCGCCCCATACAGAACAATTTTCTGTAGGAACTATCGTAGCTGCTGCTCCACCCCATCTTTTTGTGTACGTTATAAAATCAAGCCTGTAATTCTAAAATATTTGTAAGAATTTATATATTTACAAATATTGGACCATACTATGAAACATATATACAGGTATTGTATAGACGCATGTAGAAAGAAATGTAAAGGGAAGAATGAATATGCTCAATTTACTTTTAAGCGACCAATGTCCTTTCGCACGGCTGTTGGATTATTGAAGTGAATTCTTTTCATTAACAAATTGCTGCCATAAGCAAAGTATAAAAAGGTACTTGCCATATCGCGACGATTATCAAATCGCGAATATGAAAATTTTCAGTTATGTCGAGATCAATTAGAATTACAGAGGGAAATTAATAACAAATACAAACAGATATCATTTGATAAGAAACATTTAACGCAAATTGGCGGCGATAAGCAAGATAAGGAGGCAAAATCCATGCCGTTTGAAGCGCCACCTAATAGTTAATCTTAAAAGTTTTTTAGGAGCATCATTGCCAAAATTAATCTCCTTCGTGAGGAGGAATGTCACATTAAAACTTTGCCATTATTCTTCTACGTTACGTTACTTGCGTCACGTGACATAAGCTATGCCTAAAGATACGTGGTCGCGTCCATCCTAACCTAATCGTACGGCTAGACTACTCTATGCTAACGTCTAATTTTTTTCCTCATTTTCCTCGATCGGCTGATCTTGTAAATGATTAATATTATTATTATTAATGCCCTTTTGCCATTTTTTCAATTGACTAATCTGATTTTCATTCGTATAAAGTAGATATTCAACGGACTCTCCATTGACGTGATATTTTCTATTATATAAAAGTTTTTGTCAAACGACTAATGTTTGAAAAGAGATAATAAACGTGCAAAATGTCAGATAAAAATAAGAGAAAATCTCGTGTGTATTTGGCTGGAAAAGAAAGCACGGTAATTATGAATTCGATAATTCGTTTACAGTTATTAATAGACAGTATATTATAATCTATTGCATTACGTTTTGGGGACTTTTACGAAAATTAGGTTAAAGCTGTTGAACTTCTACAAACAAGGTTAAATAATAAGAAGCGAAGTTGGAATAATAAGAATAACGATAAGTGTCAGAAAATGACACATCGTTGCACAAGCATGCCATTACAAAAGAAATCGGATTACGTATCACTTACAGGATTCTCCAAAAGCTTATTTATGTTAGAGATTAGGTCACATTTAGGTAAACAAAATTGGAAGCATATACAACACCTATTTCCATTTTTATTAGATTATTCCAATGAAATAGAGTATTTAATTTGGCGTTATGCATTAACAATTTTGTTGTATAGTGATAATAGTGATTTATCCAATTTACAACAATTTTTGGAGATTTGCGTTGGTAATCACAGATTGAACGATAGGAAAGAATTAGAGAGATTATTGTTATTACAAAGTAGGAACAATTTATAAATGTAGTATTAAGACATCAAATGCCATGGCTGTATTCAAAGGCGACTGGCACTGAATTTGTCTGTAGCGCCTTAGGGCTAATTAATTTTTATTTATTAAAATACGAATAGACATAAATTTTTATTTATTGAAATAACTTTATCAAAGAAAAAATTGTTTCATAACATTATTACATATTTATCTATGGATGGGGATTGATTGATCGGTAGCTTGAAAAACGATTCAATTACAACGAATTATAATGTAGACCTTAGCAGCAATAGATTCGACCTTAGTCTATCTAATGTTGTATCGGTATCGGATACAAATCGATTTACAAAAAGGAACGTAAGAAAAGGACCGACCACTTTGCAAGGGCAATATATCTTTACGCATATTCAATTATATTTTTTAAACGGAAATAAACTTATTAAATACACTTATAAATTTGTTCATATTTTTTAATACTGATTTTTCTTTTTTTCCTTTTCTCCTTTTATCACTTACGATAGATGCGAATGATAAATCGATTATTGATCGTGTTTCAATTGAATATCCGTCAAACAGACGTGTAAACACTTCTCCTTTGCTATATTCACAAACGATTTGATATGCTGTAAAAAATAGTATAATGATATTTCTTAAACATCATGATTTGCATCTGTTTATAATTTATAACTTACAGACGCGTTATATGTATCTTTTAAAAGGACCGTTTACGTGTCATCTGATTGTTTTTTGTCCTATTTTAGAACGAACAAGATCCCAAGACATCGACGACACGTCAGATTTGGTACATAAATTCATGATAATTTCTGCCTTTTTAGTTGCTCGTAAGGCTCCCAAGCACGTACCAATTGCCATATTGTAAATAGGTGTACCATTCTGAATATTAATCCACGTGTGTATTCTCATTAGATATTAATTATATATCTACTATGATGCATAGGGAATTTGTACAAAGGAAAGAAAAATACTTACGGAGCTTTTATGTCGCCAATCTTGATTTCCACCCATCTCATGACACTTTCCAAGCTTCGGTATCTTTCCTCCTCCTTCCATACAAAGCACTTGTCCAAGTATCAACTCATTTTTTGCCGTTTCATACCACATCTACGCACACGAAAAAAAGCTACCGTTGAATATTACATAATAAAGATCCAATTCTTGATATTGCATCATTTAATTATTTCAGGTACACCTATTTACTTATTTCTAATTCTTACCTGTGATTTAATTCTTAAACATGGAGCTAAAATGAGTTTCGAACCTTTAGTCTTGATATCTCTTTCACTTTGAATACACAATGTGGAATTGGTAAGTCTTATTTGATATTGATCAATGTAATTCCTCTTCCTTGAATGCCAAGGTTGCATTGGCTTTTGATCTAACTTTGACCATTTGTCCTTTAATTGGGTTTCATTATCATCCGGCAATACTAATTCGGGATAAACTACTTTGAGATACCAAGCAAAACTTTTGCAGTTTAATTTTTGTCGCAATGCAACTCTATCGGAAATATCACCGTAATCTATTTTTTTAACATTTTTTAAAAAATAATCTTTATATTCGTCCATCCACACATGTGCAACGCGTAAAGAGTTTTTTAACATTGTATCATATTGTTCGTTACTGCCATATGGTCTGCGTCTTCTAAAAACATGACCAACTCTTGAACATGGTATAAGTTCAATACTTCCACCACACATCCATATCTGTAAATAAAGGGACGTATTTGTAATTATTTTCGCATCAACTATTATACATATACATTACTAGATTTTAATCTTACTCTAAAGGAGATCTCTAGATTTTCACCACCCCAAATGTCCATGCCAGGATCATATTCACCTAACTCCATAAAGTATGTTTTGTCGATAGCAAATAATCCTCCTGCCATAGTTGGCGATCTGTTGGTAATATAATGCCTATCTATTTCAGATTACACGGTATTTTATATATATATATATATATGTATATATATATATGTATATATATATACATATACATATATATATATATATATATATATGTATATATATATATATATATATATGTATATATATGCATATTTAGGAAAAATCTTTTTACTTAATAGGTTTTACAAAGTCTTCGTGATTGGTCAATGTACCAACGGGTAAGTTGTCCCATTTAAAATGCAGTCCCCAATTGAAACCTCCTCTGACCAAAGGACTCCCAGTATATTGAAATGTATCTGCGTTTATAATATCGATAACTGGCATAGGTACAATAGTCCTTGAATATGCTATTCTCGAAAGAAGAGGTTCTATCCATTCTTTATTTACTTCAATGTGACTGTCTAAAAATATTAAAACGTTCCCTGTTGCCTTTCTTGCACCAAACATTCTTGCTCTAATCAATCCTTCCCTCCTTTCAGTTTTAAATAATTTTACTTTGCCGTTAAAGTTATCGATGTAACGTTTTATTTTTTCATGTAACATATTACTTTCGCTATAATCATTCACTAAAATAATTTCATGTAATAATGACATTGGTGTTCTTACGATCAAAGATTGCAAAGATCTCATGAGCGTTGTATAATGTTCGTTGTAGAAACAAATAACGATACTAGCGTTTGGCAAATTATTTGCATACTTTTGCGTTTGACACAATTCATTTCTTGTGTCTAATATGTCTCTGTAAAAGCCAATATTATCCGATACCAAGATGTTAAAAGAATAATTTTTATATCCTTCATTTCTTTTTTGTTGATCTTCCAAATTCCTCACCATTCCTAAAGTATCCAATCCTAAAGAAATTGGTCGTATCATGTTATATATTTTTTTATATAATTCGTAGCACATGATTAAAAGATACTTATTGTAAATGAGTTATATGCACATGGCGCGTGTTCATTCACACACACCCACACTCATCTCAAGTGTAAGTATTCAATTTATAATAATATATAATTTATATTGTATTATTGTAAAGGCGCAGGTACATATTGTACAAAATCTTACCATTGCTTAATAAAACGGCAGGTTTAAGCGAAACTGCTTGTAAATGATGCAGCAGCTTGTTGCTGTTTTCATAGTTATTCATGCCTATTAAAATATATATAGATATGTACGTGGGTATGTATATATATATATATATGTACATGTAATTTATTTTTGTCAGAACATTATAAGAGTCCATTAACTTTATCAGATATTATTATGGTACCTTTATCAAAAGTTTTGGTCTTTGTTAAAACTTGTAAAAAATTTGATGACGAGTAAATATTCTTATTTCCTTCGTTATGAGAAAGCGTCGAGTAAAGGTACAAGCTCAATATCCATGTTAGCGATGCTATCACAACCCCAGTTATAAATGCTGTGTACGTTGTCGACATAATCTGTAAGTTGACAACAAAATATTGATGTTTCTTAATACAGAGTACGGTGATATAATTTATTTCTCTATTTTACGGTTGAAGATAAAACGAATGATTTTGTTTTCATTTGACATATTATAAATGTGTACTTACTTGTTGCTTAGAACGGCACTTGTATGTCGCTTTATCTTCAAATTTGCAATTTAATGATTACATTATAATACATATTTTCAGGTTATGCAATAGAAACGCTGTTAGCACGGACAAGGACATTGTAAATTTAAAATAGATAAATACGAATGTAATAATCGTATATAATATACGAGGAAATATTTAAAAGTATTAGTAACAGTGCAGTCGCATTCTCTTATCTTTGTTATTTCACAATATTTCATGAAAATATTTTCATTGCACGTGTAGCGTGCTTCGTTTAGTTCGTCGCTAGACTTCGCACTGATCGCCCGCCTCATTTTTCCTATGTACATTAATATATCCAAAGGTTGGAAAAATCCAATTATCGATCCACGACCACGACAACATCTACAATACTACAGGAACTACATTGTCTACTATAATTATTTTCTATTATGCTTAATTCACAGATGTCGTAGAATTAAATTTTGCCAGGAATATTTTACATTACAGTCAAGAATGTCAGTTTGAGTTTTTTTCTCGGCGAGCGTCTGAATACATTGATTATTTAAAATTATACATTTTTTTTTGCATCCTTGTAATTTGCACCAATCAATCTCGTTGCATGTCTTTTTATTTTCCTCATCAATGAAGCTTTTCCTATTTCGATGAATACTCGGTGAAAATATAACTCCGGTCCAATAATCCGTATCATTGCTATTTTGCAATGCAACCTGCGTTCCAGTACCTACAATTTGCCAAGAGTATTTGATTTCGCATTTATACGTTGAAGATTTATCATTATGATTGGAAAATTGACTTTGATTTTCTTCTAGATCATTATGTAGCAAAACTTTAGAAGTTTGCGAACTTGTGCCTATAATCTGCCAGGAATATTTTATTTTACAATCACAACCATCTTCCATGCATCGTTTATTCTCTTTTCCTTCGGACGTTTTAATTAACCACGATCTTTTTTCAGGCATACCTATACAATTAATATCCTCAAACGAACATTTAACGTCATATCGTTGGTCATTGTTACGTTTACTTTGTGAGATGTGCAAATATGAATTATTATTTTTTATGTCGAATACGCATTGAGTAGATCTGCTATAACGTATGGCGCTCATTGATCCTTTTATGTCTCTTTTTTTTTCTCTACTACAACATAAATAACAAATTTTAGGATGATATACTTGTAATAATCGCATTTCACTTTTATGATTTACTATTTTCATCATATCCTCGCTATAACTGGTATAAAGTTTATCCTTAACATTGACATCTTCTTTTCTATTGCCGTTTTTGCATAAATCAGGCGTAATAAGATTGCAAAAAAATGATTGATACATTGGAGCAATTAATAAATCTTCATTATTTGTAGTTTTCATCTTTGAGAATGTTAATCCGACAGTATTCCTTCGATAGTGATTTTCTGTGCGATCGAGATTCGACGTTATATAATTAATGCAATTTATATTTGTTTTGTCAGTCTCTTGAAAAATATTTTGAGTCATCGGCATAAATATTTTATTGTTTCTATGCAACGTATTTTTCTTTTTACAAAGTAAAGTATTTTTTTCAGCAGAAAATTGATCTTTCTCGCACGGCCGTTTAAGTACCTTCTGTTCTTCTGGTGCATCGCTACATAATACTACTGTAGAAATAGGAAAGGACTCTCTACTAGAATTAAACATCTTTTCCTGAGAATAACATTTATCGTCCGATGAATTTATTGTATTCGGAAATAATAGAGATTTATTTTCGTTTTCTCTCTTTAACTTTCTCGATTTATAAGAAAATTGTTCTGAAGTACTAGAAATATCGTTCTTTTGCGAATCTAATTTATTCCGGCTAATACTTTTCTCGTATTGCGTCTTGTACGATTTTTCGTAAGTAGAGCCATATACCTAAGAAATATTGATTTAATTAATGACTTGTATTAAAATCACGCCGATGATTAATTCGGGGGAAGAAAAAAAGGAAAGGGACGTTTTATCTATTAATGTCATTGCAGTATTCACCTTCCGTTTTTCTTGGATGGTATTATAAAAGCCGTGCGATGGGCTTTGTAGGAACGACAACGTACGTTTCTTTTCACGCTTTGAAAGTTGCATCATTGTGGGTTTAACATTTGGAAAAGAGCAAATCCTTGGAGGCATTTTTGTGGGTACGGATTTGAATGTAGGAAGCATTTTATTTTCCGTAAATAACATTATATCTGGTTTAATTTCGTGTCTCAATTTTTGAACATTACTTTTAGCATACCTATCTTTTCGAACCATTTTTCTAATCATTTCGGCATTCTGAAGTCATACGTAATCAAAATGTATCTGCTTATGGGGATAGAGGAATAATTATTTAACTCGTACAACGGCAATATGTCAAACCGTAATATTACGATTACGTTTAACACAAAACTGCTCCAATACGATAATTATTTATACTTACCAAAGTTAACAGATTTGAAACATAAACGTATTTACATGTTTATTGTAAAGATTTCGGTAGTTTTCGGTGCAGCAAGTAGGTAAGACTAATAAATGAAATATTTGATTAAAACTTTATATAATAAAATGTGATAGACGATTGTTTTGCCATAAAAAATCTAGTTAAGCCGAAGATCGAGCAAAAATGTTCAAACGAATTCGCTTATTATTAATATATAAAGCTTTACTTACGAAACATTACTTACGTGAAAAATCGTTGGGTGCCTACTACATTACGGAAATTTGGTTAAATGTATCTTTGAAAAAAAAAAAAAAGAAAAGAAAAAAAAAGGTCACATGGGATTTTAATATAAGTGAGCCGCCGTAAGCCAGAGGTCGTACTGGGTCATATGTGCATATGTACAAGTATACCCTTTTAATTGCAAGATCCATGATCGTAACGTTTTTCTCGTGTATCGGATAGATGATACATAGAAAGGTACCATGAAGGTGGGAAAAATGAATGTGGTATTTAAAGTCAATTAAATTTGCAATAAATTTCTCGAGAAGTATGAAAGAACAAATTTGATGATAATAGTTTGAAAATAAAAATTATATTTCTATATATGCATATAAGAAAGAGTAGAAAATATACCAAAGTAATATTATGCGCAAGTATTTACGGCAAATGCCTATAAGCATAAAAAATATTATTCTTTTTTCTGCATATAATAAACGTATATCATCATTGTTTTTCCGGTAACCATATGTCGGATGTGCAATCGCCGCCGGGGTATCTGTTTCGAGAAAAATTGGTTATTAATCGATCTTAATTAGGTGTGACTTAAATTAAAAGCAACGTAAAAAAAAGAGGGAGGAAAAAGATGACGCGTAATCTATGCTCACCTCATTTCATGAGCCAATAAAATATCATCTTTATCCAATCCAAAGTCAACCAAAAATTCTTCATCCAACGTCATGCCTCCATTTTCAATGTTGACATCAAGTTTGACCATCGTCGATCCATGCCTATGCGTTATATACAAGAAGAAAAGAGAGAGAGAGGGAGAGAGAGAGAGAGAAAGAGAGAGAGAGAGAGAGAGAGAGAGAGAGAGAAATGTACCATTTAATGCTTTCAGAGCCAAGCAAAAAGGAAAGGTTGTGGTATGTTCGAGAGGTCGCATTTAGAATTTTGCAACTTACTCAATGAGTTCGGGATAGAATTGTTTATCCCAGGGCTTGAAAATGGACGTCGTTACATAAAGTCGACGTCCGTCGAGACTGAGCTGCAACATTTGCGGTCCACCGTATAATCTACGTCCTTTCACATATACGGGATCCGGTCGACTCTCCGATTCGGCCGATTCTTCTAAGACACGAATTTTCGAATCTTTTAATATGGATCCACCGAGGAAGACTTGTCCAGTTAATTTTGGATTTCGACGATCGGTTATGTCGTATTGCCTGACATCGCCGTGCAACCAGTTGGAAAAATACAAATATTTGTCATCTAAGCTTATCAGTATGTCCGTGATCATTCCTGCGAGGAAGGAAAATAGTAAGAAACGGTACACATAACTTGTGTATCGACGATTAGAAGATGTAGAAAGAAAGGGATAAGAGGACATATAATACCTACCAGACATATAAGGCTCAATCCATCCTTCAACTTTTTTCCGAGGTACCTCGATCACTTTCTCGGCATCCCAATCGCCCTTGCTCGTCTTGTAAAATCTATAGACTTTCGAGGTGACAGCACATCCAACGTAGCCCTCCGCTGCCTTTGGATCGTGAAGAAATCTTATTTCGAGCGGTGCAATGCCGTCGTCACCAAGACAAATGATTTGTTTTAATGCTCGTTCGGACCAAGAGTAAATATTTAGATTTCTACCATAAATAGCTGTCGTAAAAATAAAGAAAATTTGAATTTGCGAAAAGGCGAGTGAAGTAAAAGATAAAATGCGATATTGATGTTAGATAATTAGATTAATTTCTCACTTGTATCGGTAACGTGATCGGGAGCGTAACCCTTCTTAAAAATCCTTGGCGTGCCCCATTCGGTAGCTATGAGCGTATCGTGATAGGGCTGATACCAGAAATCGTAACCGAATGCTGCTTTATTTCCGTCTTTAATCCACGAGCCTTTCGTTTCTAACGTTTCGCTATCTATACAAAGAAATTCTCCCTGTCCGTCGCCATTAGGTTTACCCATCGTAGAGATGATTATTTCGCCTGTCGGTGCGCAATGCGAGGTGTGCGGCGTCGATAAGCCAAATTCATGCATATCCTTCGGCTCCAGGACCTAAATGCGCGTCGTAGACCTTCAAATATGGTTTTTATCTTTTTAACATTTTCGCATACCGACCTTCTTTATTTTTGGTGACGTCTCGTTACTCGTATCAACGAAGTAAATCCTATCCGACATAAGACATGGTAATACCAATACATCGCGCGCGCGCGGTAATTCGTGACAACTGCTGCATATGTTCCAACCGGAATGATGGAGTTCGTCCCCGACGTGTAACATTCTAAGTTTGTGTATTATCTAGAAGACATTATTAGTAGCGCTTAAATATATATAAATACGTGGTTCGATGTCCGAAAGTAAAACTTACTTTACAATACGTAGGACTTTTAGGATCTACATCGACCGTTGAAAGGACATCAGGCTTATCGGGATCCGTATGTATGCAAACGACGTACATAATTTTTTCACGCGGCCCATCCAGCATCGCCATTTTAGGACTGGGATAGCCCGGCCGACAATCGGCCGTACAATCTATAATGTTTCGACGTCGTTATGATTTCTCGCCAATAAAAGAGCAAATCTTTTTATAGATACGGATATATGAAAAAAGAAAGGCTCAAAATCGAGTAAAGGGAAAATGTAAAAGAGAAAAGAGATAACACAGGGGGTAATTATAATTAATAAGTTTATACGAGTAGGGCACAATATTACGTTCTTAAGTAGATTGCAAATGTACATGATCGATCAAGTATGGATTATTTAATTAATTTATTGAAGTATTTCGACGGATATAACGACGATATGGAAGACATTTCCTACATATGCATATATCCAGGTTATATATCCAGATATCTTACGTAAAAGGACGCTTTCGCCTTTCGTAACTTTACCCGACTTCATATAAGTAATTTAAAATACTCACTAGTATGCTTTGACATTAGGCGTTAGGTTGTCGATCCCTCTCTCGAACGTTCACTTAAATGGGACAGAAGCAAGGAACGACTTAACGATGTGTTGTTATTGAAGAAACGAACGGGACTATTTCCAATGACGGTCGTCGCTCGACTACTGTCAGATAAGTCTCGCCACTTTCTTCATCTTCGGTAACGTCCTGTCGAGAGAGAGAGAGAGAGAGAGAGAGAGAGAGAGAGAGAGAGAGAGAGAGAGAGAGAGAGAGAGAGATAGTGTATATCGTAGTTTCGTATATAATTCGTATATAATTTGTGCCCCAAGGTCTCGATATTAGCTGATTACGAGAAATTAACTTATTACGATGTTAGCCTGAACATTTTTTTTAAAACGTAGAAATGTATGAAATATAAATGTACTTATAATATTATAATAATAAGCACTTTTATAAATGGCATAATTCAAATTATGGTTAAAGGGAATCGGTTTTGATTCGATCAACGTACATAGATATTCATGACAAATGGCTTTATTCGTTTCTTTTGGTAGGATTACAAAAATAATTGGAAAGACGACGAAAGCATGCATTCACGATCGAATTAATTTTATAACGTATCCCATGTCTTCTTAAATAAATAACAGCTTTAACAGTTTGGTCCGTTCGAAATTAATATTATTAAATTTATTTAGATATAATATTATACATGCAAGATTATTTCAATTCCTAACGGAGAGAATCTGTTTAACTATCCACATATATGTAAGTTTATATCTGTAAATTTTATTGCGTAGGCGACAACAGTATGACAATGGTTCTTTTAACGTAAGAAATAAGAATTTGATATCGCAAAGTATTTACCGAGAGAATATAGTTTCGTTGTATTATTTTTCACGAATACGACCTTACATATAATGTGACACGATAATTTTATTCGTGCGCTCGCGCATTGTATTTTCGGAACGTAATATCATCGATTCGGGCTGGGTTATCGAGTTTTTGTCATTATATTTGTCACGAACTGGAAAGCATGAAAGTGCAAATTGTATCATTGTGTTCGTATCTTTCTTTTACATTTTTCTTAAGGTATAAAAGTAATTTACGTAACGAAGTGCTGCATTTTACCTACGTATTAACAACCGAGTACCTGTAGATTATCGATTTTCCATATTTGTGATCCAGCTATCAAATGATAGGGATAGCGTTTCACATTGGCGATTATATTTCTTATTTAATTGGGACATCGAGTAGGTCATTGGCCCCTATATCGAATAAATTATTTCTTATTTTTCACTCTCTTATCTATTTGCGAATTAAAACTCAACGTTATTAAAAATAAATGTTCTATTTGTAGATATTTCGAATGATTGTCTTTTTTCGAATGATTTTTTCTTTTTTTAGAGCCGCCTCTTAGGAGACATCGATGTTTTAATGAAGGCGATTATTTCATTGGGTCGTTTTCTTCATTCAAATATATGCCTTTTTAAATATTTTTATTACGATATTTTAGTTACGACATAATACTATTACTGTTAGGCATATAATACTATATAATGTGACTCTATCGAGTCCAGTACAGAATTAGGTTGTTCGTTCTATGTCTCCTCTATCGGTAGATAAACTTTAATCAATTCCGCGCGACACGATTCTCACAATTCTGTTTATATTGCGATTTACGTTCCACCTTGCGATTTGGTCAAACTGTGTATTTAAGGGTATATCGATGAAAACGTATCTTTGGACTGTCTATCGCGCGCGCGCGTGTGTGTGTGTGTGTGTGTGTGTATGCATATCAATAATTGCAAGGTGTGTAAGCAATCAAGTTCTCGCCTGGAAAGTTACGTTCCCGTTTCGCATCCTGTTAAAAATTATCGCACCGTATAATATTATATGTATAGTTTATGTAACTAGTGATACGCTCACAGTATCAGATGTTACTTAACGTTCGCATTTGTAAATCTAGTTAAAGTTAGTCATCGTCTTGCTAATAATCAACAATTTGTGCTTATTCTTTTTCCCATGAAGAAGAAGAATTTGTTATATTTGGAAGCGATGCTTCCTTCTTACGTGGCCTCTTGTATAATCTTTCATAATACCTCGGTAGATTGCACAAAGTTAAACCAATTAACATCGATATATGGTATACGTAGTAAAATAAGAGGCGTATAACAATTTAATACTATAATAAATTAATACGAATCTTCCGAAATTTATTTAGAAGTCGACAACGGTTCAAGTGTTACTTCATTATTTTATCGTTCGTCGATCTTGACATTTACCATCTCGTATCTTGGTATTTAAGAAGTAAGATATATTACTATACACCATAGCGCAGAGTTTCACATCTGATCCCGAGTACGAGATAAATTAAAACTGTCCGATTCTCGGCTAGTGTTTCGACATATTTTGAAGACGCTCGAATTTGTCACACGCGCTTCGTCGCTTTCCTTAATATTTTCTTTCTTCGTTGCTCATGCATCATCGCACAAATTGCAGCATTCTCCCGATGAAGGGCAACCAGTTGCTTGAGCCGACTCCTTGCCATTTCCGTTTCCATTGCCATCCCGTCGAACCCAGTGCTGAGTTTATCTATGGTGCCGCTTATGTTTGCTATAATATCGAGCAGCAAAGCGTCCTTATCCTTTTTACGCGTTTCCAAGCCGTACCGCTTGCTCGTCAATAAGGCAACCAGAGCGATCATTAACAGTATGGACGATCCAAGAAGACCTTTGTATGGCAACGACATCATTTCCAATAGGACATACGTGTCGTAGCATTACTCGATCTCTGTGACGTCATCGCGGAACAAACTTTGAATAAATTATATTAACGTATTAGATTACAAATTAGAGATTAGAGGGACGATGCACAGTTATCGATCGATCGATCGATCGATAAACAACGACGAGCAATCTCGTTCGTTCAACTATCTCGTTAAAAAGAATTACTATCTTACTATCTTACTGCGAAATGATGACATTTTCTTCTTCTTTCGATTTCTTTTTTTTTTTTTTTTTTTTTTTTTTTTTTTTTTTTTTTTTTTTTTTTGTTGTAAATCCAGCCGGACCGAGGGTAAAATTTAGGGAAAAACGTCGTTCAATCGAAAATGTCGAAAAGGTGCAGCACGATGAGATAATAGTCGAGAGATCGTCTCGTTAAACTGTGAACCGTTTCCGTTCTTTTTCCGGCGCGCGAGCCCGCCCCTACGTTTTTATCTATTATTAAAAGCAAGACGGCAGTCTAACGTAAGTAAATATTCCACCTCCTGAATCGTCCTTCGGTTAATATTATTTCTGGAATTCGTTCCGGCGTATTCGCATTTCGCATTTCGCGGAGCACTCCTCGCGCTTTCCCTCGAAGAGTATCTCGAGCGACGAACGTCAAGTCGAAGGAATGCATGTCGTTTCGTCATACCGACTAAATCCTATTTTACTCGTTATCATCGGAGCGTCCGAGTTGCACCCAAAATATTTCATTTTTTTTCTTTACTGCAATCAGCGACTCCGATCGGAGCTTGATTTGACCAGTCTGTTTGGATAAGAATTTCTTTCGGTTTACACGACACTTTGATCGTACAACGAGCACCGTACACTACTTCTCCTTCTACGATTCTTTCAAGTCCTGGCGATTATAAACATTGCGGTCGATCGAGCGAAAGGAAACGGAAGAACGAGACAAGAGGCAAAAACAGAGCGCACGCGGCTGAGAGAAAGTTAACCAAAGCGAGAGCGATCTTATGCGTGCATCGTTACGCCGCGTATGTACTTGTTGATCGTGTCACGGCACGGCCGAGACTCCCTCCGTTCGAGATTTAACCGACGACGAGAATTGCTGGTGCTTACTCCACGTGTAGGCGCGGTCGTTTTACCCTCGAGGAGGTAAGCGAGGACGACCGTCTACCTCCGAGCAGCCGCGAGGAACGTTTTACAGGGCTGTATCATACCGTTCGATCTTTCCCCCATCTTATTTTCAATTTTTTTCCCTCATTTTAATTTCTTATCACCGAGTAGAGCCGAGTCGAGTCAAGACGAATAGCGAGATGAAATTTGACCAATTTTCCATTATTATTTTCAAGATTATTTCTCGATCGTTATTGTGTGTTTTGTTATTCATCGTCGTCGTCGCCGTCGTCGTCGTCGTCGTCGTCGTCGTCGTCGTCGTCGTCGTCGTCGTCGTCGTCGTCGTCGTCGTCGTCGCCATCGTCGTCGTCGTTGTCGTTGCAACCGTCGTCTATTGCATCAAAGCGATTAATCAATTAGCAATGGATTCTTTTTTTTTGGAAACACAAACGATCCTTTCCCTTTTCAACCTCTCTAAGAGGAATGCGGCTGGTGATGGTGACGATTTTGAAAAACGATACTCAGCCCGAAGACGAATGATTGCTCTTCTAATACGGATTCACCGCGACAGGCCGTTTGAAACGGTACTGCGTAGCCGAAAATAGCCGGGATTCGTCGATGCGTGCCGAGAACGGCAGGTCGACCGGCGCTTGCGCTTGCAAATCGATAAAGAAGCTGCGTGTGCTTTCTATTTGGTCCACTCAGGATCAACCTCGATTCTCTCTGTACTGTTCACGTATATTTCCATTCAAGCTGCATACATACATACATACACAGATACATACACAGATATACATACATTCATATATATATATATATATATATATATATATATATATATATATATATATAGTATTCGTCTTGGTAGGATACGTTCCTTTTCGTCACGCTAATCGTCTTTACTCGTTCAATTTCTTTATTATTTGACGATCGATGTCCTTACTCATTTCGAATTCCTCCGGCATTGATTTTAATGATACTTCCGTATATTCTTTACGTGGCAGGAACCTACGAAGAGCAAGTATTAAAAATGATGCTGATAAGAATAAATTTGATGTGTACGTAAGAATGGTCATAAGTACACCTTTCCATTCACCTTTTCATTATCGGAGATATATGGTCAGGATCGATTTCAGTTAGATCGACATTACCAAATAGATAACTTCCAATAACACCTACTACAACGACAATTAGCGAGCCTATAAGGGTAAAGTACATAAAGGATATCTTGAAGATGCCCATTGGTTCTTCGTTTAGCGTTAACGGGGCTCGGGTGGTGCTATCTGTTTCGTTTAACGGATAAGAACATCCCTCGACGGACACTGGCAATAAAATCTTATGAATTTGTCCATTTGCTATGTACCATTCCGATCCTCCGGCTAAGAAAAACATAACTATCAAGGACACGAAACCACCTAAAAGAGCTCCTTCCGCATTGGAACATGGGAACAACATTCCGAGTAGAAATAAACCGAGCCAAGGGCCATCGGTTACGCTGCGTATGCTAATGGCCATTTGGAAAACTGTCCCTAGATGTTCGACGACGAAAACTAAACCTACCGAAATTCCGCCAATGATAAGTACGATTATCTGTCGTGGAAAAAGGAAAAAGAACAAAAAGGAAAATAAAGCTTATTCTTAAGTCACTCGACGGGATTCATAATGCGACACCTACCTTCATGATGGTAGCTGCTCGAGCTTCTTTTTTTGGTCCGTCCGGTATCCAGGGCTCGATAAAATCTTTATAGATCGTACCGGACATGGTGTTTAAGCTCGCGCTCATTGTGGCGAGAGCTGCGCTTACAAGACCGGCTAAGAACAAACCTGGCAGTCCTGGTACGTTTCCTGCCACGTCCATTACGTAATAAGGTAAGATTTGGTCAGCCCTTTTTATTGTCTTCGAAATAACATGCAAATGAGAAAAAGAAATTGACAATCAAACGATCTACCTATGTGTATATATACATATATATATATATATATATATATATATATATATATATATATATATAATATCTGTATAATAGGTATACACCTAACGAAACGATTGTCTCTAACCTTGGAAAGCAAAGGATCGCAATCATAATATTTGGCGAATATGATTAATCCTGTGAAAACGGAAACGAGCTTAACGACGATCAAACCCACAGCTGTTATGCCCAGCGCTCTGTTGTAGATGAACGAAACAAAATTTTATGATTTTTTGTTGTTTGAAAGAAGAAGAAAGAAAAAAGAAAAGACACAATGAAATTTTCTCGAATTCGAATTACGTAGGTTAATTTACGTGGGTAATTAGAATCTTACCGTTTCGCATCTCTTTCTTTTGGTACAGAAAGGTACCTCTGAACGCATCCTTGATGTATGCCAAGATGTACGAGCCACGTCGTCGTCATTCCTATCGTCATTCCCCAAAATGTATTTCTAGCGTAAGGGCTGACATCCATGCTGATAGAACAATCGCGTTCGTATGAGACGACGTTGAAATAATAAATAACGAAATAGAGTTTGCTCTTAGGATTATTTCTCGATGAACTTACTTGAAGAATATTAAACGATTACCCATCTCGGAGCGTTTCCATACTTCCGATACTCCGCCAACAGATTTTATACCTAAGATAAGAACGGCGAATAAACCTCCGACTGTAACAGTAAACTGGATCGTATCCGTCCAAACGACGGCTTTTAAGCCACCCTACAAAATTTGAGTGAAATATAAAGCGATATTTCAAAGAATATTTAGGTAATGTTGTTACAAATTTATCATTAAATATGCGTTATAACATTTGGATGTTTACTCACTATGCTCGTATAAAGGATGCAAACGGCGCAAAGGACGGGTGTAATGGTATGCAGACTGAAATCGGTTACTTGAGAGAATGCCAAAGCCGGTACGTAGATTACGATGGGTATATACATCAGTAACGATATGAGGAATAAAAGAGAGCAAAGTATCCTAACCCGCCTGCTGAATCTGACTTCCAAATATTCAAAGGTACTGGTTAGTTGGAGTTTGAAGAAAACCGGCAGAAATACGTAAGCACTGATAAAGCACGAAAGGATCGACGTAATAACGCAGGCCGCATATTGAGTTCCGTATTGATAGACCTCGGATGGTACTCCTAATAGCGTAATACCTGATATATGGCTGAAAATAATATGATGATATATATATATACATACACACACACACACACACATATATATATATATATATATATATATATATATATAAGATATGTCGATGTATAATGGATAGGTGGATATTATTTTCAGTCCAACCGATCGTCCGAACGGTTCAAAGATAACGAAACGAAGATCGTTCTCAGATAATGAAAAATAAATATTTTCCTTTGGATTCTTTAAATAGTCATTACTGATAAAAGATAGTAAGCGTAAGAATGTCGTTACGATTTGATCGTTACTTTTGAGAGATGAAATGACGCGCTTATTCCTTCCATCTTTTACGATTATCTATATCGATAGTAGGTCATTGTCATAGCACTGCGCTTTCATTTCTAAGAAAGAGCTTGACTTTTTGTCGAAGCATCTATGTAATGGACATTTAATATTCGTATCATCGGGATCGTACTTTGCATAGATAATCGATCGCTCACCTGGCTATTAAACTCATTGCTATTGGGAAGAATCCCATTCTCTTTCCACCTAAAAGATATTCCATGGTTGTGTCTTGCTTGCTGAAAAAGCCGAAATAAATTCCAATCAGGATGCTGACCGTTAGAATCATAGCGAAAAGGACGTAATCGGTCCATCCGAAAATGAAACGGTCAGAAATTTCCGGATTGAGAATCGACGAATCGTTGAGAGACATTTTCAATTGCACGCTTTTTCCGTGGGATACAGTAGATAGGATAAGTAGGTATAGCACGTACTTATACGTACGTACGTACGTACGTCGCTGCGATTTATCTAAAATTACAAAATATAATTTAGAAGTTATATCACATTTTCATGATTGCCTTTGCGCATCGTTATTTTCTACGGAGTACGGTATGTCATTCTTACCTTTGTTACGCTCTTTTCCTTCGAAACTCGTTTCATCTAATACACGATGGACATAACAATTCTATAGTTTATACCAAGTAATTTATGTATACACAAGTAATATATAGGAGCTAAATATGTAAACAGATTTTACAGATCCTGATACTATAGAAAGAGGTGATACATAACGAAGCAGTAATGGATTCGTACGGAACCCACGGAAATACTAACTCGCAAAGTGAAGCACATGATACGGTAGCTCGAATGATTTCGTCTACGGGAGTAATTTATAACGTATAGATAAGGGAAATACGTATATTTGATGAAAAATATCTAAAATGATATAAAAGAACGCTGTCGGATTTATTTCTTTATTAGTTTCTTATTAGTATTAGCATTATTCTTGCTTGAAGACAGCCGAGATAATAGGCTATTTAAACTATAATATACCATATACTTATTCTTGCACACACACACACACACACATACACACACGCACGCACACACGCATGCACGCAAAGAAAAGAAAGAGAAAAAATAATCGTAATATTATGTATATACAAATTATGTACAAGATTCAGAAGGAAACCTCAACTCATCAGGTTTGTCTCACTCGGCGAGGCCAAAAGGATTGTACTTTGAGTCACTGCTTGATATCGTTCGTTCACCAAAGCTTTTCATTATTTCTTATAAATATTCTCGAGTATTTTTTTTTTATTTTTTTTTCTCTCTTCTTTCCGTTTCTTTTTCCCATTTTATCCTACGAACGATATCCTTGAAACGAGTAGAAGCTAAATAGATACATACTAAAGTAGGTACATACTGTGTATTCGCGTACATCTAATAAGTACATACGACGCTAAACTTTTTTAAATTTAACGGACAATCAAATTTATATCACAAAATTATAACAGAAGACTATCTGTTCGGTAAAAATAATGGAAAAAGAGAAGGACGAACACGGTCAAGTGGACGGATGTCCGATTGAGTGAAATCGCCGAAGAAGCAAGTCCATATTTAAGCCCTAGGCTTTTCCTAAGATATACTCTTAATCTAGGATTGCGCGAATTTGTTGATCCGCATTGACGAAGCGGCATATCCCAAATGTCGTCATCTCTCGGACTTAATCGCAGAATGTATTGACCCGACCAACTAACGCCAATTTTGGCCCTTAATCGAAGAGTGGATGGCGCTTCTATGGCTAGAGGAACGCAATTACTGGGCCATAAGGTAAGAGGTTTCCCTGCCTCTTTGCCAGCACATCGGTCAACTATCGACATATCTCCTGGAACGAGAACGCTCTCGGCTACGTGAAGGTCCAACTCCGTCGTCCCGGAGGGTGTACTCGAGGATGTCTCTGAGCTCGTTACGACCTCTTCATGTTTTTTATTGCCCCTGAGCATAGCGGCAAATGATTCGATCATCGAAGGTCGAGCGTTTCGAAAGAGATGACGATACGCCCCGTCCATACTTCTTCTCGATCTATCCTTTAGCCTGTCCATCGAAGGATACCAAGATAGTTGAAATAGTTTCGCATTATCTTTTTCGCGTTTATATCTTCCGGCACGTTGAACGTAGCTCCCTGCCGCAGTGATCGAGTAAGAGAAAATGATACATCGTGGATCTAAATGATAATCCCAACGACCTGTCCAAAGTTTGTCGCCGGAATAAATTTTCACGCGTCGTCGAGACCATAGACCACCTTTGACGCTCTCGCATTGAGAGCTTATCCAGGAACCACCGAGCAACGCTGGAAGTGGCGCTACCTCGTGTAACAGAGGTGGATTATATTCCGTTCCTCGGAATATACTACCGCAGATCGGACATTCGCTTGTCTAAAATTTGTAAATGAACGTTGGAAGAGAGAGAGAGAGAGAGAGAGAGAGCCAACTTACAATTGGTAGAAAACATGAGCATATACTTACGGTATCCATGCGGATTAACATGGTAGATTGTAACGACGTGGCTCGACGAATCCATGGGGATTGAACGTTCGGTGGCACGTTTGCAAGCGCCAATTCGACTTTCGATTTAACGTTTGAACCAGGGACAACGTATTTCTGATCGAACTCTTTCTTTTGCACTCTTAGCATACTCAATTCGTCAAACTCGATTCCAAGCGTTTCCAGACAGTCTATCGCTTTTCCTTTTTTCGAGAAAGGATAACTTTGAAGCGAATTATATCTTGGACCGTACCAGGAAGGAGATTCGAATTGACGATGAAGACGCTCGTAAATTGGTTGAGCCACGTACGGACGCCATTTAGGTTGTAGGCTACAAGTGACGTTTAATCTATGCCCAAATTTATTCGCGATCTGTGTGTGAAACGTCGCGAATAACAGGAGAGTTGGCAAATTAAAGGCGATCCATAAGGAGTACCACATATCGTGCATTAGAATAATCTAATTGTAATAGATATTTCTCGTTTATATTACCTGACGATTCAATGGTACAATATGAACAATGTCTATGTGAAATTTGGTATCAGTCGCACCAGGTATCAATGCGGATGGTAAACCAAGTTGGATGGATCCACGTGCTACTACGGTGTGCGTTGCTATGCTACAAGATTCTTCGGCATAGTGATAGCGCAGTAACAAGAACGTGCCGTTTTCGAAAAATGTATACTTTCGAATGATATATTCTGGACCGGCGCGTACTTCGCATCTAAGAGAAAGTTATTCGCTACATGGATCTTTGATATCAGAGGATTTTTATCGATTTTACTAACGTATATCGTTTCATAAGAAAAAAAGCAAACTCACTCTTGAGACGACCATGTATAGCGTAGCCTAGTTAGACTGTCATCTTCTATTATGGCCCGATCTTCTCGGACGACCTTCTTGATAGCTGCCTCACACTGATCCTCGTTGTTTTCCGATCTCCATGTGGTCGCTTGAGAAATGCCTGAGAAATAACAGAATCGATAATATAATTAAAATGATCTCGAATTAAACGAAAAAGGATCGCTTTGCCGTGTTACAGTTACCAAGTCCAACGAATAATAAATTTTAGGTAAAAGGGAAGGTTAAGTTAAGTTGGGGGGTTACGTTTATCGATAAAATTTGCTCGAATATCGTCAAATACCGAGGAATATCGGATAAGCGTCAATAGGGGCGCGGACGAATAGGTTGAAAAGGTCGCAATTTCTTTAGAATGCGATCCTTCAAAAATCTGAACGACAAGATCCTTTATTCGGTGAAAAAAGATAGATTAACAACGAGTTTAAGAAGTCAATAGAGAGAAAAGTTGTCGCGGCTGCTTAACATTCGATCGCTTTTGCTTCACCCATCGAGGTTGGTCGTCAGCGTCTATCCTTTCATTGTTATCGTTTCGATTGGTATTCCAGTCGAATCGAATCTCGACTCGACGATAATCACGTCGGCGGATACGATGCGTGCAGTTATGCGTCGTCTTTGCTTTTCGTATATGTTATTCGTACGGAGACGCGTTACAAGATCTTTGAATACTTATGTACCTTGTTCACGGAAAATTTACTACGCTATCACAAACGCTAAGATAAAAACGATTAAAAAAGCCATTTTGTGGGAAAATACTAAATGCGCTAAAAAGTTACGAGCCACTGATCCTACGAACGAGTGAGCGTAAAAAAAGATATTAGTACGTACCAAAGATTATTAGTGGAGTAAGGAGCTTAATTATCCGAAACATCCTTGTGTTTGTGTGTGTGTGTGTGTGTGTTTGTGTGTTTTATGGGGAACGTTATTATCGAAAACCTTATTTTAAAATATTATGTTATTTGATGTCTCGAAGGACGACGTTTTTATTTATTAGCGACGAAAGTTTCACTATTCGTACTTTTCAGAGAATACTCTCTCTGACCGACCTACCCCAAGATTATATAGTCTTGTCCCCACTCTCTCTCTGTCTCTCTCTCTCTCTCTCTCTCTCTCTCTCTCTTGCTCGCTCTCTCATTCTCTTTCTTTCTCTTGTTCATGATCCTGCGTTGATCTGGGCCCGAAGAAGATATCTCGAAGGTAAAAATTCTCTTTTTCGTAGGAAAACCTTTTCGAGGAGCCCCGTTGTAAGGGTTACCTCGAAAGCGTTTCCTTGCTTTTTTTTCCTCGTCTGGTGGGCCATTCGCGTATATGAAAAAGAGAAGAAAAGAAACAAAGAAAAACAAATCATTGGATAGCGGATTTGTCTTTTTAATATTAAGAAATAACTCGAGCGTTGCTAGATCGAAATGAGAAAAAGTTGCGTTTACCTTTTATTGCGGCGAGGTCTCATTGTGCCTACGTACCCTCGGCTTTTCGGCAGTCATCGTAGGTGGCCAATAGTAGATTGAGAAATCTGCCTTATTGGGTGGGCAAAAGGGCAAAGAAAAACATCTGCTCCCTTGGAAGAATTTAACGCTTATTTAGAATTTTCTCCAACATCTTTTTCTTCCTCTTTCACATATATAATATCACGTATATACATAGCATACACGTATGCATACGTGTACACATACGTGCATCACCTTAGAGAGAGTCCTGCGATAAATAACAGATCGGGGACAAAGTTCACTTTTTACGAATGATCGTAAAAGATAAATACGTCAAATGGAATATTTCTATAGAAAAAGGTCAGCTTGTGTAAGAGAACTTTAAAGGAAACGATACAATAAATATATCGAATTTTCATTGAAAATTTCATTAATTAGTTTGAAATTGATTCGCGCACAAGAAATTATCGCTGAAGGAATTGTAATTAACGCTTGTCCATTGTAAATTAAATTAATTATCTGATATTTCTTTAGTATGTGAAATAATTTACGCAAAATATATCCGCGATCGTTTTAGTTAATGGCAACGTTTTTATAAATTCTCTATCGACGATAAGGTCGATCGCGTTATTATCGACGACAGAGGATGATTTTAGTCTTAACCGAGGGATGAAAAGAAAGTACGGTAGCGCGCTTCATTTTCAAATTATTCCGCGTGTACATTTGATCGTTCGAAGATCGATCGCAAGATGGCACCAGGAGTCTCTGCGGTGGGAAAAATTCGAGCGATCGACGTCGTCGTCCGAAACCATGATGGCCGAGGCAGCGTTTGCTATTTCGAGGAGGGTAACGCGAGTGTGTGTCCTCTTTATCGAGTGTTAAATCAAGCGAGAAGCTCCCAAGCCCGGCGAAAGCATCCTTTAAAGAATGACCGACGGTCCGTCGCCACTCGTGAGTAATGACAATCTTTATTAAGATTTTTATAAGATGGTACTCTCGAGGAGGATCGGTCTTTCGTTAGGTTATATTCAGATTTTTTTCAGACTCGTCTATATTCTTACGTCAAACGATTAACTGCATTAGCGTTCGATTATAGACGATTAACGGGTAGAATCCTAATGGATTTTGCGAAGGAAGGAAGAAAGATAAAAGTGTAAGAAATTGTTCGACGATGAGCGAATTGGCAAATTGATCTGCATCTGGCCGTTCTCGATTATTGTCCTTCGTCAAGCGCGCGCGCGCGCGCGCGAGAGAGAGAGAGAGAGAGGGAGAGAGAGAGAGATTCGCGATGCATACGATACGATATCAAAAGTTTGAACGCGCATACGCGAGCCGCAGGTTCATTGGCCGTCAGCCGATTGACGTCATTGCTTGACAGCGACTGTCACCTGTTCGGACCGTTGCGCCTCGTTCGGCCCGTGACGTCATTGCGCCGCGATGATGCAATCGAGCGTTGCAATCTCCGCTTCTTCCAAGCGAGCGAATAGGAAGGATTATTCGCGGTCGCTTCTCTTATGGCTCTGGATTACCTTTCAATATCTCGTCTAATCTTCTAACGAACTTCGTCGAATTATGTCCTAACGATCGAATATATATCTTCATACGATCTAAATCTTTTGACATTAGATATGCATGCGTCCATTGGATTAATAAAAAAAGATAAGCGATCAAATTTATCGAGAGATATTATTTTAGTTTCTTTTATGGTATCGAGACTAGATAGAGATTTAAAATGTCGACTCGACTAAGTCGGAATACATGATATATAAACTGGTCGAAGTGTTTTTTACCAGATGGCGCCACGTGTATGATATTATACACGTATGTATTATAATACGGAGATAATGCGTTCGATATTTGAAACTATTTTAAAAGCTTCGTAGTTTGCTCGTATACGAATAGGTTTACGTCAACAAAACGGGCGTAGAAACGATCGCGTAATCAAAATTTATGTATGAGACGACATTTGAAAGATATTTGACGTTAGCGCGAGATAGCGTTTAGTGCGTCATCCGCGAGCGTAGGCGCGGATTCCGTGTAGGTGAAGTTGTCATCGCGTCCGGAATAGCATCGACGCGCGCGCGTTCAGGCTGACATCATTTCGACGGAATAATTTTATATTTGTTTCATATAAGTGTTCCATATATGAAAAAATGCGGTCGATGACTCATTGTCAGCTTCGAACGATCAGCGCCGATGACGTATCGCATTTTTTCTCCCGTCAACTTGTCGTAGAGTAGTGACCATAGCAGAGATGTCTTTAGCAAAGTACGCGCAATATGAGATGGAAATGTAATTTTGGACACGAACGCGTCTTATTCTTATTCCGAAGGACTATCTTAAATAATGCGAAACCCGTGTATGACGTATACAAGGTGTAATTGCAAGGAACGCCTGAAAATGACACCAAATGATTCAGACTTCCTCTCTCTCTCTCTCTCTCTCTCTCTCTTCTTCTTCCTTATGTCCACGCACGCTCTGTTCACGTCGATTCCACGTACACTACATCTGCATGTTAAGTTAAATTGGCTTGGAGAGAACCGAAGCGTGCGCGCGCGCTCTCTCTACTGTGGAACATACATTCTCTCTCTCTCTCTCTCTCTGCTTTCTTATATGGTTCACGTAAGTACCAACGAATAGCTAGAACGGATGGATATAATAGAGGAGAGACGAGCGCGCGCCCCGTGTAGGACAAGTGCGCCTACTCGAGGTCCTACTACTAAGTATCCATTTGCATATATCGCAATTATGTCGAACAAGACGCGCGATCCAAATGGAAGGCGCGGCGTCTCTAACTGATCGCGATCATTCGCATTGGTCCAAGATGTTACGCTTCTTCTCCTCCCTTCTTCGTTGTCTTTTGAAATTCCGCTCTTACGTTTATGCAGCAGCGAAATTCCGAAAGAATATGATAATCGCGCGATGCGCTCTTTCGAGATATCGGGATTAAGGATAATTAACTGGTAAATACTTAAAGAAACACTTAGAGACTTCGTTAAGCGCAGTCGTTCGAGTCCAAGGATCGGTACCGACTTTGCCAGTATCGTCGCTCGTGATCCGATTAGCCAAGTTAATGGATAGAAATAATCGCCTTTTCGCTAAATGGAACGACGTGTCCGTATACGTAGTAATACGTATATTACGTAGAAGAGTCTTTGTTCCTTATGCCAAGTATCACGTCGAGTTTCGAGAAATTTCTTAAACGTCCTGTGCGAAATTTTATATGATATTAGGAAACGATTAGACGATGACATATTAAAATATATTAGTTCCTTTATTTACATTGGCTCTTTTAGATTTCTTTTTTAAATCTCTGAGATCCGGCTCGAAGGATTGCTAACGTTAGATCTAACGAGAACCTCCTGGCGCGATGTCGATAGTCGAACGAAAAGAGCATAATGATTCGTTAAATAATATCCGACATAATAGATAAATGATCGACCACATATAAGTGGATAGTAAAATGAATAAAAGGTAAGGTGGAATAAGGATAAGTAAGCGATCGTCAACCAACCGTCAACAAGCGGCGGAGGGCCACGTAGCCGGCTCGACGTTTCGGAATTTCGCGCATACATCCGAGGTGCCGTAACGGATAGGAAACTGCACGATGTTGATGTCGTAGTCCGTGTTGACGAAAATGGCGTTGACAGACGGTAGGTGAAATTTATTGGGTAGATCGTCCTCTTGAATCTCCCCGGTTATCGGATTCGTATAAGCGCAACGCGTTTTCGCCAAAACGCAGGCAGTAGCGTTGACGAGGAGTTGGCTCAGTTTGACGTCTGTCAAATTGAAGCTTGGAAAGATTCGCAGGGCCTCGCCTACGCACTCACGTAACTGCGGAAAAAGTTGCTCGGAATAGTAGAGGATCGCGCGCCTCGACCATCTCGTATATCATATTTAGGCGCAATATTATTTAGGCTCAACTATATATATATATATATAACTATATATATTATATTTCTTCTTTTTATTTCTCCTCTTTCCCTTAGCCGCACACAGTGGGAAGACATTATATACAATGGATCGTTATATTCAACGGGTGTGTGGTAGCGTCAGGCTTGATGAGCGACGCCTTACGAATAATGAGAGAGGGAGAGAGAGAGAGAGAGAGACGACTTCCTCCAAATGTCTATATTATAAAAGAGATAGAGGCCAAAAAGAAAAGTGTGTCGTTCGTCGTATAAAAGGACTTTTATATACATACATACAGCTTTTTTGTTGTTTATACAATGCATTCCATGGGATGGGATTATCGTATACCTATCTACACACCACCATCTACTTACACGCGTAAATACGTGAGTACGTACGTATGCGCCTATATACAAGGGGACTTATTACAGTCGGCTCTTGGTGCATGTAATTAAAGCGTCGGAGACAAAAGTTTCTAATTGGGATTTTCGAGGACTTGCAGGATTCGTTCTGGGATCGATGGGCTCTGCTCCGGGTCGTACGGTAATGGAATCGGTGTTTTGCCGTTCTCTGAACGCGCAAACGGCTCTCAAAGTGCGAGGATATATTTTTATTATAAAGCCGGAATTCCTCCTTCGTGCTTTCCGGCCCGTCGTTGTTCCTTCTTCCCTTATGGTTGCGCGCAAAGCATCCTATACAATATTTACATCGTTCGTCCTTTTAATAGCTTTATCATTTTCGAGTTGCACGAGGAAGAAAAAGAAAGTCGTGGAGCGTTCTATTAAGAAGATTTCTATAAAGAAGAGCGTTCTATTTATGTTTTCGATTTCTTTATCCTATTTCTGGTCTCTTTTATTTACATATTATTTTATTCAGAAACTTTGCGACATATGTACACCTGCGCGCACGCAGAATTAAAATTAAAGGATAATAGTCACGTTCGAACGAAGATGAAAAAGAAGCGAGAAGTGAGGAAAAAAAAGAAGGAGGTTGTACGTTACCAGCGTGTCCTTGTTCACTTGCCGAATGCACTCGAGGAAGGTACAGTAGATCGTAACAGGACCGACACGGTTGTTCAAATTATTCGTCGCATTCTGCATAAAGGAATGATTTTATCGAAAATGTTAATAATAACGTCGAGTTGTGTTCGATTTCTCGAGTTATCATCGATTTCAATATTATTCGCTTACTCTCAGATAGGCTTGGCAGTGACCGTAATCGGTATTATTCAGGTACATGTCCGCGCACGCGGACATTCTTAATAGCAAGGGATATCCCGTTGGTTGATTGCTCGCCCTATAAAAGCAACCGTAACAGGCATCGCGCAGCGTAACGTTGGCGCCTTGCGATTCGTTGCACAATTGATTCAGTAACTCGGGGATCCTTACGCTGTAAATTGATATTGATTGTAATGAAAAAAAGTGAGCGAACGAAGACCGACCTACTTTTTTATCGTAGCCAGGGAGCCGAACAACAACTTGGATAAGCCGTCTTGTATCAGAGCATCTCCGTTGTCGAGAAAAGGCGGAGATATCAGGAAAAGGAGGACCACCGGTAACCTCGCCATTGCGGCTTTAACACGCAGAGTTTTGCGGAAAAATCCTCACTCGGGCCTGTTTTTATACGGTAGATAGGCATCACGCATCGAACCGCGTCGCAAGGACGTCGTACTCTCGTTCGTTCGAACGAGCACAAGATAAACAAATAGGCCGCTCTATTATAATAACGTATTATACCTACGTTGTAAATATTGTGAAAATTAGTTTACCTTCGATAACGGAAGTTTTCGTCCGCTTTGGACGATGTCAAATCGGAGCACAATTATGCACGGTCGTTCGACGTTATTCGTTCTTCGTTGATTCGTTCGGGCCGATTATGAAACGAAATTTTCATTCTCCGTGTCCGTGAGAACGCGACATCATCCTGTTGCGAATGGAAAGCCTCGAAGGAAATGCTAGCCGCGAGCTCGCCTTGTTTATTTATCGTTTTTAACTCTGACAGTTACGCATAAGCCGTAACTTATTATTTCATGAAAATAGACCGTAAATAGGAGACAGGAGACGGGAAAGAACGGGCAAAAGGGGCGCGGGGTTTGTCGCGGATGCGATCCATCGGATGAATTCTTCTGTCTGGCTTGATTATTAAAATATATATCGACGAAAATGTCGACGAATACGTGCGTCGACTTGGAAACTCGTATTCGTTCATGCACTTTACCGCTTATCGCGAATAATTTTGCGAATCGTCGATTAATTTTATTCCTTAGTTAAAACTCTTTTGACAGTTTGCACCGATTATTTCTTCTCGTACGCTCTTCGTTAAGCGCTTATTATTAGAACCCGAAAATTGCTCGGAATCCCATCGTCGTGCGTGGATGCATTAACTTCGACGATAACTCGTCGTCCATCTAAAAAACATCGGTACTTTCATGTAGGAGATAAGAGGAAGAAAAGATGACGGAGACAGCGCAATAGTATGGCGCAAAACAAGCGCGAGCCTACGATGCGCTTTTCGCGTCGATGGATTTTAAACTCGGCTCTTCCTCGTTTTGAATGCCGACTCGATATATGCTTTTAACGATGAATTAACACTTATGACACTCACAGATATCGTCGAGCGATGCATTCGAAGTAGAAAATAAGGTTGGTAGAAGAAAATGAAAAAGAGCGGAGGGAGGAGGGAATTTGTACTCGTTAAAAGGTTCGTTATACGTATCGATTAAAAGTGCTCCCTTGTTTTTACAATGTACATGTGTTTAAGCGTGTCTCGCGCCTATTTGATAAATCTGCTCGCGTTCGTTCGTTCGTTCGTTCGTTCGTTCGTTCGTTCGTTCGTTCGTTCGTGCACGCCTTACACCGAGTTGCAACACGTATCGGAAATAAGACCAGAGAGGGAGGACTTTGAAAAGTAATTCTGTCTCGTCGTTGTAGGAAATAAATTTTGGTAGATTTGGAATGGATTGGATCGAGTTACCGGTCACCGAACGAAGCCACTTTCGTCGAGAAGCAGAAAGAACGTTGTTGATCGACAACGACGCGCAGCTGTCATCGTCTCTCGGTGTCTCTCAAAGGCTCGCTCACTCGTTCGCTCTCTCTGACATTTTTCTTTTTCGCCCCCAGAGGCAACCTCGCGACGCGACGATGTTTTTAAGAAATCGCCGGGAAAATGCAGCTGTCGTCGCGACGGGCCTGGATATGATGCATGGATTTCTTTGATGTCACGTTAAATCCGCACGAGTGAAAGAGAACCTCTTAATTGGACGATGCTTTTCTACTGATGCTCCTCGTACGTTTCTTTTTTTTTTTTTTCTGTTACGGAATTACGAGATCGTCCGATCGTTGAACGTGCAACAAACCTTCGCGCGATAAAAGATTTATTCGCTCGTTGAATGTATCTTTGGTTGTTTAGCAAAAGCCACACGACGTGCCAGCGTACATAGCCTCTATCTAGATACTTCCGCAGGGGAGTATACGAGTTTCGAGGGAGTTGGGAAGGAAACTAGGCAGTCTACGAGGCAGCTTACAAGGAGAGACGATGCACCCGCATCTTTCCTATTTATGCGTCAAACGTTCGCTGTAAAGAGAGCCATGGGAGAGGACTTGCTTAAAAACAAGGAACGAAAGAGAGAGAGAGAGAGAGAGAGAGAGAGAGAGAAAGAGAGAGAGAGAGAGAGAGGGCTGGGAGAATTAGAGAAAATTCAAGAAATTCGGTGGCGACGCGATTGGTTCACACCAGCAGAGTCCTCCTCGAAACTCTTGGCGAACAATAAGGAGCACAAGGATTTTTGCAATATCTCGCGTTTTTAGCGTATGCTCTAGGGCATCGTATAGGGCAAGGATATATATGGGCAACCATTTACGCGTATCCGCAGCATATTTTTTCCAAGCGTCTGCTCTTATGGAATAGTTCGCGCGCGGCAACCCTCGACCGAAAAAGCCCGGCTGCTTGCTCGAGCTCGTTTCAGACTTACGGATCGTTAGCTTTACGAAAGCGAGGCCCCTTCGTGCTCTTTCCTACCTTCTCTCTCCCTCCTGCCTGCTATCGACGAGTATCGTAAGAAATTAGCGGTGTAACGTACGCCGCGATAAAAATCAGTTGGTTGCGCGAAAGGTCGCACGAATCGTTCCCGAGAGAGAGAGAGAGAGAGAGAATACGATCGTTGGAGGAAAGCGCATTATCGTTACCGTATCGTTAGATATTCCCATCGACATCGACCGTCCTTCGATTATTCCTTCGGCAATGGTCGAATATCGATTGGAAACTCGACGGTAGGGCGATCGTACGAACCGATTACTCGCTCGAGAAGAATAATAGATAAGAATAATGCGCGATCCTTCCTTATTGTTGGCTCTTTGAGACTCATGGTACTCGTTGGACCATGGTTAAAAGGGTTAACGGCCGTATCAACATTCCTATTCCTTTTTTTCGGTTCGGCTCCCCTTACTACTTTTGCCACTTGCTTCGTTCCTAAGTTGAACGTCGCGTGGGTATCGTATTACGGAAAAAACGCATATTCTCGGCAATGCAAATGTCGGCGATCGGTGTGCGTGACAAATGTAAGCTCGCGACACTTTTGAGAAGCCGAGAATACGCTCGTTAATTTTAACGACCCCATCGAAGCGATGCTTGTATATATCTACAGAGACACCCACATGCCGCCTCCGTTCGCACTCGTTTCTCCTCGTTTCGCGTCGATTCTGTTGTACCAATTGTCGCTGCCGATGCGTCACAACCTTGCGTCAAGCCCGTGTCAGGGTCCTACGTTTCAATCGCGATGCCTCGATCGCGATACGATCCTTAACATATCCGAGTACACTTAACCACTTAGATAGATCTTAGGACGCGCTCTTCTTTCTTTCTCGTTAACACGCGGCAGAACTTTACGTACCACTTATACCTGAGCCACACGATGGCGTGCCTCGGAGCCGCTTAAATCCCTATAATTAGGAAACAAGAAAAAAAGAACAGATAGAAGAGGAGAGCGGAGGGAAATCGGGTGGAACTGCGACATCATGGCATCGCGACACGTGTCTCACCACGAGCCACGTGTCCGATAGCTCAGAAGTAGGTACATGCGAAACGAACTCTACTATTACAGCCTGAAACGATGTCGAATAATTATAACGTTTTACAGTTCGCCTAACGAGCAACGTCATCCGACGTTTTCTTTCTTTCTACGATATATACGAGATTCTTCCTCTTATGCGTTTTATCGAAGAAACGAAAAGAAAAGTTTAAAGTTTGCGTTGCGACTTTGATCTTTTTTGATCCAGCTTGATCGACGTAATATTTTTATAATAAATCTTTCTTCCCTTACTTCTTTTTTTTCCTTTAGCGACACAAAATTGGCAAGATATTTGCCCGCATCGTGTCTTAATTGGTTTCTTTCACGAGGTCGTGTCGCGTAATGGAATATCGATGGGCTCTAGTAGTGCTAGAAAGGTGGGTAATGAGCAAAACAAACGAAGGGAAGAATAACAAAGGGTCTTGTTTCTCCTTGCGCTTGCTTCTACATGAGAGAGAGAGAGAGAGAGAGAGAGAGAGAGAGAGAGAGGCTTCACGATAGCGCGTTACCATTCTATGAGAAAAATCGAGGGCGAAGTTTCCCGCTCGTCAATTCTCTCTCTCTCTCTCTCTCTCTCTCTCTCTCTCTCGACGTTCTAGAAAGGGCGGGAAAGGCCGAGCAAGGATGGAAAATGCAGAGAGAAGCTACGAGAAGATACGACGATGACGAGGACGACGATGAGCACGGGGGTGGCGGCGGCGGCGGCGGCGGCGGTGGCGGCGGCGGCGGCAGCGGAGACGCGAAATGGTGGGAGTAACTGCTGCGCCAAGAGTGGTGGCAAAGCGGATCAATACTTTTGTACTCAGCCTCCCTTGGCCTCAGGACCGTATCATACCGTTCTCTTGACGTAATCTAAGCACGTGCCTTTCCCTCGCGTTACGGTATATCGACTTTGAATATTTCAGACGATTTTCTATTTTTAGTAAGATTCTAGATGACTTCGAAAGAACGATCGTTTTGTTTTCCCTCTTGTGTGTGTTTTACGCTCTTATATATTTGTAAAAGTCGTATTTGGCTGCATTAACGCGAGTACAATAAGACGTAGGTATATTAGATACGCGCACATAATAGTTTATGATTTATTTATTTCTTTTATTCCGAAGAGAATAATAAAGAATATATGGTTGTTCTTATACGTTCCCTGCTTTCGACTCTATCATATAGATTTACAAAATAGAATTTAGACTTACAGAATAATCGATTATCATCCCTTATACGTATTAAAATGCCGTGACGTCGTTAGAAAATTTAAAGGAACCCTGTATATTCGTACCATCGAAGCGACCTATTCTATCGCAAATATTAGTTGATCATACGAAGAAATGCGTTAAAAAAGTACGAAGAATTAAGCTGTTGGTATCGATCGATCGTCGTGCAAGTCTATCGGTTCAAGTTTAAGGCAAAGTTAAGGCGTTTAAGCTGATGGATTTAATGCGCCAACGAGATCACACGGCACTGCGTCAATCTCCACTCCGACGACGAAGCGTATACGTGACGTAGCTTAGTGGGGATGGATGACGTCAGCGGTCGATACACGCGGTTCTGCTCCTCGAGTACTACGCTATCGCCTACGTCTGGAGAGAGAGAGAGAGAGAGAGAGAGAGAGGGGTGGGTGGCAAGGGGTAAGGAAAAGGGGAAGGCAAAGGAAGGGGTTGGAACATCACGGGCGTCTCTCTCTTCCAATCTCTCCTCTCTTCTTTCTTTCCTTCCTTCCTCACACCCCCGCCCCTCACCGCCCCTTTCCCCTGTCTTCCTCATCTATCCTGGCGCAATACGAGTCCCTGAAAATGGTCTCTTCTACTTGCATTCCGCACTATTCCTCGTAAGCGCATGGCCTTCGTTATTGCGCCTCGAGTATTACGCAAAGAAAAGTGGAGAAAAAAAATGTTTCGCCTAGTCTGGAATAGGAAAAAAATCGTTACATCTTCTCCTTTATCATTTCATTCCTTCTTCTTTTATTCTTTCGTTCTAACATTCCCTTTCAATATGTAAATTGTTATTAACGAAAGTTTATCATAATTTTCAATACATTTAATAGGATTTCTTTCTAGGCTCTGATTAATGCTAAAACTGGCTAATGGGAGATTCAAAATTGTTGAAGGAGTTTTCTTCGTTTCTCGTGGTTCTCGCTTTTATAAGCATACGGCATTGGTTAACGTCACGTTTGGTAATCCGCAAATCCAATCGTCAGCTCCTTCGTAAAGTCTAAATTGGGATTTTTAGGATCCACTAAAATCCCGTTGGATTCATATAACCGCTGCTCGAGGACGCGCATCGTATTTGCGACGGCGTCGCAATTCTCTACACACTCATCCTCTTTATAATTGGACATAAAATCTTTTTTCCATGATCGATCGGACATTATTGTCCGGTCATTTCTCTAACGGCAGATCCGCCGCTAGCGATAGATAAAATTGAGCGATCGAGAAGGTCTTAAGGTCCTTTCCATCGAACGATTATCGCGTTTACTTTTTATCGTATCATAATTTCATTTCCTTCTCTTTTCCCTTGTTTCTCTTTTTTCTTCGACTCGCTTCGATGTTATTTAATCAGCTATCGCGTGTCCTTGATTTTCAAAGTTGCAAGTGCGCATTACGTAGCGTGAAGAAAAGATGTTGAGGGAAAAGCGAGAATTTCTAATCCATGGTATTATTATAAAGTCCGAGTCTTTCCGGACTTTTATCTTTTTCATAGCTTTTTTTCTTTTTTTTTTTTTTTTTTTTTTTTTTTTTTTTTTTTTTTTTTTTCTATCAACTATCTCGAGAATAGGAAGAATACCTTTCTATCTCTGGAGTAATGAAATTTGACATACGAATCGCAAGCTCCACGATAACTAGAGAGCAATGGTTACTTTTGCGCACGGGATTACGTCCCCTAAAACCTTTAGGGATAAAAGATATTTTTAAAAGGTTTCCATTTCTAAAGGTCATTGCGATTCTCTTCGCAGTTGCCGTTCTCGTCGAGAGAAGAATCATCTAAGAAAGTTCTTGTTACGGGGCGCTAATATAAACTCGTAGAAGGGATGATCTCGAAGGCGAGAGGAAAAAGCATCTGGTCATCGCCAGTCAGAGATTAGTCATTTCGTGTTCGCGCAGCGAGTAATAGCGAAAAAAGTTCTTTCTGAAACATGTGCCTCGCGAGCGAATGGAAGCGTATACGTTTCGTCGTTAAGAACGGAAATCCATCAGAAATAATTGGAGCTTCTTGCCCTTGCTCGACCAAGGATCATTAGTCCTTTGTGGTCGCGCACCGTCGCTCTCTGTATCAACTTTTCATGCGGCTCGACCACGAAGACGGATGACCTACTGAGATTTTGCCTTTGCGAGCTGAAAGATTCTTCCTAGTTAGCTTCGAGGAAGTTACCT